GGTGAGATCATAGAGCTACTACTTCAACAAAGAGGCGAGAGCCTACCAATCTCTGAAGAAGTGGTTAAAATAGCAGCCGGGAATGCTGAATGGGGAGATCAGATCATGGAACTACTACTTCAACACAGAGGCAAGAGTCTACCAATCTCAGAAGAGTTGGTTAAAATAGCAGCCGGAAGCGCTGCATGGCGAGGTTGGATCATAAAGCTACTACTTCAACACAGAGGCGAGAGTCTACCAATCACTGAAGAAGTGGTTGAAATAGCAGCCGGGAATTCTAGATGGGGATATCAGATCATGGAGCTACTACTTCGACACAGATGCGAGAGTCTACCAATCTCAGAAGAAGTGGCTAAAATAGCAGCCGGGAATGCTGAATGGGGATATCAGATCATGGAACTACTACTTCAACACAGAGGCGAGAGTCTACCAATCTCAGAAGAAGTGGTTGAAATAGCAGCCGGGAATTCTAGATGGGGATATCAGATCATGGAGCTACTCCTTCAACACAGAGGCGAGAGTCTACCAATCTCTGAAGAAGTGGTCAATGTAACAGCCGGGAATACTGGAAGGGGAGGTCAGATCATGGAGCTACTACTTCAACACAGAGGCGAGAGTCTACCAATCTCTGAAGAAGTGGTCAAAATAGCAGCCGGGAATGCTGAATGGGGAGGTCAGATTATAAAGCTACTACTTCGACAAAAACGCGACAGCCCACCAATCTCGGAAGAAGTGGTTAAAGTAGCAACCAGGAATTCTGGAAGTATCAGTTACCACCTTGTCATCCCTGGTTGGCTGAGTAAGCGCTGGCGACATCCCTAGCACTTGAGAGTGTCAGGCACGTACTTTGGATAAAATGGATTCTGCATTGATATAGCAGGACGTCATTTTAAGTGTACCGAATCCCGTGGTTAATGTCTTGGCTGTGGCACTCAGAAACAATCAGTGTGTGTTTGGTGGTGAAACTGGTTTTGCTGCCGACTGTAGTATTGAGCCAATACATTCATAGACTGGTATTATATGTGGTTCTGCGGTAACCTGTATTCTTCTACGTCGTTAAGGAGTTTACTTCCTGCAGCACTGCCTCATGTGGTATAAACTGTTAGTCACGGTCTGAAATTCCCTATACTGAATTGAAAATTAAGTAATATGATGCCTTTCAAAACCGTGCAGGTCCTGGAATACTCGGTTGACCGGATTATAGTTGATTCGGTTGATCATGATCTATACGATGAAGCTGGTATAGAGCCACTGTTTGACGAATGCACTGCTGCGGATGACTTCTCTCTCTCTCCATGCCATCGGCCTTGGCAAGTATCAGGTGGGTCACTATATAGAAGGGGAATTGTTATTTGGACCTCACGCTAGTTATTTGGACCTCACGCTAAACTAAAATAGGAAGGCAATATACAGTGTACTCGTAATACTGTAAATAAGCCTATTTGTTGGCTTTGACGCCTTTAGCCTTTCCTATTTAGGAAATATTTCCTAGTACGATAGGATTACCCCCTGCCTGAGTATCTGCCTGAGTGCCTGCCTGGGTGCCTGCCTGGGTGCCTGCCTGCTGGAGTGCTTGTTCGGTCCGCTCGAAGCCTGAGATCTCTCGATTTCTAGAACCTCTAGGTCTTCCACGGGCTTGTATAATCAGTGGTTCTAGTAGATGAGGCCATTCAATTGGGGGATCTGGATTTAGATCATGCAGGTCAAGCAGTTCTACCGGATCATCCTGTGATATCAATTATTAAGGATAGAATTCCAAGATAGGTAGTGGTTCCCTAGACACGCGATAATGTAGAATAATATGGATACACGGGATTCCTAGTGTTCTAGTAGTGATCCCTGTATAATTTTTAATCAGTGCCTTTCCTGGGCCTATTGGTAAATAGTGATTTTGGATACTAAGCACTTTATTCAGTGCGTAGTTTAAGATATAATAAATAACCGCACTAAATAGTGGTTTAACCTGTAGATTACTAGGGGTCTGAATATATTTATCTGCAAGCGCTTGCTTAATCTGAAGGTAATGATTGGTGATTGTATGCTTGATAGATCTGACCATATTTAGTAGATTACCTAAGGAGCTCTAGAGATCTTGTTTAATTTGCTAGTGAGATCCCTCACTGCGAGATGTAGCTATCTGGCCAAAATATAGATAGATATTTATATAGCAGCGGAGAAAAGCTCTTTCTGTTTGAGGCTGAAGCTATTCAGATTCAATATAAAGTAAAAGCTTTCAAAATGCCGGATATTGATATATCCGCTTAAAACAGGCCCATTCATAATCTTTCTGAGAAACTGATTATACTAATATAATGCTATACTATTCAGTCAGTATAGCTTTCCATTGAGTATTAATCTGTTTGAGAAACTCCTTTGTATTGATTATTGAAGCTGTTAAAGTGATTAGACTTGTAGATATAGACAACTGCATAAGTAGATAATCGCGTATAGCCTATTTTGCATAACTGAGGATATTCTTATTAATATGCCATACACATAAAAGTGCGGCAGAAGATGGCCATATATTCCGTACAGCATTTATTAAAGTGTCATCTTTATCAGTAACCACTGCTGCCGGGGGTTGAAGCTGTAGAAAGGTATATAACTCAGCCAGGCATTCTAATATATAGCAAAATAAATCTTCCTGTTTATCAGATATAAAGCCAAAGGCAATATAAAATATGCCTCCCTGCAGTGTCAAGCCAATAATATTGAAAAGCGGCATATTATATCGATTTATTTTATATATACAGTCTATTATCAGAATATAAGGATTTCTGCGGAGATTCTCTATTAATAACTGATGACTAAGAAATACTGCAGAGACATGTTGATTCTCATGTACTTGATATTTAATATACCAATTGCCTTCTTGAGGTATTAAGCTAATTAAGGCTTGAATTAGTGTATAACCATTAAGACGCTCAATATCAACTCTATATCGTATATTATAGAGATCTCGGGCTCTAATCAATAGAGCATGGCCTTCTCGGTGTAGAATAGATATAATATAGTGTATTGGAAGACCTTCATTAAGCATTCCAATAATCTGATTATATTGCCGGCGAAGCTCACTACGTTAATGAGCTGGAAGTGCTGATATAGCCACAGGGCCATAATTATGAGTAGATTCTTCAATAGTCAAGCACCATCTCTCAAATATACTATTAAACTTAAGCCGTGCAGTAAAGGGGCAGTCAATCTAACAAGACCGGCCTATACAGATTCCTTGAGACTGGTTCTCTGCTGTACAGCCTCTATCGCAGACTATATCAATATATTTAAGGCTTCCAGTTCTAGGATCCTTTCTTAAGCGACGCCGAATAGCTGCAAAGCCGTTAACCAAGCTAAAGGCCTGCAGCGAGTCAAAAGCCTTGTCAGCTGAGCTGAATATTTAATATAGAGACAGTGCCGGGATAGTAATATTGCTATCATTCTCATCTTCAGGCTCTGATTAGTCAGAAAAGGTAATCTCATAGTCATCAAGAAAATCATCCATTATAAGCGCTTTTTATAGAGATTTAAAAGGCACTTTTGAATAGGGATATCATACAAATGCATTGAAAGGGTTTTACTAGCGCAGTTTTATGATCACATGATTCGCTTATCTTTCCTATTAAGGCTAAGCGTGAGGTCCAAATAACTAGCGTGAGGTCCAAATAACAACTCCCTATAGAAGGTGATGCGGATAGCGTACCCGGGCTGACCAAAATTTAGGGCTGAATACTAATCAGTAATAGGGTTGGTGATTATGTGATCCTTGGCGGATAGTAATCATTATTTGTTGCCCTAATATCTATGTGGTGATATATGGCATAAAGATAGTCTGCACGTCCCGATAAGGTTCCAGCATTAGTAATAGAAGAATGGTGGAACATGGCCACGCTGATGAATAATTTGGCTGAATATTGGAATGTTCCACCGGCGCACCCGTTCACCGTTTCCTGGTTGATCTTCGGCTGCTCGGGAGGACATCAAATGGCGCTTTCTCGAGTCAAGAATTCGGGTTAGAGGTCATTACAAAGCTGGACCCTTTCAGTAGCTTACCAATATAGTATTCATGAGCATGAAATGCATAACACTGTAGTAATCTATAGGTTATATAAGGCTTCGAGATCTGTATCTATTCTACTACAGCAGCTATAGCTTTATCTACTCCATGCAAATCTCGCTAGTACAGCAATAAAATGCTATTTTTCAATCAAGGTCCCGCTTTCAACCCCGAAAAGGATATCCCCGACCTCTCTGGAAAAATTATCTTGGTGACCGGCGGCAACAATGGCCTAGGCAAAGAATCTGTCCTGCAGCTCGCAAAGCACAACCCCACTAGAATATACATGAGCGCACGAAGCCAACATAAAGCCGAAACTGCTATCAAGGAAATAAAACAGACTGTCCCTACAGCGAATATCGTGTTCCTCCCCCTGGATCTCTCGTCCTTCTCATCCGTTCAAAAGGCAGCCGACTTATTTCTTGCTGAAAATGACCGTCTCGACATCCTGATGAATAATGCCGGTCTCATGGCATCAACACCGGGGCTTACGGAGGACGGATACGAGATCAACTTCGGCACGAATCATATGGGTCCTGCCCTGTTGACTAAGCGACTCCTTCCTGTTCTTGAGAGAACTGTGAATGCTGGCCACGATGTGCGAATTGTCAACCTGAGTTCGGCATTGTACAGCTCAGCCCCGAAACCTGGCATCCTCTTTGAGAAGAATAAGGAGGCTCTGGCCAATTTCAGTACGCTTGCTCGGTATGGTCAATCGAAGCTCGCGAATAATTATTTTGCCAAGATTCTCGCGGAACGGTACCCGGCTATCAAATCGGTTGCTTTGCATCCTGGAGTCGTGAGGACGAACCTCTCAGATGAAACTAAAAGGACATCCTTTTTTATGTCCTTACTTGTGAGAGTGTTTGAACCCTTGGCGGGTGTTGATGTGGGAACTGGCGCGCTGAACCAGCTGTGGGCCGCCGTTGATCCTTTAGTTAAGAGTGGTGGATTCTACTATCCTGTCGGAAAGGAGACTCATGGACGTGTTCTCGATGATAGAGATTTGGCCGTGAAGCTGTGGGATTGGACGGAGGCAGAGTTGAAGTCTCATGGATATTAACTGGTAATTTTGTGGTCCGATATTGCATGTCTTCCTTTGATATAATTATTCTTTCTCGTGGTTTAGCCCTTTCACCCCTATAGTCTTACGTTCTTGCTTTGTTATTGAAACCGTTATATTTTGGTAGTACAGTATCTCTTGTACGAAGAGGGTATATAGATCAAAGCTATCTAATAATGGAGCCCTCCGACTGATCTTTATTTCACAGAGTAATTTTGTGAAAAACTATACACAGGACCGCAGCTACAATAAACATAAATTCCAACCAAGTTGCCAAATAACCTAGTTGAGCCCGGCCCTTTTTACACGTGGCTCCGAGATGGACGGCTTACTCCACGTATCCCTCTACCGGGTCCACGGCACACGCAGCCTCCTGTGCGCCTGCAGAGGGGGTCCCTGTGGGTAGAGCGTCAAATTGTTCTGCATGGTGACGTGGATGTGGGTCGTGTGAGAGATGTAGTATCCCGGGAAAGTGGTCAAGAACTCTACCATGCCCTCGGAATCAGTCTTCGAGATGCGCTCGCAGGAATGTTTGGTTATCGGCAGTTCCATCATCGCGTGTTGTACAGCCATCCAGGATCTCTGCAGCGCCTGGGCCTACTCCGGTGAACCCAGAGTAGGATCCACTGGCATTGAATAGTGCTGATATTTGTTGTAGCGGGTAGAGCGTATGGAACCCTGGGTGTCTTGGCCGTTGATGAGGATGTCCCCGAATTAGGAACTCTGTTTGGATTCCGCTTGGTGTTCGCGTGCTCATTCCCGGTGATTCTAGTGGGGTTGGGTGGGATATAGGGTGTTTGTCTGGCAGTTCGGGTTCTGGGGTTAGATGGTTGGGTTGGGACATGTTGTCTTCGAGACTGTTGTTTGGTGATGGTGTTGATGGGAATGTATTGCTTCCTTTTGTAGAACCTAGAGTAGAGGGTTCGCTTGGGATAAGGCCTGTTGTTTGATACTGCCCTTATACAAAGGGGTATCCATTTAGATCGTGTAACTGGATAAGCTCAACCGTGTTGCAAGCTTGATTCAACAGCGAGCAGGAGTTCAATCTAAATCTTCCATCATTAGGGCTACCAAGTCCGGATTTCACATCAGAAAACTTGGATCTAGAAACAAGGAAATATCGTTTTCTTGTACTGTGATATCATAAAATTAGAGATGAACTGATACTGATCTAATAGTAGGCAATACCTGGTTATCTGACGTAAGGTCTGTTGACTATTGGTTAACAGCAATGTAGAGATACTTAAGTGCATACAGAAGACTCCGAAGCAAGACACAACTGATGCCAAAACACATGACCCATGTGACAGAATAGCTTCCAAGGTGCAAGCAATTTAAACCTTTCCAGAAAATAAAACAGCCACTTGACCGGTTCACTAGCCATCAGCAGACCTACCCACCAAAGGCATGGCATTCCTCCCTGCAGTTGAAGAGGAGAAAACATTTCCAGCCAGACTTTCAACGAGCGCTCGGACGTATCGGGCATCGGTGCTATCAGGGCCCGTCCTATTCAGGATGTCTTTGTAAAGCCCGTGAATCTCTCGCTCTGTGTCCAACTGTATGTTACGTGCGACTTCTTTGGCTGTTTCAAGGGATACATCCAGTTCTCCTTGTAAGAACTTCACTACGTTGACAATCGCCGAGTCGTGTACCGCATGCTCGAGGCACTCTTTCTCATACGAAAAAAGGTCATTGACGATGATTCGATGTTTGGCCCAGAGGCTCACTATATCCTTCAGTATGGGATCTTGTCCCTGTTCGTGGGAGAGGTGGATCGATGCTGCGAAGCGAATCATAGAGAGATGGATGCTTAAGTCTATTAGTCTTAGTGAGGACTAGTATTGTAGGGCGAGCGTACTCCGTAGCGGGATCTCCGATCCTAGCTTCAAGGTAGTCTGATAATGTCATGAACCGGTTGATGGTGGGGTCCGAATTGCAGTGGGCTCGCGACATCCGGTGCCATTTCAGTGCGCCGGCTGCAACGTCAAATCCAATGGTCGAGTCGACTTGAAGTATCTCTTGTAGAATACTAGATATGATACCGCATATTGAGTTGGATTTTACATGGGAGCCATTGCGAGTAGGAGTCGGAGGAAAAGATCGATCTTTCCCTGGCTCTCCCTGAGAGGCAGTTAGTAGGTTTCAGGGATCATGAGGACATTGAGGCCTACCTGTTCGCGTTCGACGATGCCTAAGACATCTTTTATACGGGTTGGCGGAGGTTTAGCCACACGCTCAACTGACTGGGAAACTTACCATCATGGATCCATATCACAACATGTAGTTGAGCTAGTAATCGGATTCTGACAACATCCGCTCTCGGGTACGTGTATACCGCGCATGCAACGGCCATCTCCACCACCTGCAAGATCTCTGCCAAATCTCTCCATTTCTTGCAGTAACCATTTCTCGAGGAGCCTCCAGTTCGAAAGAGTTTGTCGGTCAGCTCTTGCGCGGCGTCCTCCGCATCTCGCCATTGTCGACTCTGCCGACATGCTGGGAAAAATGTCTGCCAGGACACACCTAGCTTCTCTGGTTCGAGGCAAAAGGAAGATCTATGAAGAGCGGGGTCCTCTTTGGCGGCTGTAGAAAGATAGTCAAATAGGTCGTGCTTTGGAGAATCTGGTGTTGTATGCACTGGATCGTATGAATAGTGAACTGGTCTAATCGGATGAAGAGGTCCTCGATCAAATGGAAGAGTGGCTGTATACGACATAGCCATTGGATCTTGTTTAGACCAAGTATCTGTAGTAACGTCTTGCTCTCTCATTAACCGTATACGCGAGAAAAGAATGTTGTTTGTATTTATAACGCGTATTTGCCACTCAAGCCATCGATATCATGAAGTCACTCAACACAGATACCTGACTGGGTTGGCTCAAACTAACATTGTGGTCTGTGATCCATTTTGGCTATAACTAAATCCTTATATTGACATGTGCATGAAGGCGCTCAATAAACGGAAATATTTTAACATGCCACAAGCCACGAGTTCATAGGCTTTGTGCCATGTATTGCGTAAATAAAATGGCCGCAAAAAGCTCTCAGAAATTATAGGCTCAAAGCCATGCTAGAAACAGTAACAGACGGCCAAATAACACTCCGATAATAAGATAATTGAGAGTTTTTGGTGCCTTGAACCGTGGTTGCCAGGTGTTTTCGCTGGTTGATGTGCCAGCCAAGGCATGGTGAAAAGTATGTCCAAGTTTATTGACAAGCCATCTCTGAACAAGGACCGTAGAGTCGTGGAGTAATCAACATTGGAACAAAACGCGTCATAGTATTGTCTTTCACTCTTGTGTTGTACATGAGTCAAGAAACTGGGATAATTCCAAGGATGAAGAGAAATATCCTTGAGGTGCTTCTTCCACATTGGGACATGTCAGGTGACTAGATGAGGGCAACATGATTTCGGACGCAATGAGAACTTATATAGTTGAACTATTGTAACACGCTCTATTCTATCGTGGCTTTATTCTATAATATTCGCGTCTATTCATTAGTCATACCAAATGGCATTCATGCCGAATCCTTTCTCAGGGATGTCTACTCGTGCGACCCGAGCCAGGTTCTCATCGCGGAATCGATAGATCTCAACGAAGCCCAGCTGGTCATCGCACAATGCTAGCCATTCGTCACTAAAGTCGCAGGGGCTAACCGCGTTGGAGTGCCCTCCACTGGTTGAAGTGGGATGGATAAACAGTTGGCGCTCAATGTTACCATTAGGACCCAGCTTAAAGGCCGTAATGTAGCCTGTGATGTCGAAGGAGTTGCCGCGTGTGGTTGCAAAGAGATAATTGCCACTGCGAGTAGTGAAAGTCACGTCGCCACGATACTTGTTGCGAGGGGGGAGACCTATGACGATCAGATTAGCGTGTTGTGGTGATCTTGATGGGCAGCATCACCAAAACTTACCAGGAGGGAGTAATGGATAGGTAATATGCGTAAACACAGGGACATGGCGCTTTTCATCGATCACGTACACTCCAATTCGGTTACCGGCTTCCATCAACACATACAAGTACTTTCCGCTAGGATGCATCTCAACCCAGCGAGGGTGATCACCGGGCGAAGGAGCCTCAATGCAATCCACCAGGGTCAGTTCTCCTCTTGTGGCATCCTTACGATGGGTCCAGATCTTGTTCGCCTGCAGATCGGCAGAATAAAGGTAGGTCTCGGTCGGGTCGAAAACCATGCCGTGTATACCGGTGTTGGGTTCGTACTCGTAGTTTTGGACGTTCTTGGCAAGACGGCCGTCGGACTCCACGGAGAAGACGTTACCGTATCCGGCATAGTTGTAGAATGGGTTTCCATAGAGAGCATAGGGAGCTTGATGGGCAGCGAGGATGAAGATAGCGCGTGTATTAGTGTCTTCGTTAGCGGCAAGGGCTGCAAGGAGTTAGGATACCGCATCACATCACAGCGGGCTCTCCAGGAGCAACTGAAACGTACGATGGCCAGCGACTGGGTGGGAGACCTGATGCACGATATCTGTGGGACTATTGACGGCGAAACTATTCCACTTTTTCATGGCCGCTCCGTAGATGGTTTTCTTGTCGTGCTATACCAATCGCATGAGACAACGTGAATTGAGGCCGGCCAGACCAAAGAAACTTACAGAGAAGGTCATCCATGAGATCGGTTCTGCTTCTGGAATGTTGGTCTTCTTGACCAGATCCAGGGTAAGTGCTTCATCATCGAATGCGACGGTATAGATGCGGCCCGGAGGAGTCCAGGTACCAACCATAAGATGATGCTTCATGTTGGCAGTGATTGATTGGGAGAATGCACGAGATATATTATGAGAGACAGGGACAAATCGAGAGGTTGACGAGAACATTGAATGTTGAAATGAAGAGTGAGTAGCATGTCTAATAGAGTGTTTAGTGGAGAAAAGACGGAGTTTGATATCAACCGAATGCGGGGGGACCGGCAGTCATGGGCGGCACTAGACTGGTGCCTCAGGCCGCTAATCGCTGGTCGGGGCCTGATTGGTTAACACATCTTTGACGGATCACCGTTACCCCAGAACCCTTATTCCCCTGAAGTTGGCAAGGCAAGAACTCCATTGGGATGATGTACTCAACCTAAGAGTTTCCTGCTGTCTTCTTTTATTTTCCTCCTGTCTTTCTGATACGTTGTGGTGAACCCTACCATTCAACTATATTCCAACATATATCTCACCGGCTGCGTCGCTAAAATAAAACGTGCATCCATTAAAGCATGCTTTATACTGCCCAACCATGTATGATCATGAGCTTTTAAAGTATAGCTCTACTTTATTGCTATTCACGAACATAATTTATGTATCATCTCTCTACTAGCACACAAAACTAAAGATAATAAATACACGCGATCTTCCTAATTGCATCTATATTGAATGTAGGGACTAAGTGACATCCATATTCACGACAACCCCCTTTCGAAATCGAACCTGATACTTCCAAGTAAGTATTATACAAGCCATCTCTTCTCTTATTTGGGGAAAGTTAATATTGCGAAACTATTAGCTATAATGGATAAGGTTCTCTACTGTCGGATATAGTAATTGCCGGAGCGGATAGGCTTTTACCCGCACCCAAAGCTGGGAGAGTTGGGGTCTGGGGTAAGTCTTATGGCTGCTGAAACCCTGGGATTCTATGGCCTATTTTTATAACTGAGTACCTCTAACTACAAAATATGTAGATATATCAGTCCCAGTTTTAGCTTTGATTTTCCCTTCCATTGCTTTCAACTTCTATATTCGGTCAAGGAAGCGCCCGGCAGTCGATCAACATGAACGTTTCTCGCTCCAACCTTCTTTTTCTTGGTGTTCTTGTCCTATATATTCCTTATAGGGAGTAGAAAGTAGAGATGCGCGTAGTCGATCTCCCCTTAAACGCCGAGCCTTACGCTTCAACGAATGGGAAATAGGCTAAGCAACGCATCCTACCTGAGCTCCGCTCTTGTTCAGGATAAGTCTGGGGCTCTTGAAGATGAGAATAGAGATACTCAGGGCTACTAGTCTGGCCTAGGTATTATACTTCCGTCCGATAAGTTCAACTGGTGTTGTAAGTATATGTAAGACAAAGATTATCTAGCATTCGTGGCCGGCCTTGAAAAGGCATGTATGAATAGGACATGGCGGATACTTTTCTTTTGACTCTATGGTGTATAGGCATATATAGCTCGATTCAGTAGGAGCAGATTCTGCGACTGTAATAACGCATTGCCGTCACCTCAGGTCTGCTACTGATATGAATCTATACGAGACACGTGATCGACTAGTGGCTTGGCCGGATCACCAACTCTTCAGCCCCTGAAGGTTTTACCCATTAGTAGATGAAGAAAGCAGTCAAGATAGTTGATACAGTCGTCCATAGAATTGAGTATCTATCGGAATGGCATCCGGTCCTCAGTAGGCTACGTACGTGTAGCTGATACAGCACCATTCTGCCCATCTTTCCCCTGAGATCACAACAGCTACAAATAATCCTTGTTCTCCCGGAACTTCAGCCAAGTAAGGGAACACGCGTCCGCCTCATATGATCGCCATTAACTGGGATCTTAGATGCATATTATAAAGGTTCGGGCAATTGTGTAGAGAGCCTGACCTGACAAGTTGAATTGAGCAGAAATGAGTTCCTTTCTGCTAGATGGGCTTGGAATGGGCCCGAGCTCAGTAATTTTCGGTGCCAAGGACAATATGCGCAAGGCCAAAAGGGATATATGCGACAGCCCTACCCAAGTCAACAAAGACGGGGCAATAGGGTGCAGAATGACTCCAACATCCGTCTCATCCCGCCATGGGTTACCTCTAACTGTTGGTTCGTCGCTCTCATGCTATGGTCAAAGGCGGTATGGTCTTGTGCGGATTTGACTAATCGCCTGGTTAGCAAGAATATAGTCACGTGAATTGGGGTACTTTACCTCCGGCGTTTTCACGACTTTCGGATGTCTCCTTGACAGGAAAGACAGCACTTCAAGCTTTAAGTAACTACTTACTAGTGCTGACTCGCTAATCCCATCAAGTATGGCCAATCCCTGTACTGGTAATATGCTTTAGTCCACGTGGTGAGACAACAGCCGGCCAAACGGTAGACGGCTGAGCCTAGCCCTAGTCTTATCAATCAGCCCCACCTTAGTCAGCGCCGCAATCGTCACAAAATCTCGCGATCGGCAAGAAACAGGAAGTTAAACCCCTCGATCCTCACGAGCGCTACCATTGACTCCCAATTCAACACGGGAACCCTTGATTCAACGTCAGAATGGACTTCATCCTTACCCTCTCCTGCCCTGACCGTCGGGGAATCGTGCATGCCGTGACCGCCTTCCTGGTCCAGCATAAACTGAATATCATTGACTCATCGCAATTCGGCGACACCACCTCCCAGCGCTTCTTCATGCGCACACACTTCAAGGCTGAAACCTCGGAAGATGTTCCCCAGAAGACCATTGAGGAGCTGCGCGAGGCCTTTGAGCCCACCGCCAAGTCCCTCTCCATGGACTTCCAGCTTGTCCCCGCCACCCAGAAGCCCCGCGTACTCATTATGGTCTCCAAGATCGGCCACTGCCTCAATGACCTTCTCTTCCGTACCTCCACCGGCCAACTCGCCATCGATATCCCACTAATCGTCTCCAACCACCCGGACTTCGCCACCCTCGCTGCCACCTACAACATTCCCTTCATTCACCTCCCCGTCACCGCCGCCACCAAGCCCCAGCAGGAAGGCCGCATCCTGGAGCTCATCAAGGAGCACAACATCGACCTGGTCGTCCTGGCGCGCTACATGCAGGTGCTCTCCCCGACGCTCTGCGAGGCTATGTCCGGCCGCATTATCAATATCCACCACTCCTTCCTCCCCTCCTTCAAGGGTGCCAAGCCCTACCATCAGGCCTACGATCGCGGCGTGAAGATCATCGGTGCCACCGCACACTTTGTCACTAGCGACCTTGACGAGGGTCCGATCATCGAGCAGAACGTCGTCCGTGTCAACCATGGCATGAGCCCCAAGGAGCTCACACACGCCGGAAGCAACGTCGAGAGCAACGTGCTAGCCGCCGCCGTGAAATACTTCTCCGAGCGCAGAGTCCTGCTTAACGGCCACAAGACGGTGGTCTTCAACTAAATGCGTCTCACATATGTATTTATCATTTATATAAAAAAGTTAGATAGACGGATGGATATAAATAAACGTTGGCCTCTTTATCATAAAAAGAAAACCGTTACAACCGAATCCCCTCAAACGGATGATAATCCTCCTCCCCCTCCCACTGCGCTGCATACAACGACTCGCCCATCTGCGACGCATCCATACCCGCAACGACGTCCCTAGAAACCAATTAGCATAAACAAGAAAAGAAGAAGAACAAGAAGAATGTACTCATCCGACCCCAACACCTCAAACCCAGGCACACAATCCACCAAAGCATACAACACATAACTACCCCCAAAACTCCACACAAACCCAATGACCGCCTCAAGAAACTGAATCCAAAGCTGGCCCCAATTCCCATCAAACACTACTCCCCCCTTAATAACCGTACTCCCATCATACGCCGCGACCTCCCGCCTCGCAAACAACCCCGTAACAATCGTCCCCAAAAACCCACCTAGACAATGCGTAGCAAACGTATCCCCGCTATCGACCCAACGCCAGAGCGCAGCCCACTTCGTGAACTTAATCCGCAGCGCCTGTCGCCCGAGCGATGCGCCCAGGACCCCGAACCCAACTGCCGTCGTCATGTCAATGAAGCCGGCGCTGGGGGTGATGAGGACGAGGCCGGCGATTGCGCCGAGGAAAGTGCTGTCTAGACTCCATTTCCCCGTGTCCCAGTAGGTGAGGGAGGCCCAGGTTAGGGCGCCTGATGCGGCGCAGAGGTTTGTGACGCAGGCTGCCATGACGGATTTGAAGTTGAGGGCGAGGGTGGTGCCGGCGTCAAAGGCAAGCCAGGCGTTCCAGATGATGATTAGGGCGAGGAGTTGGCAGAGGGTGTTGTGGGGTTTATGCAGGGTGAGGTGTTGGGGGGTGCGAGTGAGGGAGCGCTTGGAGCGGAAGAGTGGATAGGAGAGGTAGAGGCTCATGGCTGTTGCTGATGCACCGCTGCAGATGTGGACGGGCGTGCCTCCGGCGAAATCGAGGGCGCCCAGGTTGGCTAGGAAGCCGTTTTCTGACCAGACCATGTGCGCTAGGGGCGCGTAGATGAAGGTGCACCAGAGCTGGGTGAAGTGTTAACTTGATTGGTTAGATTCGGGAGAGGGCGGGCGTACGAAAATGAAAGGAATGAGTGGGAGGAGTCTTCCGCGCTCGCAGGCGCCTCCAATGGCGATCGCGCATACCGTGGCGCAGAAGATGAGCTGGAATTCGGAGAAGAGGATCTCTGGGATAGTTCCGACGGGTTCGGCGAGGACGCCGGTGTGGAAAATTTTACCGAAGCCGCCAAATACACTGTTGCCGTCGCCGTAGGCGAGTGAATATCCTAGTATCCACCATTGGATCGAACAGACGGATACTGCTAGGAGACCGGGGTAGAAGGACGCTAGACTATTGAATCGTGTCGAGTAGCCTGAGTAGGCGAGGCCGACTGCCGGGATAATCAGCCAGCAGAAGATGCTGCATACTAGAATAAAGAGGGTGTCTGTCTTCGAGCAGGCCTCCCAGGCAGCTTGGACAGACATCTTGTCGCAGTGGCTGCGTTGTGACATGCAAAAGGGGGCGTTTCGGAAGTTCATATATTGGCGTGGATAACGCACTGATAAGAGACCGTTAATACTGACACATTAAATTGGGTTGTGCTATCATATCGAAGGGGTCATCGAGTGCGATATCGAGGTGCATGTCGACCAATCCTGAGCGGAGAGCGCTGCCAGCGCAGTTACGCTGCATAACCGAGGCAAGGAAGGCATGTACTGTAGTGTTGATCTGGGCCCGTGTAAAGAGAATCTATTGGCTAGGATAAGGATGATATTGCGTTAGCAGCCTGCAGGAAATATGCGCAAACAGAGGAGTATCCCAGTATTTAAGTTGAATCCTCAGCTGCCCCTCAGCCCAGTGCGCGTTAAGTAGGTATATTAACCCTAACTCGGGGATACCCGGAGATACCACATGAAGTAAATAGGTGCAAACGCGCCTTTAGAACTGCAAAATAAATTAATATATAACAAGTATCACTAGGCGTTACATGACATAGCGAAAACTCTCAATCTCAAGGTCTGTCTTGTTCGACAACCCTTGCATCCGCTCCTCGGCCTCAGTCAACTGCGAAGCGGGACCATACACGTTGTCGCGGCGTTTATTCTCCACGACATAGTAAACTAGCAAGCAAACTAAGAAAAAGGCACCCAAAGCGAGGCCAGAAATAGCGGCCTTCATACCGGTCTATAAACTGGTTAGTGTCCGTAGGTTAATATACGATCGTTAGAAGAACGAGACTTACCGGGTAATGCGGTTCCTCAGAGACGACAAAAAATTGAGGACCAACGATATTCCCTATACAGTAGGCGACGAACAACAACGCACTCGTTGCACTTCGTTTAGTAAACCCGGCGACGTTTGAACTAATGATACTCAAGGATAACGGAATGTTGACTGCGAAGACCGCGCCCAGCGCCAATCCGGCCAATCGGCCTTTTTGATTGTCGTCATCTAGTTTCCAGACGAGGATCATACCAATCAGTGAGACGGTTGTATTGAAGATCATCATGATGATCCGGGTATTGGGAACGATGGTGGCGATGCCTGCGGTCATAACCAAGAAGATAACCTGCGCAGCGCCCAGGGGCATCTGCATTAGAAGGGACTTAAGTTGGGTGAAGCCGAAGCCATTTATAATTATTGAAGAGAACTGTGCTGTCAGTAAGGTCGAAAGATATATCCATAGGCTGGATGACGCACACTAGTGATGCCTCCGTTGCATAGGTTGACGGAGAATGTATACAGGACGAGAAACCATGTTTGCGGGTCTCGAAGTGCCAGCCATGCTTGATTCCATTTGAAGTCTCCACCATCCATCACACCTGTCTTATTTTTGAGAGTTCGCTGCACTGCGATGGAACGCTCTGTCTTGGTTAGGAAGATGGTCTTCTGCGGGGAGTCGGGCAGCAGCACGACGAGGAAGAAGGATATGCCGGCGGTAATGGCACCCAAGAACAGGAATAGGAGTTGCCAACTTGTGATAGCGTGGATTTGGATGGTTCCAATGCCATAAGCAACAACACCACCGATGACGGTGGAGATGCAGTTGCCAAGGAACCATGCAGCTTGTCTGCGATAGCGTTAGTTTGATGCGGCCAGAAACGCGAGATCAAGTATTGACCTTGCCGGTTGCTCCTCTCGTTTGTAGTACATGCCGGTAATAAGAGCAAACCCGGGGGCGATAGCAGCTTCGCCTACTCCCAAGAAGAAACGCGCAGCCATCAGACCACCAAAATTTCTCGCAGCCGCATGGCAGAGAAGAAATCCTCCCCAAAGGAACCTGCAACATGTTAGCAATAGATGGCGAACATAGGTGGATAGACCAACACTGAGGCACTGAGATACTTTCCAATGGGAAGTCGGACAATAAGGTAGGAGCTTGGCCTAATCATGCATCAGTAAGTAGAGTATGCTAGCGTTTTAGAGGTCATACCAGCTCCACGCGAAATAACCAAAATAAAAGATCGCTGAGGCCCAAGAGTATTCCGGCCCTTTGAGGTTCTGTCAGAATTAGTATCATTATAAAAGCAAATAAAAATCGGCCATACCAAGTCTTCTCTTAGATTGAACAAAGTCGCTTGACTTAAAGCCAGTTTGTCCATGTACTGCATCATATAGCAGACACCCATCAGGGGTATCAATCTAATGATGTGAACCTCGAGCCATAGATGATAAAGAAGGAGGCTACTTACATCAGATCTAGTTTTAGTAGCACCTTTCTCTCCTGTTTCGGCGTAACCTCCACTCCCAATATTTGTCCCAAGTCAACATCTTTGGCGACTGATGCCTGGGGTTCAAGCTTCACGCCATCTATTTCTGGCGTCACCCCAGGCGCACTGTCATGTTGCTTTTCCATGGTATGCATTATTCTGAACTTTCAAGCTTGTGGGGCTATCAATGTTTCTGCTCGAGGCATGAGTCCTTATATGACCGGGATCCAGGGTAATTCGGTAGCCATTGTCGGGAATTGGATGATACTCTTGCAGCGGAAAACTAACATAATTTCCGCACCCGAAGTACGTTAATCAGGCCCAGAAGATATCCAAGAAATACATGCCTTACTGGCTAGGCAAGCGTCCAATGAGTCAACTCTTGCCGTTTCCATAGAGATAAAGGACGAGGGTGATACGATAGACAGCGGAATTGGCATCACTGTTAGCTTGCCACCCAATACCGTGGGTCTAAATCAATACTGGAGTTATAAACCAATGGCAGATCCACCTTCATTACATGAATTTGCCCTATTTTGCTGGTAGTGCTACTCGATAGGGACCAACTGGGGCTTCGTCGGAAAATCCGCCAATACTGATCCGCAGCTCGGCAAAAGTCCAACTTAAATTTTCAAAGGTTATCAACACAGTTCCTTATCGAGTGGATCCAACATGCTGGAAACGATCTTTGACAGGCACTGTTGCAACTTCCCCGCAAATTCGATCGTGCGGAGAATATCGTGTCTGGAAATCTCGGTTGGCTCACACGAGGTTTGGGGTTGTCTCATTCACATCCCCACTCTTGGCTTCGGCAACTTGGTAAAGGGTCTGAAGTGCTATCTGCCGAGGTGCCAGTGATAATGGACATAATCATTCATAAGATATGACCAATATCGTCCAAAATACTGTTGGTCATCTTGCTTTCTGGTTTGATAGCTTGCTTACTCTTCCTTGATAAGGACAATGGCAGTGTTGCCAACGTGCGGGGGCGCAGGCGATGGAGCCGACGTGCAGAATGATACGAAATAGCGGCGGCGATTTATCCTATCAAGCGGCCCTTTGAGTGTAGGGCTTTGATCATTATTATTAGCAATCCTACCCAGCCGTAGCCGTATTTCCGAGGTTTGGACTAACATACTTAAGGCGAAACCCCCCTTACATAGGCACTTCATCAGGTATTCCCACGAAAGACAAGCCCAGAAATCACAACCACCGCCATGACAGTCTTGCAAAGCCAGCCCAGTATTGAAGATGTGAAGGCATCTGTAGATGCAGCGCTAGAATCCTTGCACATAACTCTACGAAACCTAAACAAAGAGGTAGAGTCTTGCCCTGACGTTGCTCGGAGTATTCGCTTACCGTGTAGATCTGGTCCAACCCTGAAACAGCTTACGAAGAGCACAAAGCTCATGACGCTATCTGCAATTTCCTCGAAGCGGAAGGCTTTTCTGTTACTCGTCACGCGTATGGTCTGGACACGTCATTCGAAGCAACAAGCGGCTCTGGTGGTCGGTTGATCAACTTCAACGCCGAATACGATGCCTTACCTGACATTGGCCATGCTTGTGGTCATAACCTAATTACAACGAGCAGTGTCGCCGCTTTCTTCGCTCTTTCTACCATTTTAAAGAAATATGGCATTCCTGGGCGTACTCAGCTCCTAGGCACGCCTGCTGAGGAGAACGGTGGTGGGAAGGCCAAGCTGATCGATGCTGGGGCTTACAAAGGCGTCGATATCTCATTGATGGCGTATGTGTTCTTTCTTTATCCTTACTACATAGTCTGACTTAGTGTAGTCACGCTGGCCCCGAAAATCTCTTCCCTGGCGTTGAGGCTACTGGTGTGGGTGGCGTTCTGATGAATGCTCGTAAGGAGATTCACTGCGAATTCACAGGGAAGAGTGCACATGCTGGAGGCAACCCGTGGGATGGTATCAATGCGCTGGATTCTCTGGTGGCCTCCTACAATAATGTTGCTATCCTACGACAACAGCTTCAACCAGATGAACGTGTTCATTGTGCGTTCTTAGATACACCCAAGGTGGCTAACGTCATCCCATCCTATACCAAGGCCTATTGGCAGGTTCGCAGCCCAACGTTGAAAGGTTTGAATAGGTTGATGGTCAAGGTGCGCAATTGCATCGAGGCTGGTGCCCTGGCAACTGGGTGTGAAGCCAAAATTATAGAGTACTACTCCGCTTGCAATTGTTTTTTATTTTGAGACTAACCTCTGGTCAGAAATGAACTTTACACAGATATAAAGTTGAACGACACATTATGTGAGCGCTACCAAGCCCACATGGGCAGTTGGGGACGAAATGTCCTGAAAAGCCACGATAAAATCCTAACTGGATCATCTGATATTGGTAAACCAGCCCTTTTCTGCGGTCAGTTATCCGTTGCTAATTCTTGGGCCAGGAAATGTCAGCTACGTGATGCCTACTCTCCATACCATGTTCGGCATTCCAGCACCGGATGGATCGTTTCCCCATCATCCGTCATTTGCAGCAGCCGCTGGCACGGACGAGGCCCACGGTGAGGCGGTGGTTGTGGGTAAATCGCTAGCCATGATCGGGTGGGAAATGGTTACGGATGAGGCACTATTCGAGCGAGCGAAACATCAGTGGGAGAAGTGTATCCAAGAATGAAGTCAATGCAAATTCTCAAATAATGTATGAATATTGTAGAGCGTTAAGTAATTGATTTCGACAATATACCACTTGCAGGCCCGAGATTGGGCAAGGATATCGCAGCATAGCTATCAGTAACGACTTGTAGTAACCCAGATATAACTAAGTCATTTTATTTCTTGGTTGGCGTCTCTGTGAGAGTGCTTTCTCACAAAATCGCACAATGCTAACAGGCTTCCTTTTAACAGCTTTGTCTAGTGCCGTGCTGTATCGATCACGAGCACCAGGGTCAAACCCTTCAGCAAAAGTTTCACTATTCCCTCATACCCACCTCTTGTGACAACCGGTAATGCGCGAACTAAGAGGTCTGCATTGTAATCATTGCCTCCAAATTCTAGCAGAATTCGAGTGGTCGCAACATTGCTCACGGACTTGGCTACGAATATTGGCGGATGACGGAAGCGATCCCTGATATCCAAATCAATGCCAGGAATTGTAATCAACAACTTGGCGGCCACTTCATAGCCCTTTACCGCTGCATAATACAAAGGGCTCCTGTCGAACATCCCACCTATAACATGAGGATCAATTCTGGGCACTGAAATCATAAGTCTCTCAACTGCCTCGTGGTTGTTCTTTGTTGCGAAGTGTAAAGCGGTCTCTCCATAATCATTCCTAATATTAACGTCTATTGCGGATATATTAAGCAGCAATCCCACGACTGCTTCATACCCGTTCATTGCCGATGATGCAGGGAGTGTTGCCGAAATAGCGTCTAGAATTGAGCCGAATATTGGGTATTGCCAGTAAGTACTTGATTACTTCTTTATGATTATGGATCGCGGCATATGTAGAGGAGTTTCACCCCATCTATCGGGGCATTAATATTCACCTGACTAGTCAGGAGCAAAGTCTTCAAATTTACCATTTTCGGCAGCACACGAGAAAGGTGTCTGTCCTCTAAGTACGAGAAGGGGGCGCATGCAAGCATGCTCGGCCACAACAGGTTGGACGCCTGGCTGGTCGAGAAACAGTCTCACCAGACCCCCTTCACCGTGACTTGAAGCCCAGGAAACTGGGGTACGGTTGTATTTATCTCGTTGACATCCGCACCCAGCGACAGAACAAATCGTGCCATGGATTGTTGGCTTGCTTCGGTGACTACCAGAAAAAGCATTGAGTGCTGTCAGGTAGTGGTTGATACAGTAGCTCCATTTGCAAGAGCTCGCTGTAGAGTTGCCTGTTTGCCATGCTCGACAGCCCAAAATAACGACGAAGCGGCTGAATTTTGCACCTTACATTGATAGAGGTGGTCTACCAGCGTACTGTAGTAGGTTTTGTTTGCCCGGGAGAGTACTGAGAGATCTTTTTCGTCGAGCCTAGCTGCGATATGCAGAAGTCTAAGCGGTAGATCCGATAGAAGCATTGTCTGAAATAGGCATTGCACGATAGAAGAGAGAAGTAAAGGGTACAGGTATTAGGAGGAACGTTAGGGGCAGCAGTTATCCCGGAAGATTGAATTGTACATATTAATATACGTGGAGAGATGAGGTGCGGATATTTCTTGCGCTTAGGCTGGCCTAGCAAGCCACTTGACTTCTGCCAGCTACAGTGATTAAAGTCGAGTTGCGCCAAAAAAAGTTATATTGACATAAATTCCTTGTCGTTCGATATGTCATTTCATCGGCTGGGCCACATTATGAATATGGTATGACATATCGTTGCTCTGTGTGAATATAGCTTTGATATCCGTGGCATATGATAGAACTTAATGCCCATACGGATACCCTTCAGCTCATAGCTATTGCTCGTGAAGGATTGCATGTCAGATGCCAGACATTAAGCAGAATGATTTCTTTCTACCGGGTCTGCTTTCCTCCCCAGAGTGTCATATCTCCCATAATATCAGGTGACATGGGGAAAGAAATTTGTCCACTGAACAGTTCGATATGCTGCAGATGGCAACATTCTCAAACTCATTAAGGCCTCAATAAGAAAGTAACATCTTGCTAAAGTATAACATACCAAGACTAGGAAGAAGATGGGTGCAGCAACGATATCTAAGTCACCATTTCGAATCAGGTACAGGGCTTTGGATTGAGAGCGAACACCTTTCCACCATAGGATCCACAGTGCACCCCAGACAGGAACTGTGGTAAGGAAAAGAGCCGATCCCCTCCACAGCCAACGCTCTAAGGTGGTTGGAAAATCTGAAGCCCAGGCAGCGAGGTGGCAGCCTCCATATAAGACATTGAAGATAACATGAATACCTTTCTCAGGGGAGGGCTCATGTCCAAAGTCAGTACTCCAGCCGCCCCATACGGCCCTGATGGTAAAGTTTTCGGAGGTTTCACGAAGCAGCCTCCGATGGCTGGGTTGGATTCCCCGAAGCGTGTTACACCCTTGACTTTCTAAGAGATTGAGTCCTTGGCGAGCGTCTTGCGCAATGGCGCACAGGATCTCCTCTTCGTCATATCGCTTGGCGGAATTATGTGTCGCCCTTGACTGATAATCGTCGAGCAGTTGATCAACAGGTTTCAACAGAGGTGGTTTAGGCGGCGGATCGAAAGACGAAACTCCCCGTGACGCTTGTATAACACGCTCCTTCCAGTACTCCATTCTATGAACTTCGTACCGGTAGCACTCTTTCTGATAAACGTCACGACAGATATCGGAGAAATTAAAGAACGCACCGATAGAATCCATATCTGGCCCAGTGATAAGAACTGACTGTAGCAAATTATAAGGCTTGTTGACCCAAATGGCATATACCAGGATCGCGCATCCGACATGAATAGCTGTATGCGTCTCCAACGGAGTTACGGGCAAGCCCTCACACAATCTTCCCAGCACCTGTAGGGCAAACCAGACAATCTGGCCAACTACAATGCTTTTAGCGAATATATCTGCTTTACTCCGTTCTGCAATCTCTTCTCGGCTAAGGACAGAAAGATGACCTGTTTGGGATAGTATCAATACTCCTTCCGCTGTAAGCAGACGGCGAATGGTACACTTTTCACCCGTAGTTCCAAGATAGTGAGTTTCAATAGCAAAACCGCCCATGACAGCAAACATTGCCTGATCGAGGAACCAAGGGCTTGTTGCTACTTGGGGATGGCGAACTACAGAGGAAGGAGTCAAAGGTTCCACAGAGGCTGATTCGGAATTTGTTGGGAGTAGTAAATGATCTTGATTCCCAGTTTCCGAATTGGGCTTTTTCCATGACAAGGAATGCTTCAGCTGAAGTGGGGGAGTAAGCTAGATATTGTTTAGTGAATGTAGGCTTCACTGATATAGATCGTTTCGCGTCTGAATCGCACTTTGCGCAGCTCGACACACCACACGGACATAAGATATGCAACAGAGAACAGCTGGTTATGATGTACTATACCTCTGATGTAGACCTCTTTGCCATCTGCCCCAGGGGCCGGTTCACATCACTAAGTAGGGCTTTCGCGCGTCTTCTCTCACCCCATGCGGAAGTAATGATAATCTCCGGGAAGATGATGGCCAGCGCCATTAGCCCCAAGCGCTCGAGCAGCGTCGGCCAGAGCTTATGTTTTACCGGAATATTTGGATGGATCGCAGTCCATACACATAGAGCGAGTGTCGAAAGACATGTCCACAGTATATCGAGGGTCCCTCTTGTACCAGGGCCTGCAGTCCAGCCTTGGACTTGGGGCATTGTGAATCGCGTTTGTCGAGACAATTATTTCTCGTATTCAGCGATCCGGTCACACAGTCGTTTAAGAAGGCCACCCGGAGTTAACGATGATCAGGGGCGATCAAAATCTCCCATCCCTTTATCTTGACACATGCGATTACGAGAACGGTGGGAAGTGGAGACATCCCTGGGGGCCATAATTCCGGCTTAATTTATTCATAGCCAATAATATATTCAAAAGTCTGAGCCTTAGACGTTTAGTCAACTTTGTAAATAAGTTAATGTAAGTTCTGCGGTCGCAAATGCAGCAATGAAGGACACCCTATGCGCCTGACGCAAATTCCACTCTGAAAAATCGTCCACATTGTGGACTTACCATACATAGTCCTGCCCAGAATTCATGTCTAAGAAGGATCTGTCAATGCTACATTTGTAGCCTTAGGGAAAGGCTGTTGTCAACAATTTTTAAACGTGCAAGATGCTGTACAGACCAAACACTAGGTGGACCTGGATCTTTTTCGTTTCCACATTCATTGAAGCAGTGGTACTCATCTCTCTCGAAGCGTATGTTCGGCTCTACCAAGCATGAGAAATGTTACTAACTAATATAATAGGGTAATATTTTCCAGCCTTTGGGGAAATATCGGCCCCTATGCTCGCGCTATAGCGACGTCCCAAACAATCCCTTCTTTCTTCAGTTTGGTAACGCTAGGGCTTGTATATCAGCTGCTGCTGGTATATGATACATTAGCAAATCAGAGCACTATCCAGGTGGTTGGCCTCGGAATATACTCGGCCACAATGAGTGTATACAATGGTCTCCAGTATAACCAGCTGCGCGATGTCATACGGGACTTGATAGAACATTTTGTCATATCAGAAGGTACATGGCCTCCAATCAGAGGACTCCTGATTGCAATCATAGTGATCACAGCGTCTTTTACATTCTGGATCCAGTTCAGTGCGTGGAAGCTGTATGAGGAATTTGCCTGGATTACCCTTCGAAAGGTGGAAGCCGATATCGAAATGAGGCGCAGATATCTACACTTTGAGGTACATTTAAGCCTTTTGTGATGTTCTCGCTAGTATGAGTCTGACTAGTTTTGCCCATCAGTTGCTTTTATCCCTACTCAAATTTGACGGGTTTTTCTTCCTTGGATTTCTTGTGCAGCTTGCAATTGTGCCAAGCATTCACACCAGTCCGACATTTGCAGCAACGGTGGTTTTAATCCCAACCTCATGCTGCCTATTGTTTGCCACAGCGTCAGTAATAAGATACGAGAGTCGACTAGGAACTGTTGCTATATCTGTGAGTGAGCACCGCAGAGTAGTTGCAGATCGATTGACCAAGACAGATAGCTAACCGGACCAGGCCCTGCATCTTTCACTTATAGGCTTCTTCGTATACATATTCACTTGTTTTTATTCGACCCCTTACTACGTAGAGTATCTCCCAGCTAGAAGGACATTGAGCTTCTTTGGGGTCGTAACCATGGCACTTGCGCTAGCTACAGTAATCATGATATATCTGTGCTACCGGAATTTCCATAAAGGACTTCGACCATATATCTCGGGTGGTTCCAAAGCGAGACTCCTCGGAGAGACCTTTGAGGTAGAGCTGCGCGAAGGGTACCTACGAGTTCCGCACAATGCAACGTGATATTGATGTTTTCCTTTCAGCATGGTGAGCCAGAGAGCTTCCCTGCTTGGGAAGCATTGTATATTAACCTGCACAAATAAAGGAAAGAAAAACGTGGAGGGCATGGATATGGGGAGGATTGATCCTGATACTTTAATTAACGAGCAACGAGATCTAGCTTCCTTCCCTAGTTCAAGTCGTACGTGATAGTCAACGTGTCATACACCATGCCAGTGATGAAACAATAGAATGGCGCATGTAGAAAAAAAACGCATGTTCAGACAAGTCATTTTAATAGTCTATAGTAAGCTACTGTCATGTCTTCCACTCGCTCGTATTGTTTTAACCACCTGCTCGCACTGGGTATTAGGGCTCGCCGCAGTACTGCATACAGTACAGCCCTGCTCGATAGCAAGCATGACCACAGTGTATATGTAGAAGAACACATACAAACAACATAATTAGAGATCTAATAGGTATTACTAATTCGAAATATTTAACTATTTCGGTTCTCGATTGACCGATACAGTGCTGACTAAGCGCTATCAGGTCTTTCCCCGTAACCTGCCTTTTTTCCCTCTGGTCGGTTCGTTTCCCGACAATCTTCAGACCCGTTTCCCGGTTGTCCTACTACCTAGCATCCATTCGTCGCCGATGCCTCCCGGCTGACTGCTTCTTTTTGTAGCGTGGGCTCTTCAATCCATGTCGGGTCGGAACGCCCCTCGCTCAAAGAATGGTATCTATATACAATACCTACATGCATACATTCGTGTTGCGGAATGCTCGGCTTCCCGGTGAAACATTTACTAACCGTTTTTTCGCCCAGGCTGCAGTACCTGCCGCCGTCGGAAAGTGAAATGCGGTGAAGAGCGCCCTGTCTGCAGACGTTGCTTCACCTTGCGACTCAGCTGTGAGTGGGGTGTTCCAGTGAAACGGGGCAGGTCTGTTGCTCAGACGCGACTTCTCCAGCCTCGATGGCCGAGTCATGATGTCGCCTCCGCGGCCTTCGCCGCTTCGGCCCCCGAGATCGCGTACCCACCCTCTGCGATTTCCCCAGGCGCATTATGGTATCCCATCGACCCTACTCCCGACCTGACGAGCATCCCTGTCGGTCCTATTTCCTTTCCAGGCTGGCCCGATCTGTTCCCTTACCCGCCGCCGCCGCTTTGCCCGTCACTGTCTGGGACCGACTTTGCTTGCGCCAACTCATTGGTGCTTTCCGATCATGACCAGAAGTACTTCCGATATTTTCCTTCGTCGTCGCTGGTATTCTACTATATGAAATCATGGCAATGGAGCAGCTTTTGCTATTTGTACCAAGGGCCGGCAGCCACGAACAAGGTGATTATGCGAATGATTCTGGCTTTATCAGCAAGCGACATGCATCGCAATGGTCTCATAGTCCGTTCGCCCGGACGGCCCACAGCGGAGGATCACGGTCGCTACCACTATGGGTTGGCCGTAAAGGAATTCCGCCAGTCATTAGTGTCACCGCGACAAATCTCGCCTGCCGAGCTAGAGGTGATTTTCGCTACTATGTTTCTGATGGTGACATACGAGTGGCAATACGGCAGCTGCGTGCGGCATCTGCAGTTACATTTACAGGGGGTGAGATCGCTTCTAGAAACTCACCCGGAGTTATTCCAGATCAAGGACGTAAATAATGTGTTGTTCTCGGCGGAATCGGAGTCGCCAAACGAGCCTGAGTCTCGGGTATCGTTTATCCCGGAGCAATTATTACTCTGGATTCTGTAGGTATTATGATCCGTCTTCCGGGCATTTCTAATCATGCACCAGGTATATCGATGTGAGCTGTCAGCCCGTCGGGTTAACCGAGTCGCTCTACGCGTACGTCCTTCAGTCTGGGAATCCCGCCCTTCATCCGGATCGACTATATCGCTGCGCCCGCGTGTGGGGGCGATGCTTCTGGGGCAAGCAATATCCCGATCAAGAGGTGTCGGACGACATGGAGAACTACCGGGCTCTGGAGCTCTTGCACATGGGTGTATCATTACGCTATCGCCACTGGCAATTACTGGTAAACAATGTCCCAGATTCCGGCTATCAGGCGGAATCGTTGTTTAATGAAATCATGGCTGCCAGAGATGTATGTCCTTACGCCAACCTTCCCGACAGAATCAGCACTGATTCCCGCAGAAATACTCCGACCTATTTATCACGGCTAAATTTGCGGGCCCGGCCTCGATGCGGCGCACCCTAAATACGATCAATATGGCTGTTTGCACCTTTTATGCCCAACTACTCTTGCATCGCCGCCTACTCTGCCCCTCTCAAGCTCCGCGCACGCTCCACCGCCATGCTTTGAGCAACATCCTCGAGCTAATACACAAACAATACGCATACGAGCCCCGGCTCATGCGTCGATTGCACTGGCCGCTCCTTATGGCAATCATCGAAACGGAAGATGTTTTGCAGCGCGAATGGCTTCGCCAGCGACTAGCCGAGCTGCGCGAGTTCCATAGCGAGTACCGGTGGGCTAACGAAGTAGTAGATGAAGTGCTCGCGCGGCAGGACGCGAGCAAAGGGGAGTACGTAAATCTGGCCGACTTGCTGCGCAATCGCTCTGTATGAAGGCTTTATCAGAGACGCCCCTCGTTTCCCTTATCAAATGCTTACATCAAGCGATATCCCATAGAACACAAAATAGACATCAATAGAGCCACGCAAACACATCATTCAGTATTATCCCGATAATACGCATCATAGGCAACCTCGGCCTTAGCTCTCGTCACCCGTTCAAAACTAACCCGGTTGTTCATCCACCGGTATATATCATGTCCGGTGTCAATCTTGACATGCAAATGAAACCCCGTACTGGTTGGGACCCACTCCGTCCCCGTCCATCAGGGCTTCCAGCGCCTCGGAGAGCCCGGACCAAGTTTCCTCCGTTCTATGTATTCGTTAACCAGGTAAATCAGCCAAATGAAAGGAGGAGTGAATAACAAACCTGATATAGATGTACGTTCCATCATCACTTTTCAGCACGTAGTTTGTATTTACATGCATCGTTTGACCCTCCTTGAATATCGTAGATATTTCTTAGTATTCTTTGTTTGCTCTAAGGTTAGGAATCGTGCGGCGCATACATAATGGCTGCTCCGGCGGGAACTACCACCCCATTCAGATACTTCCCTCGCACGGCGCCTGGCTTGATAGGCACACGGCGGTGTCGACCGTAGAACCCGTTATCGATCTCAAGGGGAGGATCGACGGTACAGCAGAGAGCGAAAAGGTGGGTTAAGGTTAGTGGCAGGGAAATGATTTCCATGTTGTCTCTGTATTCTTGCCTCTGCGTAAAGTGTTGTACGGTGAGTGATGGAATATGGCGAAGGTGGGTCGGTGATATGTCTACGATTTATGATGTTATATCCTTTCCCCCCTTGCGGTTAGTTCTTTGGGCGCAATATACTAGGGTTAATTGCATGCTTCCCCTCTTCCATTTGCTTTTTCCTCCGGTTTTCTTATCACGTCTGAGGTTCACGTGTTGATCAACACTGTTCGTTTGAACCTTTCTTCTTTCTGTTGATGGTATTTGGCACGGGTTTATAGTTGCCCGGAATGGTATACATGGCATATTGTTGTAGGTGCTATGGCTCCGAGATATGCGGATACAGGAAAGAAAGGCTGCCGATAGTATTAACAGAGAAAGTATGTGGGATCAGGTGTTGGGTTTACACATATGTGGGTGCGTATCGCCATCATCTTGAACGTATATAAAGTGGAGTTTGATCTGAAAGGGCGCGAGGTAGAGAAGTGAACTAAAATAACAATGACAGACTGTCTGGCCCAGAATTGGATTTATATTCTGAGAAATACTGCATAATGTGTAACCTACTTTTGTATTCTCTTTGTGTTCCTTGGAGGTCAAAAAGTAAAAAGTATATTGACCTTGTGGAAGAGAAATAACAAAGGTGGAAAAAGACAAGCCATCCAAGGCAAGGCTCGAACCGATAACCTTCAGATGACAATATGGTTCGCAACCACTCGCGGACCCATTATGGGAGGCGGTGGATAATGTCAATATCAGGAGAGGTTTAGCCTAAGCACGTGACCATACAATGAAAAGCATAGAAAGTGTAACATCGCGACATCGCGACATCCATCCTTTTCCCGATACACGACCTCATGTATAATGAACTCAATGTTGCAAAAATTCTGGTTGCCAATCTCTGGCGCTGGTGTTAATGATGATGTTGATCTTGATCGGGATACTAATTCGGCATCTCCGACGAGAAATGACGAACCACGAGCTCGTCGGGCCTGCGAGGTGTGTCGGAGAATGAAAATAAAATGTGACAGGAAGTATCCCTGCGGCCATTGTCGACAGTCTTTCAACGGTAGTACCTCGTGATGTTCCTAGATTGGGATGTTGATGCTGATTAGATAAGATTGCGTGTTTTCTCAGCCACGACGGAAGAGGAGCTCTGCTCAGTCTGACCGGATTGGACATCTCGAGAAACGATTAAAGGCGATAGAAGAGTCATACCACAAGGGTGGTTCAACAGCTGCGCCGGCTTCTATAGGGTCTGTGAATGCAGTCCTGTCTAACGAAGAAAGCCCTAACAATGGGCCTTCTGCTATAAATACCAGTTCGCAGGACCCCAATGTAAGACACCAACCAGGACTTGAAATCCAAGGCGAGGCTCGCTTTCTGCACTCTGCGGCACATATCGACTTTGTCAAGCGCCTAAAAAATGAGCTGGGAACCTGGCCTGGAGCAGATGCCGAGAACCGAGTGCGAGCAAGGAATGTGTCTGCTCCAAAACTATTCTCGTTGAGAAATGGTCCCGGCCAGCGCATATCGCTACCATCGCAGGACAGAGCCCGGCATTTGGTCGATACTGCTCTTGATGCGCATTTCTTGCATAACTTTATACATCGACCGACCTTTGAATCAGTTTTCGCCTTACTATACACACTAAATATCAGAGACTATACTGGAGATGAGGACGCCTACCTTCCACTTTTATTCTCTCTTATGGCTTTGGGATGCCTTTTTGAAGGGCATGATGAGGCCTCTCGGGAGGCTTCAATCCTCGAAGGGTGAGTTGTTCGTGAGCATTACGGGCTGGGGACTTGCAGAGCTAACCACCATAGAACTGGATATTTCGAAACGTGCCGTGGTCTGGTTGACCTGCAAGACTGCAACGACCTAGTGACTCTCCAGGCCATCCTCTACATGAATATATTTTTGCTTTATACTGCCCGGGTGAGCTCATGCTTTTCTGCCCTTTCCTATACGTTCTCCCTTGCCCTCCGCATGAAATACCACCAAATCATTGATACAGATAATGAAATCACCCGTGAAGACAAGAGACACGTGTTCTGGACGACACGACACCTCTTAGCATGCGTTGCCATTGCCGGTGGCCTTCCGATGCCCATTGGGGGTGACGATCTTGATTTTGACTATCCTAATGTGGAAGGTGTGCGTGGAATGCATCACAAAGGACCGCTTTCTGAAAATCCGCATAATACAGTGCAATGGAGCCCAACTGTTGCCAGTGTCGCATGTTTCCGTTTACATGATATTCTTGGACATGTGACTAAGCGACTATACCCCTCTAAAGGTGCTAAGAAAACGCAGGGTCAGGGGCCATTGCGCCATCTAGTGAGTATGGACACTGTGCGGGAACTGGAAGGAGAACTCAGGTCCTGGTTGGCCTCACTACCACCGAGCTGCCGCCTCGGTCAGGAGAGACACCCGCAACATATTGAACGGTAGGCACAATGCACACATTGAGATTGGCATTGGTTATTTACCTCTTCTGACGTTCATTTTCCAGGGCCAAATATGAGCTGTGCATGTCTTATGCACACGCTCAGATCTATCTGTACCGACCGTTTTTGCATTATTTAGATCCCGCGCTCGCCGACGGGACTGGGGCCGCCGATGGCTTCCCAGGGTATGCCTCCGCCTGCGTGGATGCTAGTCGCAACATCATTCGGCTTGCCCAGGACATGTGTCATCGGGAGCTTCTCCGCGGAGCACAGTGGGATATTTCTATCATGATCTTGGCCTCCTCTTTAACGATGCTTTATATCATCCTAGCGAAAAAGGGCTCAACAGTCGAGGAAATGGCTCTAAGAGAGTTGGCCACTGCACGGAGCCTAATGACTCTGCTCGAGCCCTATACGATGCTTTCTAAGAGGCTGAGTGTTGCAGTAAAGGTATGTATTACTGCACTACACTAAAAGCGAAGTCTTGTACTAAGAGCTTCTAGCTTTTGACGACAACAATTCTCCCTGATGGAATGAGCAGCGCGTCTCCACTAATTATGGTGCATAGTCCGTCGACACAGGTGTCCTACCGGGTAGATGACTCATACACAGCCACCTTGGCCGAGAAAGCATTTGGCTTATCAAAGACCAACGAACCAGGTCATCCGGAGATGCTATCACTTGGGAGACAAAGGGAACCCGCACTGTTCCCTCCCGCAACTGAGAGGCAATCAGCAAATATTCCCTCGCAGAGATCGACTGGAATTGCTATTCAGGGAGAAAGCACGAGTCAAAATGCTCCAGCGCTTGCTGAAGCTCAAAATTCGGGACCCTCTGACCTTCCGTTTACGATGCTATCTGCGCGGAATATGTACAACACGCCATTATTTAGCGGTGATGCTGTAGAGAATAGCCCCGTTCTACAATATGGAATAAATACTGACGACTATGGATATATGATTGATGGTACAGGGCCGATCGACTTTAGTGACATGATTGGTGATCTTTTCACATCGGAGGGACTGCTTTAGCGGTACCCGGAAGGCTCAATAGTCATCTTTTCCTCATATGCTCGTTGTAAAATCTAACATCTGATGCTTTCCTAACTATTCCGGGGAACTATCAAATGGGCCATGGGCTATTCTAAGTCAACCGTGAATTTGTTTCGGAGAGTCGCACCGAGGCGGCTAAAAAGGATAGGCAGCAAGATCATCCCGAGTGTTATAAATCCTAGGAGGGAGTTTCCCCAACCGTATCCGAGCTTTTTGTACATGGGCGGACCTGCCAACGGCAATAGCGCCCCGAAGAGGGACCGAGTAACCGTTATTGCCCCAACGCCAGATGCCGCGTACCGTGGATACGAATCAATGATGTATGCCTGAAGTGTCCCAAAGATGCCGATTATGCCGAAGGCGAAGGGAAAGAGTCCAATGATTGGAACTATCCAGTGTGTCTTCGCTTGGACGGACCAACCGTACCAGAAGAATGAGATTGGCACGAATAGGGCAAATGGCAGACAGAGCGGAAGACGCATTTCGGGCTCGAGGACGTTATTGTTTCGTCGCTTCAAACGGATAAGGACGCGATCGCTGGTAAGAGCGAACACCACCTGACCCACGAAAAAGCCCAGCCCCAAGCCAATGTACGACAGGCCGCTGATCTCTACACTCCAACCGTACTGGTTCTGGAAGACTGCGGTGATGGTCGTGAAGAGCAGATAAAGACAACCATAGATTGAGGCGATGTAAAGAGCCATGATCAGCACTATGGGCGAGGTGGCCAGCAGCTTGATCACTCTGGTGGACGTTCTCATCAGCAGAGTCGCCGGTCCGCGTGTTTCCCCTTCTTTTTCGTAGCAGCTGCGGAGCTCGGGGCGGTTGAGCTCCTTTCGGAGAGCCGCCGTCTTCCGGCGTATGAGCACAGTCGGGTTGGTCTCTCGGTTTGTAACCATGACAATTCCGGTCAACGTGCCCCCTACGATGACTAGTACCCAGAACGTCCACCGCCATCCTGCTCGTTGCGCGATAAAGCCTCCGCAGATTGGTCCAATCACTGGCGCAAACAGTGGACCGAATTGGAAGAAGGAGAGGGCAAGTCCGCGTTGCTCGGCCTCGAAAAGGTCAGCAATCACGCCACCTCCAATGGTCAGGCAGCCGGACCCTCCAAAGCCAGTGAAGAAGCGAAAGACAATCAAAGCTGGTAGGTTTGGAGCGAGGGCGCAGCCAATTTGAAATAAAACGAAGATCGAAGTGGCCGCGTTTAAGGTGACGCGACGACCGCATACCTCACTAAGTGGAGACAGAAGTAAGGGGCCGCTCTACATAGATCGGTCAGTGAATCATTATTGTTTAGTGAAATGCGGGACAGATGTACAAAATAGCCGAATAGATACGATGTCACTGCTAAGGAGCTCCGAATAGAAGATGTGTTCCCGAACTCTTGGTCGGCAAGACTAACCCCAGGTGCGAATACCGATGATGCAAAAGGGCTGCCACCTGGCTGTCAATGGCTAAATCTCGGCTGGGATACATCTCAGTTTCTCACCTGATGAAAGTGATGATGCTCACTGTGGCGAGCTGGAACCATTTTTGAGACGGCGGATAGTTTCTTTCATTTCGATGTGAGCATGGGGTTGAGTCTTTGGGAGGATATGTACACTCACCTGGGATTTGATGGATCATTTTGGCTCTCCCACCCGACTATCCCCTCATCCAATTTTGATAAGAGATATACCTCCCGACTGGCTGGCTGCTCCTACAGAACTGTGTAAGGGCGAACCTCTTCAATGGGACCAAAGGGCACTCACTGCTGGTTTGGTCTTGTTTTCACTTAACATGGTGTACGGTGAGGATGGGTTGCCTTTTCTGTTTCCAAGGATGGCTGTGGATGTGAGAGCAACTTTATAGGTCTATGTTCAATTGCGAGTGTTTCTTCCACGCCATCTTCATACATAATTTGTAGATCTGGAGATTTCCTTTTTACGATGCTGCGGTTAGCGCTTTCTATCTAGGCCCAATTAACAATTGCTAAGTGGGTCTTCCTGATTTACGCTAACCCCAAGCTCGGCGCCGTGCACTTTCTGTGCCGAGCTTAAGTCTCTTTTTTCGTACCTTAAAAAATACCTCCTATCATTATAGTTGAAGCCAAATATAATGTTGTAGATCCTCATATCTGCAATATACGTAGCCTTAGGTGCAATAATATTTTATTCAATGCTTGTTATGCCATTATCATACAGGAGAAAAAATTATCGTCCATGTGTGGAACTATCATAGCATGCCTTATATCCGAATCGAAACTTGTGGTTCAATAAATCTACATCAGCTGTGCATTTTGAAGACAACTGGGTAGTATAAATAACACTGAATCTCCACTCTTAGTTATATCGACTCGATACAGCGCTGGGCACAACCATACATTATCCAGGGCTTACTTGTGGCCCACAGGATGCGGACAAATAACTTCTGCTATGTGTTCATGCTGAGATGCTATGAATAGGGTGCATCGCAAGGGCAAGGTTCTTTTCATCCAGCACTCTATTTTCGCTAGCTTCCTTGTTTCCACGGACCGTTACTGTAAGATCTTATATTAATATCCCCGAGACTGGACGCGTTTATGTCGAGTTGCGTGGTGTTTGACGTTTGACGTCAAAACTTGGACCAATCAGCCTAACAGCGCGAGGCCTTGAGGCGGCATCGGTTAGCACGAGACAAGGGACTTCCAGGCGACAATATAGATAACTGTTCGACGAGGGGTATAAATGTAAGGATAAGGAACAAGTTGCTGAAGGGATCGAGACTAACGGTAGGCGAGTTAGGAGACGTTGGGGAGGTGTAGAGAGATAGGTTCACATAGAATAATCCGGTAACGCTTAAGAAAATGAGAGAATCCAAGAAGGACTCGGCTGGAGAGTTGATCAAGGAATAGTCAGGTGACCGCGGAAGAGAAGAGAAGACGCTATATATGAGCGTAAAATTGTAGACATCGCCCATGCTAAAAGTCTCCGACTCTTCTAGCCAGTATTCCTTAGCGGGGCTTGCAAGTATGATATTGGTTTAGGACAGGGATTTCAGTTGAGAGCCACAGATAGCCTTGACACCCCCATGACATGTTTTTGGTCAATGGTCTTAGAAAAGAAAAGAAAAGACACTATCCGGGTTTAATTCTGTATGCTAGGGTGATGCAATGCTCTCTAACTGCTTGATTCTCTCGAACCGCCCTGCGTTAGGTCTCGGGTTATGCCGAATAACCCTAAAAGAGATTAACTTCCCGTCCCACCCGCTCGTTAAAAGGTTAAATTTATCGGACCTTGGAGGTATATGTCACGAGCTACACTCGGCATAATCACCTCAGTCCCTTTGTCTCAAGGCATTTGGTACTAGTACGTGAAGTCTTGATCATACAGCTCCATACCTAAAGGTTTCAGGACGTCACATATTTGCGACCACCCTTTAGGCATTAACGCGTAAAGTAGATCCCGGAATGCATTAACAAGCTTGCTTGCGGACTTATCCGTCGACCTCAGTGTTTGGCTATTAGTATCTGTTATCACAGGAGTTGAAGAGTGAGGCTGACGCTTCGTATCCCAGATCGCCGGTTTCCAAAGGGATATGGTCTCAGAATGTATCAGTGTTTACCACTTTGCATGTACCCGGTGTTCGATGCGTATGCCGTGATCAACGATGTCGATGTCAGGTTATGAGGGAGTCGAGGGCAACAATCATGTAAGGTATATGATCTTAATAGATCACCGCTAGCCGGTTCCAGGGGTGGAATCGCTTCTCCCATGCTGTGAAGATACGGGGTGTCCTTTTTTGTTCCCTAGAGGGAGAGTGACATTTTGTGATGAAAGACAACCATTATTATAGAATTGCTTGTGGTCCGGGTATTCCTGGTGAGATGCACACTAGTTGTAGCATGTTGGTTTGCGAGGTAGCAGCTTGTTGGAGGATTAAGAGCAGGTAGGTGGGTTTGCGGGAGCGGCTGGGATGTGAAGGTTATTTTGTCGAGGTTGGCATTCCCTTATTTAACGTGTGAAGTTAGGAGTGTAGTGTGAGAATTCAATTTGGCCTTGAGAGCAATCCATGCTGCAGGTAGTCTATTCAGTGAAGCATGTCTTTAGCAGGGTAAGGCGAAGCACGCTTTATGTGATTAAGATAGTTTCTTACAGGTATTACAGGTAAAAGCAGTACAATGTTTCTGATTAAAGGTTCTAAGACAGGATATGAGCCCACCATCGAAGCTAAATGCTTTAGTTATATACTAAGTATCTACACTAAAATAGACAGAGAAAATTGATAGTGGTTTCAGTGCGCAGATCTCTAGGCGCCGGGCTTTGCTATGCGATGAAGCCGTGGTTGCTTAGCAAGAAGCGGGGGAAGGAACGTTCATGCACTTGTCGCTCTTCTTGCCGCCAGAGATATTAACGCCCTTCCAGGTGAAGTCGGAGCAGCTGCCCTTGCCGCAAAGGATGTAAATGGGGGTGGCAGAGCCGGCGACGGAGCCGGTAACACCGTCGAGGGTGACATCAGTGATGGGAACGCCGGTGGTGGGCTTGCCGGTGGGGCCACCGTTCTTGTAGTCCTGCTCGATGATGATACCCTTCTTCTTGATGTTCTTAAGGGTGATGTTTTTGTAGGTCACACCGCTGACAGAGCCCTTTGCACCAGCGATGGTCTTGATACGGATACCGTTGTCGGAGTCGATGACGTGGGAGTCGGCAATCTCGACACCCTTGACGACGTTGTTGTCACGGCCACCGATGGAGCCGATGGAGATACCGTGACCGCCAGAGCAGGTAGCACCGGTGAAGTGGATGTTCTATGTCCAGTCAATATCGGTGCGGGAGACAAGCGTGGTCGGTGTTCAGGATTTTACTTACCTCACCAGAGTTGATGGCCAGGCAGTCATCCTGGTTCTTGACGTTGGCACCGGTGATGTAGACACCGTTACTCTCGCTGACGTCAAAAGCATCGGTGTTGTGGCCACCCTTGCTGTCACCCTCGGAGTTGTCGATGACGATGTCGTTCAGATGGACATCATTACCCTGGACGGAGAAGACCTGGACAGGGGAGTTCTTGACGTGCAAGCCCTTAATGGTGGAGGACTGGAGCTTGTGAGCATAGATGAACTTGGGCTTCGTCTTTCCACCGTTGGTGCCCTTGCCGTCCCACCAGCGGGAACCCTGGCCGTCGATAACAGCGCCGGAAGCCTGCTGGATGGTGACCTTGTTACCACCGAAGCGGATCAGAGGACCCTTCCACTCCTTGTAGTCAAAAGTGGTGGTGCCCTCGAAGGTGATCTAGAAATTGGATTAGTTATTGACTCGGGTTGAGTATTGCGCGGTTGAGAGAACATACTGTGGCACCGTCCTTGACCTTGGACAGGTCGAGCGTCTGTCCGGCAGGGACCTTGATGTTCTTCAGGACGATGTTTGAGCAGCTGCTGGCAGAGGCGGAAGCCTTAGCAGCATCGGTGAAAGTGCAAGTAGAGCCACGCTCAACCAACTCAGAGGCACGAGAAGGGGCGGGAGCGGCGGCGGCGAAAGAGCCAAGGGCGGCAAGACCGAGAAGTTCGAAACGCATAGTGAATGTATGAGGTTCTGGTCAACAGAACGGACGAGAAGGAATGAATGGATAGGTCTGTTCAACAGAGGAAAGGAAAGAGAAGGAGGGATGGAAGGAAGTGGTTTGGATTGGAAGAATAGCCTCCTCGTCGTGGACTAAAGGCCTTTATACCTCGTGGCTTTCCATACATAAGCTTCGGAACTTGAGCTTGGCCGGGGTATGGGTCTTGTTCCCCCTTCTGCCGGATAGACCTAGCCATTGGCGGAATGGAAAACTCCACTACGAAACTATTTAACCGTACTATTAACAGTATCATCAATCTAAAACGACGATCGCAGCCCTGGGAAACGTTTAGGGCATAGCGGACCCATGGGCCCTAGGCGTTCAAGCCAAGATCCGGTAAGGCTCGGCCCCACTGCAGTCCTCTATTCATCTTTTGGTCCAACAAGTCCCAAAACGTTCGGGAGAATAGGCGAATATCTGCCGAATTCTCTGACCCACATCAAGGCGCTTTGTCTGAACCTTGTCTCACTCTGAGGTAGAGTAACTAGGGCTCTTTCTATCTATTCCGGGTCGGTGGGTATAGCAATGCTTCGGAAATGGCTGAATTTCGGAACCCTTCTACCTAGTAATTTCGCGAATGAAAAGAGGCTTCACCGTTTTCTGCCCCTTTTCCTTTCCTCATTGGACGCCGTTTTAAGTCAAGGACGAATCATGATTTGTGATACTCCGTCGGTTGAAGCCCAAGAGACTGATGATCCACCAATTCCAACAATTTATCCATATCAGGTCACAGCCTCTTTTTTTTTTCATCTAGACTAGACTGGATCTAGTTGTCTGGAATGTCCATGTCAGGAGCTTGCCTCCCTGAATTCCGACAACAGAGAGATCAGCACGACAGGCGATTAATCGGACTCGGCAAATCTCCGGATCAGCCCGGCGCTTGGACACACGCCTTGTAGTGGACCGTCATGTCATTTGAACTTCACGGAGCATGGGCTGCTCTGAATTGATGGAATATACTCAACTATCTCGGAGAAATTATATCACAACATACAGCATAGGACAGGGGATTGCATGAATCGGACGTATTGTTTGGAGTTCTGGAATTTTAGCTGGTCCACTTAAGTCAGTGGGTCAGCCCAGGGAAGAGACAAGTTCTCTTTAGTGTCTCACCTCAAGTTAGGATTCTAGAAAACACTGTGGCTCGTATATTTTTCGATAGGTGGAAGAGGAGTCCGCCTATATTAATTAACACCCTCTTTAATCCCTTTCGGAAGCACCGGCAGGAGTGTGAGGGTGTAAGAGTTTCTCCGAACTTCAATATTGCATGATGGATTAGGAGAACACTCCGCTTCCCAAATATCGTTATGGAGAAAGGAAATCACTCTCGGAAAGCGCTTGCAGTCGGCTCCGAAGGTTGTCACCGTGCTACTACGTCCAGCATCATTGGAGATTTCCCCAGTCATTCGTCAACTGACCGTCGCTACCGTTTCATATAGAATCGGCCTTTACCATCCACGAACCCTTTGAACTTTCAGCGAAACACCGGTATGAGAACTAAGACCTACACAAGCCTGTGAACGATAGTATCGCTCGGCGGATGAATTGCCATGCTATAGCGCTGTTTTGCATCTATTGAAGCTTTTAACGACCTACTTCTCGACAAATTGCTTCAACGACCCTTACAAAGAGAGCTTAGGAACGGACCAGCACAAGGCGCATGAAGAACGAATAGGGGGTATTCCTACATCTCCGCGGATAACTTTCAACAGGCTATTCACCACTAATACATCTATTACTCATTTGATATACTTAATCTAGAGCTCATTGGTACACTCCTCCGCAACATGGCGTGAAAGCATTGGATTTTCGGTTCGCTATTCCCAGTCATCCGTATAGGGAACAATGTATAATGATACTTAAAGGAATGATTAACCAACATTGAAATATAATTGAGCTAATATCACCGTCTTAGAAAGCATGCCATTCTCACCGTCTTTCCAAAGTTACGACCTGGTTGTCTCACTATAGCGCCCGCCGGCTGTGGCGAACCCGCTTGTAGTTGAATGGGGCCCCAAAAAACCGCATTTATGGGCAGCACCCTGTTCCTTAGCACGGCTTAGAATATTTCACTATGTACCCCGATAATTTAGGTTGCAAGCATAACAACCACATACAAGATAGGGAACTTTGCGAACGAAGTAAACGATGGGTTGCCTACAGAGACTTCATGAAGGGAGTATACAGACGATGAAGGAATGGCACTTTGAGGTGTAGTCAAGATATAGACCGGTAATTGGTTAAGGCGCTCCCTTCCGGGAATTTTTAAAGCGGTACCAGGTCTGAGTAGTATGAGATATTCATAAGATGATATACACTCGTACAGCGAGGGAGAGAAATATCAGATGACTCCTGACGAAAGAACCCTCATCCATGGAGTGTCACATCCTAAACGGGATATCGGAGGGATTCATTGACATGATACGTTATGTGGTAGGGACTTCTTTTACCTCTCAGTATGGGAATTGAGGGTATTTACTACTGGTCAGGGTCCGTTGCATGATGATCTGCGCAGAATTCACCGTCTCTGTCGTATTATCCTAGGAATAGCATTATCTTTACTTGGCAGGACCCTTTCAGCAATAACTCTGTACTAGATATGAGCGGAATTAAACATCGTCCATGATTAGAATAGCGAAGGGAGAGAAAACAGCGGTTCCGGAAGTTGTCGGTGAGGATTCGGTCTAAATGTAGTATTGTTCTGAAAATATATATAATAGCGAACATGCCTCGAAAAACATATAACCCAACGCCAAGCTATCAGTAAAACACAATGAGCCTCCTTCCACGGACGTATGCTTTGGAGAGGAGATAGAAAATACATCAAAGCAAACCAAGAAATAAAAGCAAAGGAAAACCTGTCTCACACCATGTGCAACTCCTTTTTCTCATTCAGCTTCTTCTTCTGGAATCTCAAGCGCCGCTGGGTAACATAATACCAAGAGCCTAGAGTAAGCAACGTAAGTGGGACTGCAGCCACCACGAATATCCAGAATTGACGTGAGATCCTAAATACTTCCCCATTCGGACCTTCGAAGTCAAAGAGGTTCATTCCTAGGAGGGTCTGCACGTATTGTTAAAGCTGCGAAAATACCAAGGAGCCAGGGACTCGCTCACCGAGACGAAGCTAGCAGGCAGGTAGATTAGAGTGACCAGTGTAACCACCCGGACGGTCGCATTATCATCGAATGTCTCACTAGTGAGCTTTAACATCTTGTTATTGATTTCGTTGGCCACGGTCTGGCCTTTGAGATTGAGGGCGACTGCCAACTTAATGTGGAGGAATGAAGTTAGAAAAGTCCAGGAACGAATGCGATGGGATGGGAAACATACCAAGTCAGAGATGCCTTTCACCTTTCCCTCGAGCACTTCAACACTTTTCAGGTATCCTTCCAGAGTAGTTCTGTAGTAGGCCATCTCGCTGGCAAATCGTTGAGAGTCGCCATCATTTGTATAATTCTTGGCGTGGAAAACCGTGTTGAGTTCTTCGAGCTTGCGAACCGTTATTAAGGCAGCATGCACTCTGGACGACAGCGGTAGTAGCTTATCCCCTAGATACTGCGGTGTAAGAAGCCGGATAAGTCCATCTTTATTATTATCCGCCCTTGCAAGATCTAAAGTCAAAGCGATGTCGACCTAAGCCCCTGGTCAGCCTCCACTCTCTTCGTAGCAAATATCGGTCACATTTCAGACTCACAGTCTTCTCGATCTCCTCACCCAGACTACGAATGCACCAGCGCCAGTTGCCAATGTAGGTGGACAGAACAAGTAAATGCATCGAAAACCAGTGCTTAGGAATTCCAGCATGCTGAGACGTAATCTCAGCTTCAATCAGCTGCTGCATCACCGAGCGTGGCCTCGCATGAAGGAATATCCACAGATTGCCGGATCCCGTCGGATTGTACCGGTGGAAGACGCATATCTGCCGGATAGTCCATGGGACGTTCACTTGCGCGGAGTTATCCTCGGCGTAGGCGAAAAGATATTGCATGTCTGAAGAATCAGCGTGATCATTCTCATGGCAGCCTGCGTGCCGGTGAGGTACCGTATGAGCCGTCCTCTCCTTGTCTCACTGTCATTGCTCCGTGGCCTGCATCGGAGCTCTGTGGTTTGTCACCGAAGGAAATCGCAAGGTCAAGGAAGGTCGGATCGATGGCGTAGGTGTTTATGAGCTTTCGCATGGCTTGTTCAGTGATCCCGAGGGGCCTCATTGAATTCTGGGAACATATTGATCTAGTGGCTTGTTAGTCTGGACACTATGTTGCTGTGTGGAGGGGTGATACACACACTATACGCGCGTTTGGCCTGGAGGTGGTCGCGATATGGGTTTCAAAATCCTCGCTATTACTGAACACACGAGGGCCATCTATTTTAGGACCAGATGAAGCTAAGATGATCAGTAAATGTGGGAATAGCAAGTCGGGGTCATGGGTTGTTAACGCACATATGGAATCAAACAAATAGATATTCGACTTTTCTGGACAGGAAACGAATGAGGGATATCTCAAATGAGGTCGTATAGCGCTGTAGTATTCTTGTTTCAAAGGACTTGGCTGTCCGCCGTTGTCTCCGAGAGGTACGATCGTATGCATGACCACCACAAGGGCTCGCTGAATGTTCTAGGTATCAAACTAAGACTGTTCTAGAAAGGAAAGGATGGGTGGCTGGAAAGTAACAATTCACTTATAAATGGTTAAATTTGCATCTAAGGTTAAGTTACAAGGCAGATTGGACAGAATAAGGCAGAGAATATTAAGGCTGTAAAGTGGGATATCACAGGAGGTAAGCAAACACAGCCAGGCAAGGATCACATTACACAAATATTGAGACAGGTAGGTAGGATGACTTCAACGCCACATGAGAAGACCCAGCCAAGTGATCATCACATCCAATGCACTATCCATATCCGCATGATCCAGACAAATCTCGCTCAATCACGAAGGTCGCTGTATTAAAACGTACTGAGTCAGGTCGCGGCAGTTGGTCGGGGAAAATATGCACTTACTCGATCTCATTCTACGACAACAAAGAAAATTAGTCCATGTGCTGAAAGACAGATATCCGTGTTGGTGGGCGGCACGGCTTACCTGAGTCAACAGTCTTGGGGCGTCAAAGACAAATCGCTCATTGATATGCTTGACCTTGTATGTCAGCTACGCCGAGAAACCAGCGCCAGGTCACAATTTCCCTACGCGAACTTGGATCGGACGACCAAACAGGCTTAGCAACTTAGCCTCAAGCCTTTCTTTTCTGATATACCCTGCCATGTCGGGGCTGATGATGTTCTGAACAGACCCGCCCATGATCAGACTTGGCTAGTATGATTTGAATTAAAAAGGTAAGAATCGAGTTGATCTGAGCGCAGGGCGCAGGGTGGGATCTTCGGCTCTCTCACTTGGGTTATAGGCAGAAAGGAGAGACATACCCTGGCAGTGCAAAGAGGCGCAGAGCCGCTTCAGCTTGCGAGACTAAGAAAAAAAAGATCAAGACGCCGAATGATTGATGGTGCTAGAGGGTTTGGTGGACCCCAACATCACAGTCCGACACATGGTTTGCGGGAGTGAGGCTAGCAATACCTATTTGAGTATGATCGGGGTACGCGCCACGTCAAGGTGTGCGGGGAATGGGGGATTGTGCTCATGTCTTGAGGTGAGAAGCGGGGGAATAGATGTCAATCCATGCCCTTTGGATTATAGCTCAATTTAGTTCGGAAATCCCCGGAATGCTTGTCTTCCTGTTGGATGGCTTTCCAGTCCCATATACCATGAAGGATAGCGTTTAATACCTGAGCGACCTTTACTCTGGCAGAAGAAAAGGATACCTGCTGGTGAACCGTGTGCAAGGGCACTTGCATCACAGGCCAGATATAAATATCCAATCATCTACTCGGTAAGGGGAAATAAGGAAAAGAAAAGATGACAGGAGGGAGCGAACAAACTACGGGAAATGTCCTGGAGCACCCATCATCTCTCGTCCAACCCTGTATACCTTTCTGTCTCCTCTTCAGAGTCATGAGTGGCGCCCACGGTACTCTGTTTTATCCCGCTATCTATTCTAAGGCATCAAATCATGGTGCAGCGTAGAATTACGGCGCTCGCTCTTACGAAACGATATTGAATGACCCTGGAGTGCCAAGGCAAGGCTGTACAGACTGGTGTTCGAATACGAGATTGTTGCATTAATTATGGAAAACGAGCCTTATTTCCCCTCATGAAGGAAAGCCTATTCTTACAATATTTTAATTTATTTTTCCTGTTTGCTTGATTCCCTCGGTTGCTACTTTCAGGGAGCTTAGTACTTGGGTTCGGGCTCTCGTGCCTTTTCACTTCGACCAGGGAGAAATTCTGATTTATGTGGGGAAAGCTTTTTAAATCGACTCGCATATCATAAACAGGTACGCGGGACAAATAAGCCTTCTGTGGTCCAGTCGAATCCTTCATAAGTATTAAGGTGTGGCTTCGACAGCATAGCACCGTCTGAGTCCCCCTTGCATCGAACAGAGTGAAGGGCTTAAGGTTAAAAGAGCTCATGTAAGGGATACAATGCGGCCAACGCACTTCAACGACGCAGCCCGACGGTAAGTAAAATAGCCCTTCTCCACTGCCAGTTCACCTTGCCCTTGTCTAGTCACTTTGCCCCCTTCTGCTTGCGATTGGACATCATGCTTACCTTACAATCCATCCACCAGGCCCCGTAACCCGCTCCGGATGAGAACCCCGGACGAACTTGAAGATGATGTTCGCAGATTTCATAATCGAGTCGGCCTTGAACATGTCGTCAACCTTGAGGTGCTTATCAAGGGTGCACGTATAGCACAAGACCGCGATAGTCGAGAAATACTCGGATTAACAGGTGCCGAAAAGAAGGCAATTGATGATGAAGAAGAATCGGGATTTTTCCAGCAAAGCAAAGAGCTTAAGGTGACCATTCTAACCACAGCATGCGCGGCAATTACCCAGTATGTGAACCTTGGAAGGGTGTCGAGATAGTTCCAGCTTGATGTATGCTAATCCTTATAGAGGTTGGCAGCAGTCTACTATCAATGCCAGTTCGCTCGGTTGGCAAGACGATTTTACCCCCAAAGACGATCCAGGCTACTGGGAAAGAAACGTACTTTTAGCCGGGCTTATTGATGCTGCGCCATGGTTATCGGGCAGCATGATGTTCGTCGTCCCATCAATAGAAACATAAGAAGATATCGATATTCGCTGACATGAAATAACGTCCAGCGGAACATGGTTAAGTGACCCTCTTCAAGAGGGAAAGTATGGAAGGCGGCCCGCACTTTTCATCTCTGCCGTCTTTTGTGCTGCTTGTGTCCTTGGTGAATTAAACCGCTTTAAGATCCCCTCCTGGTTCGAATTCTGACTTCGAACTGAACAGGTACCGCTCGCTGTAATACGTGGCAGCAGCTTCTCGCTTGCCGGTTTCTTCTAGGTATAGGGGTAAGGGATTTACTCTTCTATACACTCAGCAAAGGCTTACCAGAATGATCACCAAGATCGGCGCAAAAGCTTCCATCGCCCCAGTCTTTGCTGCAGAGGCTGCGGTTGACCATCTTCGGGGGCGACTGTTAATGATGTGGCAGTTGTTTGATACTTTGTGCGTACCTGGGTTTTCTTTGAATTGGGGTTGATCCCTGAGGCTAATACGACATCGATGCAGAGGAGTATTTCTTGGCTTCGCCTGCGACTGGATTGTTGATCGTCACTGGAGGGTGCTTTTGGGAACAGCATCTATTCCCGCCTTGGTCCTACTCTTCCTTGTGTTCCTTTGTCCTGAGTCTCCTCGGTTCCTCATTCGTAAAGGAGACTATGCAAGGGCCTTCGTGAGTCTTCGACAGCTACGAGGTACTGATATTCAAGCAGCAAGAGATCTCTACTATATCCACAGCCAACTGCAAGTCGAAACGGAAATTTTCGACGGAATGCCTCCAGCAAATTGGTTCAAATACGAAATCTATCAAGAAAGAATCCACGAAGCCAACTTTATGAAAAGAGTTTGGTTTTTGTTCAAGCACCGACGCAACCGAACGGCATGTTTGGCAGCATTCCTGGTGATGGCATCGCAACAACTTTGTGGGGTGAGTTTCTCCTCTTCGGCTATAGAAGTTCTTTTCTGATCATCGATACTAGATTAACATCCTTTCTTTTTACTCTTCCAAGCTCTTCCAGGATAAAGCTAGCGGGCATGGTAGTTCCCACATCAGCCCGTTAGATAATAGGGTAACTTGGCTTAACTTCGGTTAGTAGCGATTTTACCTTTTTTTTTTAGGTGATATAAATAGTGTTATTTACTGGGATCCAGGGTTTGGCCTGGCAAACTTCCTCTTCACCATTCCAGCATACCGCTACATCGATTGGCGCGGACGTCGGCTTCTACTCCTCATCTCCCTAACAGGAATGTTCTTCAGTTTACTTGCCATTTCTTTTTTCTTTCGGATCGACGATAAGCATGTTAGACAGGGGCTTGTGTCAACATTCGCCATTGGGTTCTTCACGTTCTTCTACGGTATTGGTGCGGGACCGGTCCCATTCACCTTCAGTGCTGAGGTTTTCCCGCTGGCATTCCGCGGTATGTATTGAACTCGTATTCGATGATTGAAGCAGGCATATTAACGTGAATCTTTTGCTAGAAGTCGGCATGAGCTTCAGTGTCATGGTAAACTTCCTGGGCCTTGGGCTTCTGGTCCTCTTTGTGCCGAAACTGGCCAGTGCTTTGGGGGAGGAATATGGCTACTCCAATCTCTGCTTCTTGTTCACGTGGGCCTTGTCATTTTCTCTCATTGTTTCACTCAAATACGAGGCTAACCATCACATAGAGGGCTGAACGCGTTAGCATTTGTTCTCGTATTTTTGTTTGTAGGCACTCTTAATCTGAGGATCACCTGGCAGCAGCTAACCCTAAGTATAGGTTCCCAGTGGTACCGCTAGACTTGGTCTGGAGGAAATGAACCATATCTGTATGCTCCTTATTTCCTCGACTGTCTTTCTATCTTACAATTCACTGACCGAGCTGGCAGTCAACACGAAAACATCCGTCCATGTTGCTGAACATGTTGCTAGTCTGCGAGGGTTGTGTGGTCGGCGGGTGCAAGATGAAGAACAATACCATCTCTCTAGGGTTGGGGGTAATGTTTAAAGCATGCCGTGTAAATCTGCCCTTCGCATGTTGTATATATGAACTGTAGAAACCATCGACACTGACTGTGAGCACGTAAAAGATTCTCTGGCTTCCTATGAGCCTTTTCAGAATCTCAAAGGATAGGGAGGATCGATACCCAAGTATTCGTCCGCTTTCAAACCTAACTGCACAGCCACCTTGCGGAAAACGCGGTTCTCGGAGATTATCTTATTCGCTGCCTAGCCATAATCTTGACTCGTTAGCGCCATCAGTAATATATGTAGGCCAATAATTGTGTAGGGTCAAAGTGTTCGTGTCAGATTTATCCCCACGGGGCAGTCCCGTTCGTCCTCGGCTGAGGCTGAAAAGATCGAGGGCTCGAGATCAAAATATGAGTAGGAAAGTTGCTGCACGTGAGACCCTAGTGACGTTTGCCTAATGTGTTCTTTTCTCCTAGACTTCTTCCTTGCTCTTGCTCATCTTTTCGTCCTGACGCCGATAACCCTCCTACCAACCCATATGTACTTCACACACCTTTATAGTACGTGCCATCGTGACACTTAGTCGCTCTCTAAATCTGAATCTCTTGTTAATATACGCACATTTTCAGCTCTAGACGCCCGCAGCGATTCATTTGGACTGAAACGCAGCCGTCCTTTCGAGCGTCGCTGGCGACCTCGACGCCACGGCCTATAACCTCTCGTCTAATATGAGTCATCATGGTATATTACGCACTGGGATAAGAAGATCGCACGAAATAATTGATACCGCACCCAGTGTTCCCCGTTACGATTTGAACACAGTCCATTCGACGTTGAATCAGTTCTCGTTTCGTCCCAATGATAGCGCCCCCTATATATCCGAATATAATACAAATACCCCATCTAACATGAGCCGAACAGCGACAAACCCAGTGTCGCCTAGAACAGCCGTGGGCTCATTTAACAGCCCAGAAATAGATGGATTTGGGGTATCCGCTGGCTATCCGTACCACCCGGATGACTATTATGGAATCCGTAACACGTCTTCCAAGTCAGTATAACTAAAGCCTTGTCGCCCTCTCTGTGGCTGTACAATTTAGCTAATTACTCGACAGTCGGAGACACCCGCAGCCCAGTATTGATTGCCCTAGAGATGAAGATACAATTTCCCATGATCCCACACCGCTCGTCGAGTATCCTACAGTGAGGCGACTATCTGTAGAAAGGGATGCTTTTTTTCGAGAGCTCTCTCGTGCATTGCAACAAGAAACACATCGAAGAGGCAGTGCATTAGACAAGTTCGTGACTCGGCACAGCCTGGCCGGTATTTGGACCGAGTCTCGCTTGGAGAAACTCATAGATCTTGTGAGACCCGGGTTTGATCGTACGGAGATACGTCTCGTTCGGGAAGAGTTTCTGCAGACGCTGTCTATCCTAGTTGATATTGGCTGGCAGGAGTGGTGGAGGTTCAAAGAGGTCTTTCTCAGTCATACCGATGCAAAGGGCAATTGGGGCCGTTCCGATCGGATGATTCCCACACATTCACTGGAGGCTCTGGAGGATGATTCATTCTTGGGGACACCATGGGCCGAAAAGTTCCTGGCAAGCCAATACACCTTCTGTCCAATTGATATCCAGGAGGGCAGAAGTTTGGTCTTCTCGAAAGAATGGAGATTGCCCTTTATCAATGCAGAATCACTCAGCATTGGCACCGGTGGATATGGTAGTGTCACCAAGGAGATCATTGGAATTGGGCACTTTCTATCCCAGTCCGAGCATCACCTCCCAGGAGCGCCATACAACGTAAGTTCCGAGACACCCGTATGCCCTTCGCAACAAGAATTCCGGTGACTAACATGCCCCACTCATACCAGAAAGACATTGCGGTGGCTGTCAAGCGGTTCGAAGCTAGGAGTGACTTTCGGTCCGAAATGAAAAACCTCGACATACTTCGCTCAAGTCTCTCTAAGCATGATCGCATCGTTCCATTCCTAGCAACTGTAGCCATTGGGAACGCATTCAATATTCTTTATCCCTTGGCGGATATGGATCTAAATGCGTTCCTTAAAAGGCAGCGCAGCCCTCAAGACTTTACGGTACGTGATCTCATGCAGGAGGCGGAGCATCTCGCCGGTGCCCTGGCCTTTTTGCATCAAGGACTCGACAGCCATCCACCAGGTCTTAGCTGCTCCCATATGGATCTCAAGCCAGAGAACATACTCGTGTTTAACAGCAGCGCCCCAGACTTCCCAGTTGGCAAGTGGAAGATCTCTGATTTTGGGATCTCTATTATCTCTCGGCCCGAGAGGACGGCAACCACTGTGACGGAATTTGAGCATAGCATCACACAGCGGCAGGAGCCTACTCGCCCTGCGGGTACATATCAAGCACCCGATGGGGCGGAGCATGGCTTGAGGAGCGACGTATGGTCCCTGGGCTGTATCCTGACTCGGGTCCTTTCACTCGGTATAGAAGGGGTTGAGGGAATGATGAAACTCGATAGCCTGAGGGCTAAAGATGTCGATGGAGTGACCGACTATAATGATGACTATTTCTACCGAGGTTCACCGCCAGTCTTGAACCCTCACATCCAGAGATGGCTTTCCGATTTGCCAAGCGGTCGTTATGACTACGATCCTGGGTTTTTGGAAGGCTGCAAGTCCTTGATCCTTTCAATGCTTGCGATTAGACAAGACGATAGACCGAGTGCAAAGGACGTCCAACGACGGCTGCATCCGTTGGCTAACACAGCCCGACAAATCATTCCCAGCCGACCCAGTACTAGCAGCCGTGAAGGTTCAGTCGGCAGTAACCCACCCTATATGGGTGGAGGAATACCGGAGGTCGATCTTCTCTTTCACGTAATTGCACACAAGGACCTGATCTGGGTTGAGAGGCTGTTGAATCTGGGCGTCAATATCGAGGAGAAGATTGGCGATAGACCCTTGATATATGCGATTCGTGTCGGTCACGCACCAACGGTCGAAAAGCTCCTGGAATGCCGGCCGAATCTTGACCGCGAGACTCCCGACTCTAATGGCGATACGCCCTTGAAAATAGCGGCGGAGCGCGGCGACACAGAGATTGTTGAAATCCTCCTCAGAGCTGGCGCGGTCATTGATGCACGGTCTCGAAGTGGGCTCACGCCACTAATGTCAGCGTGCAGGCACGGCTATGAGTCCACAGTCCAACTTCTTTTGAGAAGTGGGGCAAACTGCTTGTGTCATTCCCATGATGGCTATAGCACTCTTCACTACGCGATTTACAGCGAGAACGGGGCAGAAATAATTCGACTCCTGAAAGGCCATGTCACTTCCTTTGATATCCGCAGTCACGGCAATGGGGAGACACCTTTGCTTACACTGTGCAAGCAATACGTCAATACGCAATCATGGTGGGACAGGTTCTTGGCCCTATTAGCTGGTCCCGCGGATATCAATATGGCCGACGGAAAGAATAATACTCCTCTTTCTTTAGCCGTGAAGGAAGATTACTGTCTATTGGCAGACGCACTGCTGGGAAGAGGTGCAAAGTATGATGACGACCTTCCCCGCAAGTCCCCAGATATGATCAGGGTGTTCAGAGATGCGGAGCGTCGGCGACAACAACAACAACAACAACAACAACAACAACAACAACAACAGCAGCAGCAGCAGCAGCAGCAGCAGCAATGGCGTCGGTTCAGTCAGGAAAGCTCTGGATCATCTACAAGGTCTATTATCGGCCGCATTCGACGCATGTCTAGCTTGAGATCCTCTGATTAATAGTCAAGATTGATTCCCTTATTCCCCCCCCCCTTTTTTTTTTCTTTGTTTTCCTTTCTCTTTGTCTTTATTTTCTGGATTTGTCTCTCTTTTCACGTTTTCCTTACTTCAGGAAGATGCTTTAGAGCTGACTGTGAGGGAAAGTAAATGGATTAATTCATGGAGTAGGGTGGGTGTGCTTGGAGATACCGGTATTTTCTATGTGACAATATATATTTATTATAATTAGTATTGCATTGGAAAACAGAGCGTTTGCAGAGCACCATAGCAGCGCCCGTGTGGGATCCGGCAAGCATTCCATTGCTATGTTTCTGCCTCCATCAACAGTCATGGAGACCTGGGCATCAATGTGCAATGCATTGCCTTCATATATGACGGAATCATCCGGTGTTGAGAGCATGAGAACCTTTCAGATGCCGGTGGGAACAAGGGCAACCGGTCGTTCATCGCTGAGGCCAGCATATTGCACATCCCAGGCTGCTTTGAAGAGAAGGATTTTTATAGAGGGTGCTGCATCCTCCGCGCCTAGTAGTCAATTAGCCATCGCGCGTAACTACCCTAAGAAATAGGGCGGTCTACCTTCATCACTATCTGCGATGGTGAATTGCAGGACCGCCTCACTAAGCACTTAGTCCAAAGATTTAGGGCCCACGAGCTTTTTTTGTCCCGGCGGCATCTGGCTGGCCTCATGGGGTGGTGAGGAGGACTCGGACATTCAAGTGCCTGAGTTTGTCAGCCACAAGATGTACCATTATCGACCGTAGCGTTCGTGCTGTACTTGAAATTACCAGGGACTTCACGGTCCCTTTAGATATCTGCCCTACAGTTAAATGTGAAGCCACGGACTCCCGAAAGTCTCTCTCATCCAAATCAGTGGTTTTTCACTGACCTTAATTCCAACACCCATCCCACGCAATTGGCCATTTTCGTTAGTGGCATAGTGATTGGCTCTCGTAATCCCATCTGTTTGGGCTCGGCCGAAGGCACGCCCATCAAGATGAGCTCCACTACTGGCGTAAATGACATTGGCCGAATTGCACGGGTCTAGATCTTCTCTAACTACTGCGTCGACAGTCTCGCCTATCATGTCGATTTCGAACAACCCAAGCACATCAGTGTAAGCAGTGACGCCGGGGAGTGCATAGCCATGCTCAAATCGGATCTCTGTAGAATTGTGAGGGCCCGGATTGCAGGTCTGAATGCTTCCTGAGCGAGTTGTTTAATAACACCAAGAATTTATACTGCCAGCAGTTCGGCGGGGAGTATGATGGATGTGTCTGTTGGCATTGCAAGATGGAAAGTAATGACTGTGATGCCACTGGAAAGGAGATGCCATCAAAATTACAAGTTCTCCTGGACCGGCTTAGGCAAGTTACTGTGGTCTATTGGAAAGAGGTTGAGAGTCGCAGGGAAGAAGGTTGGAAAGGCTTGAGGCGAGAGGCCCTGAACAAAGTCCTACCCGTGTGCCTCAACAAGGCCGTATAAAGATTACATCGTGGAATGGTACTTTGGTCGGCGTCCTCTAATTCCGACCTTCAGCGCCTATCTAGAATTATTATACTATATAATCTGCTAGGTGCAGTTCATTTCCAAGGAGATACGGATCCAGATGTTCTGATTGGCCAATGGGTCCTCGCCATAGAGAACCAATCACAACCTTACCGGGTTTTGCTTTCCGCTTCCGCTTCCGGTCAGGTCAGGTGCTCGTCACGACGAAAGAGTACTAGCCGCATCCTATTGCTTAGTACTAGTCAGTACTCCTGGTAACTCATCTCACTGTACTATCGCCAACTTATCATGATAAACCTAACCATCGCCACCAGCTTCAACCCAATGGACGCCCACAATTCCCGACCCCCTTGACTATACGACATACCATCACTCCCGGGCAGGAAGCCATTCGATGGCCTCACCAGCAGCAGATACCCTTCCATTTCTTCAATTCCCCGCCGAAGTCCGCCTATCAATCTACCAATACCTCATCCCCGACCTTCCCATCCGCAACTTCGCCCTCCTCCGCAACCACTCCAAAACGCCCCACCTCCGCCACGATGGCTCCCGCTGCTGTCCCGCTATCCTACGCACAAACCGCCAGATCCATGCCGAGGTAATCCCCGAATGGTACAGCGCAACCTCTTACGAACTCATCCTTGACACAAAATACATCCTCTTCTGCGGCAAGGTCATCCCCCCTTACGCGCCACTCCCCTCCACAATCCAATGGGTCCAATCCCTCCGTCTCTGCCTCTCCATCCAGGGTACCCCCCGCCACATCCACAGCCAGTCCACCCTGGAACAGCTCCTGGGTTTTCAGGATCGGCTGACGACGCTGGCGCGCGTTCTCTCAGATAAAGGCGATCGGAAACTGAGTCACCTGAAGATCGAGATCGGGGTCAATATCCCACTCCTGTTGAGTCTGAGTAAGACGCCGAGTGAATTGCTCGAGTTGCTGGAGTGGAATCTGCTCCCGTTGAGGGAGAATATCAGGGATGTGGCTGAGGTGTGCTGGGAGTTGCAGGAGCAGAGTTATGGGATCCAGAGCGAGGAGTTTCTGCGCTCTTATGCCGGGTTAAAGTCGATTATGTGTGCTTTTCTGCAGGATATGCGGTTGGATATGCTGGTCGAGCCGGATGGGTAGACTCGGCTGTCTTATCAATGCCGCGACGTCATTGCCGGACACTATCTAATTGATTACGACTCGATTGGAAAGGATCGGGGGAGTGGACCCCTGATTACCGAGACTGATACCATTGTGGGTGGATCGGGTCCACTTGGAGCTTTTACGCTTGTTTGTCCGATATCGGCTATTTCGCGGCATAGTTTACTATTCTGCAATTGGGATTCTGGGCTGGTGGTTGTCGATACTCTAGAAATTTATTGATATATTTTGCTTAATGGGGGTTGATTCTAGGATCTGCGACGAAAACCCTTTCAGGCTGGACTTTAGTGTTACATATTATATTTCGTGTCCTATATAGCTGTGGACTATCATGATAATCGTCACATGACATCACTTTTAAAAAAAAAAAAAAAAAAAAAGGAACAATGTTTATGCAAAGGGGGAATTTAGGCCCGGCTGAGGTTCTCGCCCTCCTCGGCCTTCTGCAAACCGTACTTCTTGAGACTATTACAAAGTTAGTACAGGAAACCTATATGAGAGTGTCAATAGGTGGAAGCATACCGGATAGAGCTGATGGAGATGAAGCCGGTAGTGTCGGTGGGCTCGAAGTCCTCAAGGGAGTCCATGGACGCCTCCTCGGCATCGTACAGCTTCTCGGTGCTGCTGGAGCGACCGAGGATGTAGGGGCTACCCTTGTAGAGGCGGACACGGACCTCGCCGTTGACACGCTTCTGGCTGAACTTCAGACTGTTCTCGATGAACTCGCGCTCGGGGCTGAAGTAGTAGCCGTTGTAGAGTTGGATAGACCAGTTGTGGGTAACGAACTGATCACGCAGGGCGCGGACCTGGCCGTCCAAAACGAGACCTGTATGTGTAGTGAGTAATTTGGACACTTGATGTGGTATTAATGGGTATAGGATACTGGACACGTACCTTCAAGGTCAAGATGGGCAGCACGGAGGATAGTCATGGCAGGAGCTAAGATATAGTTAGTCGGAGCAGCAAGCGAGAAAAATGAACGAAATGCCTACAATCGTAGCAGCCACGGCTCTTGAGACCGATAAAGCGGTTCTCGACAATGTCGATACGACCAACACCGTGGGTGTAACCGAGCTTGTTGAGTGCGTCGAAGAGCTCAACGGAGTCGGTGTACTCCTTCTGGGGGGTGACCACCTTGGTGGGAATACCCTGGTTGAAGTGGATGGTGATGTCGGTAGGCTCGTTGGGAGCGGTGAGAGGGTCGGCGGTCATGGTCCACATGTCGGCAGGGGGGGTGTGGTTGGGGTCTTCCAGAACACCGGCTTCGTAACTGCAGTGGGCAGAGTTGGCATCCATGGACCAGGGCTTGGCCTTGGTGGAGGTGACAGGGATGCCGGTCTGAGCGGCGTAGTCGAGGAGGTCGTTACGGCCAGCAAAGCGCTTGAAGAATTTGGGATCACGCCAAGGGGCAATGATCTTGATGGAGGGCTGGATGGCATAGAAAGCCAATTCGAAACGGACTTGGTCGTTACCCTTGCCGGTAGCGCCGTGGCTGACGAACTGGCAGCCCTCCTGCTGGGCAACGCGCATCTGGGCGCGGGCGATAACGGGACGGGCCAAGCTGGTTCCCAGGAGATAGCGACCCTCGTAGATGGCATTGCACTCTGTCTCACGTTATTCAACAGATCACGGGCTATAGAAGGTATCATGTTCGGCTTACGGATGGCAGGGAAACAGAGCTCCTCGACGAACTCCCGGCGGAGGTCCTCAATCACCATCTTCTTGGCACCGATCTTAAGGGCCTTCTGCTCAACGGCAGCCCAATCTTCCTCTTGACCGACATTGCCAAGGAAGCAGACGACCTCGTAGCCCTCCTCTGTGACCAATTGTTAGCGGACGGTGGCGATGACAAGGGGAATTGGATAAAGGTACCGATCAGCCAGCGAAGGATACAGCTGGTATCAAGACCGCCTGTTCGAATCCTATGGCGTTAGCGACATAAACTTCTAGTCAATTGTTCTCTTATGTTGTAGATTCGCATACCAGAGTAGGCGAGACAGACGCGGGGCTTCTCAGTGGCCATTGTGAATGAAGGAAGATGAGTGAAAGGGGGGAAAGAGATTGTAGTGTTGGAAGGTGAGGAATAGAATTTTAGTAGAAGAACAAAAGAAGTTGTGGTTTGACGATCAATTAAATTTCATTCAACAGAACATCCATTGAGTCACGGGGGGTTGAGTCATCTGACTGCGGGGGCTTTATCGGAGAGGCTACTCCGCATTCGTGTTAGTTCGGCCTATGATTGGCAGCGGATATTATGTAACAGCAAGTAAACAAGTCGGTCCAATCACAAATAGCTGATAAGATCGGCGGGACTATTGGATCACGTGAGTACACCGCATTTCCCTTTCGGGATTCCTTTATATAATTGTTCGATTATGCCCTAACATCCAACAAACGGCATTTGAATGTAAACAGCTTAAAGTAATCTTTGTGATATACAAATACAAGACTAAACCAGTAATCAGCATGAATGGATTGAGAATTGCTCTGCTCGTCTCACAAAGAGTCAGTTTACTTACCCGGCGCAGGGCTGGCTCCTCAGCAACTCTCTTCGTTGAATATGCAAAACTCCGTCATCCAGAGGATAGCTATACGGGTTGAAGGCGCCGATCCTTGTACATAACCTTCTCTCCATTTTGCCTGTGTGACAGCCACATGATGAAAGCGGAGAATTCGTCGTGATAATTACCGCCAGAGTGCATACGGGTGTACACTTCTTGCAAGCGTGACATGTATTGATGTTCGGGCGATGTAAAGAAGATTCATAGCATTTTGGCTTCATACAAAAGATATCCCGGTGTTGCCTTTGCTCTAGCTTGTATTGACAGCCTCTGAAGGGTGGGCAAGTTTGCAACTTTCTACGACCATTCCCGGGCCTTGTCGTGATGATACAGCTAAGCCCCTGCAGGTTTAAAATCCCAACGCTTGGTACCCTAGACTATGGGTTACACTTACTACGTTTCGGCACCATGGGCAATGGGTGTCGGAACGATGATGCTTCCATGAAGCTTGGCAAGTTTTGTACACATCGAATGCTCACGTTGGATTTGAAGGGGTGTCTATCTGTCTGACAACCGCCTGTATTAGAACGGCGATTTAGATCATAAGCGTGCGCTTGTATGGTGGTTTTAGACTTTCACACCTTGGGCTCCGGAGTCTTAAACCTTCGGGCTTGTTTGGTGTTGGATTGTGGATTGCGCCTCTTCTGGGTCTTTCCATCTTTTGCCGTTTGTGTATCGTTGTTGTTTCTTCCGTCTTGCTTTTGGGCCTTTTAATTAGGAGTAGCTAACAAACAGAGATTAGCCCCTATATGCGGCAAGAGTGTCTATTTAGTAGATTGCATTCTTAACAGCCGGCCTTAAATACAGGGCATACTATGACAGGGAAAGAAGCAGATAGAAGAGGCTGACATGTCGATGGACATTGCATGCAGAAATTTAAATCAGAGCTTCATGTTTCACCCACTCAACTAGTATATCTCTTTTTGAGCTGGAAAGTAGACTCTTGTGTCATAAACCCACGACTCTGCGAATGGGAGCTCCCTAATGTAGCCACAGAACCATTTATACCCCATTCAGTAGATGGTTACTCCCGAGCCGTACGTGAGATAACTCTTTAGTGTGGTACGTAACCAACGATATTCTCCCCTCGGCGAATGCGATGAGTAATGTGAACTGGACGACGAGTCAAGCTACACCAAGAGGGATGTTACACTGTACCAGCCGTAGTAGTACATTAACTCGTGAGCGGGCTGATTCTGCTCTCGGTATTACCTGTACTCGAACCCTCACTTAGCAGTTAATTTCTCTATCTCCCAACTACAATGACTCCACCAGAGCGTCCACATATCGTATTTGGCACCGCGGCCTTTGGCATCGGATCACCGCTGGCCAAAATCCAAGATGAGAACTCTGCAGCCCCAATCATCGCTCTTCTCAGGGCTAGACAAGTGACTGACTTGGATACGGCTCGTCAATATCCCGTGGGATCCCCAGGTACAGCAGAGGCACTCCTCGGCGACCTGCGAGTGGCAACTTGGGCGACTGTCTCCACCAAAGTTCATTCCTGGGAGCCAGGTTCCCACCGTGCAGAACGGATCGCAAAAAGTGTGGCGGACTCTCTTGCGGCTTTGAAGACGGACAAAGTGAATATCATGTATCTGCATTCGCCGGACCGCAGTACACCGCTAGAGGAAACATGCAGGGCCATGGATGCCGAATACCGAGAGGGAAGGTTTGCTCGCTTTGGACTTAGTAACTACAGGGCAGACGAGGTGGCGGAAATCCTCATGATATGCGAAAAGCACGGCTTCGTCAAGCCTACCGTGTATCAAGGTCGATATAATGCCATCATCCGATCTGGAGAAACTCATTTGTTTCCCCTCCTCAGACGTCATGGAATCAGTTTCTATGCATATAGGTATGACATTACCTCAATATGGTCAGGTGTGTCTATTGACCTTGCGCCGTACCCTCTAGTCCCGCCGCGGTTGGTTTATTCACGGGAAGGGCGTCACAGGACCTTAGTCAACTTGCGGGATCACGATGGGATGGCAATGTGAGTATCGCATCTCCATACTACGTTAGTAAGCCATAGTTGACGCAACACAACCATTTCCGATAGACTGCGCCGGGAAAACTTTACCAGAAAGCCTACTTCAAACCGTCAGTGCTCTCGGCAGCTCAAAATGTTGCAAAGGCAGCTGAGGCTGTGGGGTTAAGTGGACATGAACTGGCGTTGCGATGGACTATCTACCATTCAGCTCTGAGTCAGGAATACGGAGATGCTGTGCTTGTCGGTGCATCGAGCTTGGCACAGCTGACTGAGAACTTGGATGCAGTTGACGCGGGCCCACTGAGTGAAGAACTGGCTAGATTGGTCAGCGATGTAGGGGAGCTAGTCGCTGATGAGGCCCCTCCATACCATATTTAAACCTGGTTCAGAGAATTTGGCCGGCCGGTATTTATCGTAGCATTGCCCTCCTGCCTGCAGTCGAGAAGTGAGGGAGATGCAGCTTAATATCTGCTTCTCTTATGTGCTCCTGCTATATATTTCTTTAGCTGTTTGACATCTAGGCCTCTTGAGCTCTTCTACAAATACTATGATTGAAGCGTGGAGGGGACATAGTACCATGGGTTACTGGTAGTGAAACAAGAGATTATGAAAGGTCAATATACTTATCTTTGTATATGACCTCATGTAAAGTATCGGAGACCTTTCTACAGCAGTGTGTGTGTGTGTGTGTGTGTGTGTGTGTGTGTGTGTGGAAACATATCCGTATTTCGCTCTACGAAGCAGCACAGAATGTGCCTGGCTGATTTTGATTCGGTGAACTCTGTCATTCGCTCCAATTTTCTTTATGCTTGTTTGAAGCGGCAATCGCTCTATACTATCGGCTCAACCAGGGTGGATACCGCGTAGAAAGTACAGCGAGGGAGACGAAGTGGAGAAAGATAACTGTAGCGTTTGCGGGGACCGACGGTCGTCGATTCCACGGTCTTCCTATACGAGATTAGAAGGACATTGCCAGCACTGTAATGGCCAAAGCGATAATTGCATGATTAGCCCAAGAAATGTTGCACAGAGTGGACTTGATTTCACAATCAAGGATATTAGACCTTTAGAGAAGTAATGACCGAAACTAGTCCCACTAGTCCCAGAGGGAAGAAAACCCAACATTGAGTCAGTTAAGCCCGAGACTATAATATAGTGCCACAGAAAAGGCGAAAGTTGGCAATGGTACTAAACCGATTCCCGGAAACACCGATGATAACATTGAATTCTAAACAAGGACGACTGTACATCAGTCAGAGAGAAACAATCCTCCAGTCATGAGAACTAACCCCCGAGCTGAACTAGGCGAATGGGGAGGCTTTCTTTGCTAAGGTGGTATGCGCAACAAGAAAATGACACAAAGGCCAACCTACATAGGATCAATATACGAGAGTAGGCGTTATTGGTTCAACGGGGGAAGGGGATCATTTCCTGGTCGGGTCGGACCGATGTCCAGAGAGGGGTTTAGGGTTAGTTCATTCCTCAGGGTTAATATAACTCTAGAGTGGGTCAGTGGCACGAGAAGTCGCGATTCGAGCCATGCGTGATGATATTCGGCATTATATCCGGTAGTTCCGTGCAGTGTAATCCTAATCTCTTTGGCGACGAGTATTGCAAGGTTCTCAATCCTACATTAGTTTAAAAATGGAGGAGACAAGCAGTGTCAAGCACTGCCAAGTGACGCTGCCCCACTGGCGTGAAGGCTTGAATAAAATACTAATTCTTATCTCCCCTTTACTCCGCCAGGCGCCAGCTTTCCTGCAAGTGTGATGCGATTGGGAATAGCAAATGGTATCAATGAATTACCAGCGTAATATGCTATGGTGAATATTGCTATCATCGAGTCGGGTGGGCTGGTGGGTATAGTATGTACAGTATACAGCTTTCCCATTTGCGCCTACAGGGCTTATGGTAGCAATGGTACTATACAATGAACATTCTCGTCACTCTAGAAAAATTGGATATTTAGAAATTTCTAAAACAGGTCCTGTAGTCTTCTGCAGTACTTGAGAATCATGGGGATGGAGGACCGGGTGTTCCAGAAATTGTATACTCCCATAGACCACTGTTCGCAAGAGGAGTGCCGAAAAACCCGAAAGCTGACCGAGAATTAATAACCACAGTGTTGCATTAAGACAGTCTGGCTAAACATATTCATTAGATTAGTTTTAGCCGTCGGAATCCGCTGCAGCTTGCCATCATCTGTCCGTTTGCTCTCAAATTCCGTACAGTTCTGGCACTCAACAACTATAGTGTTGGTAGCAATACTCGCATGTTGTCCTTTGTTTAGAAGATGAGATCGCATGGTGTGATTTCGCTCTCTCGAGATAGAAGGAAGATGTCCGAAGCAAAATAGCATAAATACCCTCAGCCACCTCTTGTCTATCACGCATCATGCCAATCAACAAGCTTCTTCTGCCTCTACAGTTCTCTCGGGTAATTCCAGCCAAACATTCAACTTAGTCTTGAACCAAAATGAAGTTCACCACTGCTATTGCTACTGCTGTCCTCGCCAGCGCCGCGTTGGCTGCTCCGGAGAGCAAGCTCGCAGCTCGTGTCAAGGCCCGTGAGGCGGGCACGCGAGGCTCTCGCCCCCTCGAAACTGTCCAGAAGCCGGCTGGCATCACCGACAAGAAGAACGTTCAGTATAGTTCCAACTGGTCTGGTGCTGTCCTAGAGAATCCTCCCTCTGCGGCGGCCACCTACACTGCCGTCACCGGTACTTTCACGGTCCCTCAGCCCACTGGCAGTGGGTTTGGAAGCTCCTCTGCCTCCGCATGGGTTGGTATCGACGGTGATACCTACAGCGAGGCCATTCTCCAGACCGGTGTCGACTTCACTGTGACCGATGGTGAGGCCTCCTTCGATGCCTGGTACGAGTGGCTCCCCGATTACGCCCACGATTTCAGCGGCATTGACATCTCGGCCGGTGACGAAATCGTCGCCATTGTCGAGTCCCACTCATCGACCAGTGGGATCGCCATCATCGAAAATAAGAGCACTGGCCAGAAGGTGACCAAGGAGCTTAGCTCTTCGTCTCCTCTGGGTGGAATCAATGCCGAGTGGATTGTTGAAGGTGGGTCCCTCTTTTTCCGGATATAATTTGACGTCCGGTAGGAAGAAAACGCTAACAATCATCTCTAGATTTCGAGCAGGACGGCTCCCTCGTTGACCTCGTTGACTTTGGCACCGTCACCTTCACTGGTGCCGTGGCCAAGGCTGCCGGCGGCGAAAGCGTTGGTGTCTCTGGTGCCACTGTCATTGACATTGTGCAGGGCAGCAAGGTGGTCACCGATGTCCGCATTGACAGTGACTCTCAGGTTACCGTTTCCTACGTTTAGATTATCTAGATAAGCCCGACACCACTAACAAACTGGTGAGCTATCGTGTTGGCGTCTTCTTACAGAGCAACGTGTTGAAGAATGGAGAAGCAGGTGATTTAGAGCTGCGGTGAAAAGGACAGCCGGAGGCAGGGTTGGCTAGTGTATCTAAACATTCCTGAGTTTGAAATAGTCAGTCCGTTGAGGGCTTAGTAGGCATCTCATAATCAACGACCATACTCTCCTCAACCCCTTCACTGTGATGCACGAGACTATGGCATACACTGACGTAGAATTATGAAGTGCCTGGTTGACCTTGATTACACCTCTGTCTAGGGATATCAATTATTGGGGTTCGCTTCCCTTGGCCCTATTTCATTGGTGCATTTACCGCAAGATGCTAGTGATCAAGGAGAGGGAAAGCCAAGATATATGGTTAAATATCGGAAACACTCCTCGTATTCGGATATAAAATGATCGCCTCGGGAGTTCAGGGGCAAGATGACTAACCCGCAGGCACCAAGCCCCTGCTGCCTACCGTGGATCAATCCAATTTAGTGCCGGAATTCAACCCATAAATATTGGTGGACAATTTAAAATCCCAAATCCACCCTCAAACCAAACCAACGTTTATCCTTCCAGCCAACACGATGAAACAGGACCGGGTGAGACTCCCTGGCTTCGGCCAACCATTGAACAATGACCTACCCATCATTGAGCGAAAGGAGGGAAAAGATGACGAGGATGGCCCCTATACAGGCCAAAGGCGACGATTCCGCCATGCAATAAGTGACTCCTGTAACAGCGTGGGTGTGTCAGTTAGGGAACGTCGGATGTTGGAATTTATCAATCAGATCACCGATAAGCCAGAGTGGGACAGAAAAGTCTTCGATGAGGACATTGTCAGTAAATGGAGGAATGAGGCATGCGTGCACAAAGAGGAGCTAGGTGACTATTATTTGTCGTCTGCTATGTTTGATTACGTGGGTTTTGGTCTTCTCTCATGTCTATATCGCAGCACTAACAGTGTACAGTGTATCAAAGAGCTTCGTGATAAAGCGACCTATTTCCAAAAGTCTCAGATGGTTTCTGTCTGGGATTGTGAGACCGCGATCGTTAAGTCGGACACAGCGGTCACGTCCACTTTGGCTGCGTCTCTACGGAAAAATGTACGCGTCTTAGAGGACGTTCCTGAGCACTTGAAAGACTGGCATCCCGGATCTGATCAACGGGTCTTGGATTTACTCCATCCGTCGCTATTCCCATTGATGCACGGACGATCACGCGCCCTGCCGTATGGAACTGTCCCTCTCAATGACTGTGCTCGCTTCACTGGTGAAGGTGAGGTAGTTATCCCCGAATTCGCTGGTTCCTTGAAACGTGTTCAAGAGTTGGGTGAGCCTGCGCCTGAGAGGGACTCCCTTCTGGAGTGGGGAAACTTCCAATGGCTTCCGTCTAATGTAGAATTTACTAAAGATGGTTGGCCCCGGATTGCTAGTTACATCAACAACCTCCACCCCCGACAGCACAAAGAGCTCTATGGCACTCTGGAACAATTCGTTGCTGCTGCAATCCCCCTTTGGAATGAGTGTCTTTCATGGGATGAGGAGCGGCTGAGGATAGAGTTCAACTCACAAGGTGATGACGGAGACTTTATGGTCCCAGAAGGGTTAACCTTCACTCCTACAGACAACGACGTTGAGTCACCGGAAAAGATTCGGCCTTACACATATGAAGAAGGACGTGAAGATGAGGACATCCGCTGGTCAGACAATTTCGAAGACTGGTACAGGGAACATCGAATCTTTATTCAGAGAGAGCCCGAGCCCTTCCGGACCCGTCAGCAGTGGGAAGAAAGAGCTCAACACCGTCCCATTAACCTGCAAAAGCAGTTTGCCACCTCTGGATTGCAGGTCATCTTCAAGCTTGCGAACATCCATTTGACACCCGAAAAGCCCCAGTATAATGGTGGCACCTGGCATATTGAAGGGGCCATGAACGAGCATATCGTTGCCACAGCTTTGTATTATTATGACGAAGATAATATTACACCCAGTCATCTGAAGTTTCGCCAGTCCCTAGACAGCGAGGAATGGATGATGAATACAGGTCAAGTATTTCTCTCTATACCTCTCATCTCCATGGAACTATAGCACTGACTGAAACATTTCTGCAGGGCGAATACCATTCCACCGAGTTATTTTATGGAATCGAAAATGAAGAGGCCGCAATACAAAATCTAGGGAGTGTGTTGACGAGACCCGGTCGGCTACTCGTCTTCTCCAACGTTCTTCAACATCGGGTTCAGTCATTCAAACTTGCCGATCCCACAAAGCCGGGCCACCGAAAGATCTTGGCTATGTTCTTAGTGGATCCACATATTCCTATTCTGTCGACGGCAAATGTCCCTCCTCAGAGAAAGGACTGGTGGGCAGATGAAGTTCGAAGGGTGCCCCCGTTCCAAGGCTTGCCCTTAGAAATATTCGAGATGATCATGCAGTATGTGACTGGCTTCCCCCTTAGCTGGGAGGAGGCCCTAGAAGTAAGGAAGGCCCTCATGGATGAACGAGGGGCATTAACCGAACACACCAATGCTGAAATTGAAGATGTATGTTATCTTTCGTCCCTTCGCTACCGTGGGTAGACCACTAATTGAGCCTTAGAATACTTTCAGTTTCTGCGAGCATTAATTATAGTTATGCTTCAGATTATGGTCAAACGATGCAGGTAAATTACGCAAGATGCCCTTGGTACCGGAACTATGTGAAGGAAATGCATTATTCAGGAAGCAGTTCTATGATAGTAAATGCCGTGATGTGCGTTTAACGTTAAAAGCCTTTGCCAGGCCATCGCCGTATAACCGTATAATCAATGTGAAATTAGTTCCGTGGATATTATTATACTTCATGCGAATAGAAGTTTATCTATCTAGCTGTCCTATTTACAAAATGACCATTTCGTTTCTTTTTCTTTCTCTTAGGCTTAGGAACACAGAAAGGCATATGGGTAAATGGAGCCATCAGGGCAGTGGAGTAAGAATCGGACGCTATATATATATCTTAACGAATGTGTTATGTTCTGAAACCAAAGAGACTGCCGGCCTTACACTATATTTAGTTTTCACAACCAGTGTTGATAACTGTATAATGTATTTCATGTCAGGCTCCGACATCTGCCACTTAGCCATTTGTCAAGGAACAGAAGTAATATTGAGCGTGAAGGATGCTAAGCATGATCGATAGGCAATGGACCAGCATCGATGGGTTAGGTGAAAATGTACTTGGGCCCATCGACCATCAAGCCACTGCCGCCAGGATGTATTAGAGAAGCCGGCAACCAGAGCTTCTTAATATCGTTGACCCACATCTGGCCAGTCCAGAGTAAGGCGCCATCCTGAACTAGAATGGTGGCACCGGCTTCCGGAGTCACCTTCCAGATAGCGAGGAGATTGGTGTCACGGATGTATATGTTGCCGTCGCCGTCGATGGTGGTTCCTTTGGTGCTAGGTGTCAGGGCAAAAGACTCGGCGTGAGGTGGAGAGGGTGGTAGGTCAGGGCAGCATTGACGTACGCGGTCTTGATGCGGCATAGGCGAGTCTACAGATTGAGATTTTGAATGGTCCATCTTCTAATTCAATCTTGGCAATTTCTTTTTCTCGACCTATAAAGCTGGGATTTTCCAACAAGGGGACCGTCCAAAAACGTTGGCTCTCTGCTTTTCTCTCTGCTAACTCATTTAGTATTAAATCAACTTAATCATCAAGTAATAACTAGCCTTCTCTAGAAACAGATCTCCAGGATTCTAAGAATGCCTTGGCAGCAGAAGCCCCGGCTGCGGCTGTGTATGCTTGCCATGACTCGTTTTTATGGTTGCCTGCATAGTCACAAACACCTTTAATAACAATACGTGAAGTATTATCCCATATTCCTGCTCCTTCCACCTCAAACCAATCACATTCTCTGTCTTTCCAAGGTCATCGCGATGCTGTCCTGATTTCACCACCGTATCCACGGATGCAATTCCCCCAATGTAAGTCGCAGGCCTGTCAATTTCTGTGCGGCATTGATGACGAATAATTGTACTCTCATTGCAGCCACGTTCGTTGCAAGCTTCCTCTGAGACTTCATGCAAACAAAGACATCTTGTAGACGACTTCTCATCGTGCTTGTGCTGGTAGGCAGCCTCAAAGGGAATATCCTCGGGTTTAGGTTGCTACCACCGGGTATCTGACTGAAGAATACTATGAAGATGCTCGGATATATTGTGCTGAAATTCGACAACACGCTTTGTGGCCCGAAGGGCTTTAAGAAGGGCTCGAATTTGTTGACTTGGTCGTCCGAGAACATCACTGACATCAGTCTTGCGCTAGAAGCTACCCAGGCACTATTGGCCAAAGTCATATTCAATAACTACTTCACTAAGAATCACATCACCTAGAAAGATTTCCTAGTTATCACAAGGACGAGGAGCCACTTCGCAGATACCTATAAGCAGTGCAAGCTGAATTCTAGGGTAGCTAAGTTGTAGTCTTGAAGACACACTTGCAGCGCTTCCTTTCCCCGTTCCTGGCATATAGAACAATAGGATATTACGCTTCCAATCCTTCCGTTTATATATGCATACGGATATCCAGGTTGTTTATCATAGATAGCGCTTAATGAGTCTTAGGATTCGTTGGAGAACTTCTTCAAAAGCGTCTGCCTCCAGAGCTAATGCGCAGAGGACTGAGATCGTGAAGTGATCCCTGCCAGTTGGGCGCATTTAAGTTGACGAAGTCAATTAAACGAGAGCAAACCTGATATCTCTAAGGGAATGAGGGTTGGTCCGGTGTGGTTCCAACATAAATAGCCAGAAGGCTGTTATAAGAAAGGTAGACAAGAGAAAGCATGTTTGAATAATCATGAGTTTGAATCGAGGAGTTCAGCCTTGTCTCTTGCTTTTCACCATCCCCGTTTGAGTAGATCTATTGCCGTGGAAAAGAGTAATTGGTATAACATGGGGATTTTAGAAATATGTGATACGGTGTGATATGGCTTGAAAAATCTAGTATTCTTGGAGCCTTATGTAGCAAGAAGTGAAATTCTCTGGTTCTATCAACAATTTGTGTATGTGGGAGGTTGTAGACACTGATAGCACGGATGCACATCCGATGTCATGTGCACTCAGTTTCGGCCGCGGGCGGCAGATGACCTCAATACAAAAATAACCTGCAGACCTCAAGTCTTTGAGGTCTATTACAACCACCTTTCACTTGCCAGGTAGCTCTAGGCTGTTAAGCAATACGCCCCTAAGAACATGGCCTCTCGTGAACCCCCGATCATCGATTTCTCCCGTGAGTATGCCCCTCTTCCGCAGGAGACACACACATTAATGCAACGGATAGCATTTTACGGCCAAGACGGCCCAGAAAAGCAACAGTTGATCAAGGAGTTACGTTGCGCCTGTGAGGAATATGGGTTCTTCCAGATAATCAACCATACCATTCCATCCAGTCTCCAGAACTCCATTCTTGAGCAGAGTAAAGAATTTTTCGATCTTCCAATGGAAGTCAAGGAAAGATACAGCAAGGGTATATCTTGTCCGTTGGAGCTACCGCTCGATACTAACAACGATCGACGCAGATATCGGCGGCTTCAACCGCGGATACGAGCATCTGCGCGCGCAGAATTTCGAGAAGCGAACCAAAGGCGATTTAAAGGAGGGGTTCTACCTTGGCAAGAATCTTCCACTAGATGATCCCTACGTCGTGGAACGGAAGTTCGGACAAGGTCCTAATAAATATCCGGCCGAGGTGAGCAATCCGGACAGATTTCGGACCATCATGGATGAGTACCATTCCGCTCTTACCTCGCTAGCGGAGGGAATCCTTCGGATGCTAGCCCGTACACTAGGCCTTGAAGAATCGGCTTTCGAGGCATTTGGTGAGCATCCTGTGGCTGCACTACGGCTTCTGCACTATCCACCCCAGGATTCCGATGCATCTGACCTGGAGCGAGGTATGAGTATCCGAATTCCTGGTGGTATGACAAGATGTTGGGTCTAATTTGTAAACAGGAATCGGTGCACATACAGACTTTGGCGCCATCACTATTCTCCTGCAGGATACCACGGGTGGTCTACAGGTCTGGAATAATATCTCTTCAGAATGGGTAGATGTGACGCCTATCCCCGGTGCTTATGTGGTTAATCTGGGAAATATGATGATGCGATGGACAAACGATCGCTACCTATCCAACTTTCACCGCGTTATTAATAGAAGTGGTAAGGAGCGCTTCAGTGTTCCGTTCTTCTTCTCAGGTAATCCGGACTATACAATCGAGTGTCTGGAGAGCTGTGTCACTGAAGATCAGCCGGCAAAGTACCCACCCATTACTGTCGGTGAGTGGATGGTCGGTCGTTATGCGGATACCTATGGGTCGGGGAAGGATAAGGCCCTTGGGGAGTTGCGAAAGGATCCATCGGCCTAGGAAACGGTCAGTCAGGCGCTAGAAGCGTTACTGAAAAGCAGCGTTACGTACCCGAAACATGGATTCTCCTCCCTTCTGCTTGATGCTAGCGTTGTTATTCACTATGATCTATTAAGCACGTATATTTAAGCAGAGTATAAACAACTGAATCAAGCTTTGGCAGCAAAGACCAAAGGATTAGCCGGACGCAATCCAAGTAATATCGGCTAGTGATATGGAAAAGGGAAAAGGCAGTTTACCTACTGCCCATCACACCTATCACATTAGCTTTGAGGAAGTACATCAATATAACACCCCTTTATCCGCTTCTGTTCTATGCTAAATACCCTTCATCATATCAATAATAGACTCCCAAGTAGCAGTATCCCGAGCCAGCCAATCCAACACAGAGGTGTTCGCGAGTCCCACGCTGAAGGGTCCGCCCCCAGTTGTTGATCCGACGGACCATGATCCCGGACCTGAGCTATGAGATCTTTTACGCAAAACTGCGGTTGTTCGCCGCTCACTATGGCGTGATGGATTCTCAATAGACTCTGGATGGGTGCATATCCTGTCTTAGCAATTCGGCTCTTGATTAGATTGCAGAAATTGCAAACTCTCGGAAGCCAGATCTACAACACAACCTCTCCGGACTCGAAGAACTGCTACCTATCGTCTCGGGAGAAGATTAGTTCAAAGAGGAGCCAGACCGCTGTTGTGAAGACTTGGGTGTTGACCGTCCAGAGATTGCGGATGAATGACGTGTATGGGTCATCGGAAGTAAGACAATAGCGGATGGGCTGCGGCGCATGATTGTGAAGCTGGAGAAATTGAGGAAAGATTTCAGGTTAGCCCAAGGGGGGTGAGGACCAGATGTCGACGCTCGAACTCTTGTCCATCCTCTCTGGCATCTGCCTTATCCGAGCATTCTCATAAGCTTTGTGGTGTTTGACATGTGCACCGATATTGCAATTAGCTGTATCAAGTAGCGGAGCTCGAATGGCTCATTTTCTTTATAAAGTACGTACTGCAAAAGACATACGAGTGGAAAATCATAGGTAGTCTGCCCATGAGTGACTTATTCATACCACAGGATACTGCTCAAGCCCATCCATTGTCCGGGTTGTGGCACCAGCCCAACCTGCAGAGAAGCCACTTCTTTCAGCAATTCCCTAGCCCTAAAGTCTCTCTTCGCAATTACAACATTCGACGTCTCCTGGTTGGCTACAGCAACATAATCCCCTTTCTTATTGATCGCGAGCGTTCGAGGCATAATCCCACCCGAGGGAAAGAGTGACTGCTCTTGGATAACCGTTCCATCCGAGGCAAGTTTCAGCGTCACTAGAGAATCCTTTCCGTCAAGTTCGCCATCTTTCCTTACGGAAATATGTAGGCTGTGGTTATTTACCTGAATGCTAGATAGTGTAGCCGTATTCGTGGGGAGTTTATAGCCGGGATAAGGGACGAAACAGCTCAACTCCTTTGAACTTCGGGCAACTTCCTTCTACATACGACACTTCAAATGAACACAAACGGTCGCCCAACTCTTCTACCATGTACAACGTGGTATTTCCTTCTCGGGTATCCTTCGCGGAGTCCATGAACTCTCCAAATCGCGGCCCGCTTCCTTCCTTATAAGCGATCGAGTCTCACGCATGCAGTTTACCTGACTCCTTGTCTATCAAAAACACACGAACCAAGTCCGCTCCCAAGTCAGGTGAAATGAGGAACGAACCCGTCGGGTCGAGAAGGGCTTGATGCGGACGCGACTGATCCTGCGGGGCCTTGCCAGGATTGTCGAGGGTGAAGTTCAACACCTCGTAGGGCCACACTATCTTGCTTATCCCCGAATGGGATTTCCCATGTGGAAATTGAGGTGTCACCACTATATACCTAGTCAGTATTACACTAAACGTCACCAGCACGGTGCGAACGAAAGGAAAGCAACGTACTAATGCGCAATAGATAAGTAATTCTTACCGTTCTCCCCAGGATAGATGATGCTATTGACACCACCATTGGGAGCGGCAACTTTCACCATCTCTTTCAAGGCCCCGTCATTTCCAATCTCTAACGACGTCAAAGACCCCGACGATGGCTCGTCAGAACACCATAGGAGTCCATGCTCAAGGTCAACCGTGAGCCAGCTCAGGGCTTTACCGCATGTCTGCAGTGCTTGAGTTTGCTTGAGAGAAACTTCATCACCTTCGCCCTCAAGCGAGAGTTTGTAGACATTGCCGTCATAATGAGTTGCGTAGAGTGTCGCAGCGATTGAGAAAGTGGGTAGTGCCAGGGAGAACGTCAACAAGTTACGCAGAGCCATTCCAGATTGTGTGGTTCAGATCAAGAGTTTTAACTAATTTAAGCAAAATAGTTTTTTAGTATACTATACTAAAGAAGATAGATTGTATTTGTCGCACGCGAGGCAATTTATAGGGCGAGTAGAGGAAGGACAGCTTTGTTGATGACCAGGTATTGTGAATAGGACGGGATAGAAAGGGAGATAAATACTCCTCTACTTAGCTTACAGAATCGCGGCGACAGGTGTCCGACACCACACATCACTTTTCTCGGTATTTACATTTTGACATTTGTTCCTGGCTACACTTTTGGGCGATGATGTATCTGCCCTGCCGACGGGACAATCAGAAGAGATTACAGCTCCTCATGTTGCTATAGAAAAGACAGGCCCCGTGTTATCAATTGTCACCGATTTCTTCTCTGCTGCCTTGTGGTTTTAATCCTCCCACTAACTTCTATCCGGCTACTCACCGTGGCCAGTGAGTATATTTAATGTCCTCCAGCTACATATTTTATCTGTTCCATTTGCAGGCTGACATGCCACACTTATAAAAGATATATAAAATGTATCAAGGGTTCTTGAGTTCATGAGAACTATGTTACTTCAGCCCGATTTCAATAAAGTTCGTGTACAGGTATGTGTATACCTCTATCATGGTTAGTATTTCAGCTGGTACTGAGTTCTTTTCAGTCTGTTGTAATCAAAAAGAAAGGCGGTTATGTTTTCGATGTGACCTCTAGGCTTGGTTTCACACACCAGGTAGGCACGAAACTGATTAGAATTCGATTTCACATTGTGCGGATTGATTTTTGCATACAGTACTGTATGTACTGTATGAAGTTCTATCGTTTACTTGATGGAGTCTCGAATCACAACACCGTCGAATCTCTGGCACTGATCCAGTTTCCAATAGGGCAGTTCAACCTTCTAAGTCATACTTCGACTGTTCTGAAAAGCACATATCTTACAGTACTACCGAACTAGCTGTTTCAGCTTTTGCTTTCGTCATGTTTATAATAGAATGTTCCTAGATACAGCTGGCTGCATAAACGACGCAAATGTATATACTCTTTGCCAATATATGGGTTATTTAGAATATACTACTAATCCTATGGCCAAGGAGATCAACCCATGAGCATCTGAAGACCTGAATACCTGAGTCAATTTAGCAACTAATTACTGATCGTTGTAGTCACGTAAATCAGTAGTCAAAATAGGAAGTTGCAATATAGGTATAAAGCCATGGAAATTATTTTAATAGTTAATCGTCATGTTATGACTGACTAACCCGATATCTCCTAATTCCGAAATAGTGGTTGTTTAGGTAGACACTCTTTATATCTTCCTGAGCCCAGAAGCTAAACTATATTTAGTGGCAAAGCGGAATAGGTATAGGACAGATATGCGGCAGACGTGGCACTAATCATCGCCCGCACAGTAGAGTAGGGATGTACCAGGGACGGGACGGGGCGAACCGCCCGATGCAGCAAAGGAATTGGCCTGGTGGTACTTCCCGTTATAATATGACTATTCTCTTCGGATAGCCTGTTTCCCTTAACTCTCCAGGGTTCTGATTCCAATCCTGCCGGCTTGGTTCTTTCCAATTTCCTCCTTCATCTCCCGGGCAGAATCAACATCGTCGACCTCCAACATACCCTGAATGCACCATACCATCTAAGCTTCTCCATCATCCACCGGCCTTCAAAGGTGGGCTTAAATTAGTCTCATTTTTTAGTGTATAATCTGCTGTACTGTGGAAACAAAATTCAGAACTGAATAAGTGATCGTGATGGTGAATATGATTCAGCAGGAAACATGGTTTCAAACGATGATCAAGGTGTATCATGCGGAACATCCTGCCTGGGACAGAGGTGGATTCTCGTCACGACTAGAGGGGTTGTTCAAGACAAGGACGCGCTTTGCGGGGTTCTACGGAAGACAGTGGTTGTGTGAGCGACACGGGCGGGCAATTGTTATATATGAAGTCATGATCAGGGTGGTTGGGACCGAGAAGATCCGCAAAGCAAAATCTGAAGCCAGAGGGCGGTTACAAAACACTGGGGACGAACTTGTTGGGTTGCGCCAACGCATACAAAGTTGATTAGAGACGTGGAAGCCGAATGGACGCTGGAGGTGGATGGGAATGATGATCTATCAAAGGAGATGGTAGGGTCGAAGCCACCGCAATGGATGATCGCGGAAAATAAGGAACCAGGCCGGCCCAACTTTGAGTCAATTTGTTCGGATGAGTAAGAGGGAGTATTCTATAAAGGTCCGAGTGTATGAGATTCTATAGTTGGAGTTGAGAATCGAATAACCCCTCCTAACGCTCATGACAAGTTTCATAGTCCCCATCTTGAAACGGCACAGTCCCATTTTGTTACGCTTACGAGCATCCTGCTATGCAAGTCGATACTATAGCGCTATAGCGATATTATAGGACTCTTATGGCATTCTAAGCTAATAGTTCAAGCATAGAGATGAAGATTCGGCAATCTGGTAAAGAAAAGCTATCTTGACAGAAGTAGCTCTGAATAGAACGCTCTAATAGTAGCATTTCATGAGGGTAAAGCCCCTCGCTGCTGGTTGCGGGGTGTCAAGAGGATATTGTTTTTCTACTTGATCGATAGGAGCAATCTCCGATGATATTTCTCAAAGCATCATAAAGCTCGGTTTCACTGTTTCAAGTGCTGTAAGAGAAGGCGATTTGGCTATTAAACTTCCATGTTTGGCGGGGCAACGAGGTAGCGACTGATAGAGGTAATAAAATATACTTCGTTATGAGCAAGTTGTATACCATACCGTACAGTACTACCCTAAAACGAACGTAGTGGGAGGGAGGGAAAAGTAAACGAGCCTGCGAGAGTGACCTTCGCCTGTGAGGCTTGCCAAGAAATCTTATGCCCTGAAATGAAGAAACGAGGAACGAGTGAAAGGGAGTCACTCATGGCCACGCCCCTCTGATTGCCGCTTATAATATTGCCTTCTTGGGCTTAGTGTTTATCGTAGTCGGCCTACGTATGCGAAATACTACTATCCAGCTTGCACATTTCAAATCCCTCCCTTTTCTCCTATTCGCTTTACTTTGCATCGCTAGTCTACATGCTTTTGCTACGCACTTCCTTCAACCCTTCTTTCCATTGGTAGGTCTGGGTATCCCACCACAGCGCTACTCTTTTTGTCACGATATGATGTATTTGCAATCAAACTATCACGTCGCACCCTGCAAATTATTCAGCATAATATATTAGTGGCTGGCCGCTACCAGCTGGAGGTACTTACTTGTACGCTTCCAAGGTGTTGTAAGCTAGAGCGAGCGAGTGCTGATTCTAGCGCTTTTAGTGTAAGCTCAGAATATCATGTCCCATCACTGTCAACGGTGGAAGATCCAGACCAGGATAAAAGAACACTTAATACATTCTTGAGTATTGTTCAACTGTATGAGGACGGTGTTGATCCTTGTTAGACGCAGAAGACAAACCAAGAGTAATAGACAATATTTGAGAAGGTAGTCGATGCCTGATATCTATCCATAGTCTTCAGCTACCTTGTTGATATTTGACGTGTCATAGCTGTTGACCCGCACTGATCAGGTGAGCGCAGCCAGCCTTGCAAGGATGGCCCTAAACGATAAGGATCAAAGATTGAGAACCTTTGGGGTAGCCGACATTCTTTTTTAAATAACTGACAGCTTTAGATATAGGTTTTCTTTTGCCTTAGGCACACTAGGAGTAATAGTTAATTTTTACAATTTGTTGTGAATTCAGGGAAAGGTAGCATCTGAAAGGAGACTAGACGTAGATTGAGCAGTATCTTGTCTGAATAGCACAGGAAAGAGGGAAGGTCTTCAGGGGTTAAAAGCCCTGCACGCTTGCCAATGCGCTAGCTATACACCATATCTTCAACACAATTCGAATAATGTCAGAGGAAACTGAGGGCACTGCTGCCATACAGGAGAAGTTTAGAGTGAGTGCTAATTTGGGTTAATAAGGCGTTTTTGAATGCTAATAAGGGTCGAGAATGTGGGTTCTGCTTGGAAAATTCCAGATAAGGCCATGAATGACAAGAGCATGCGATAGGAGATGAAGTGGATCTCTGTTGGAATCATACAAGGGATGACAGCAGCTGATCGTAATGTGATGTTTGTATAGTTTGTAAGTTAATCTCTGTTGGAATTATATGATAGATGGCTACAGCTGACCATGATACGGTGTTGGTATAGCATGTAAGTCAATCTCTGTTAGAATCATACGAGAGATTATAGCATCTGATCGCAATATGATGTTGGTATAGCTGGTAGATTAATCTTTGTTGGAATTATATCAGGGATGACAGCAGCTGATCATGATGTGTTGTTGGCATAGAGAGTAAGATATCAGGTATGCTGGGAGGATGATCTTAAGGTAAGAAAGGTCAGTAGGATGGATGATATGCAAGACAGCAGCATTTTAGGTGCAATGCTAGACTTCGCAGAGGCATCACAGAGGGTTCAAAGCTGGGCGCCACAGGGCCGCTGAACAGAAAACCAGGCATTTAGGCCTCCACCGGCCGTGACGAGGCTCAATGGTCGTCAGGAAGTAAATGGTTTCTGTACATAGACATAGATAAGGATTAGATAGTGGTATCCTGCATATGTCTTAGGCGAGGGGTCAGGGTATGAATTCACCACCACCTGTGCTGTGAAATATATGGTTCCTGAAACTCAATGGAAGGTTCCGTCCCAACCGGGCGGTCGACCTCTCAGTCCGATCTGGCAAGCTGGGTCAACGTCAACTGTTTGCTCTCCACTGTGCTCCACTATCACATAATAGCATACTTGACTCAAAAGGAACCAATAGAGATTAGGAAAGATTAACCAAGTCCCAAAAGCTATCCTCGTCCAACTCAGTCGGGTTATCATTGACCGTGCTGAGCGCCGACTGCCAATGTGCCTGCTCGACCGCATTCAACATGGAGGCCGAAAGCTCCGACGAAGTGCTACTATCTACCGACAATCTTCCCTGCGGGTCATGGATCTGAGAACCGAATAGTACAGGGCTCTCTTCCTTATTAAAAGGGAGCTCTCCTTGTAGTGTGGGTGCTATCTTCCCAGTGAGCAGCGTCAACATACGCGACAAATAAAATTTTATACTGTCATCGTCACACTGCGAGTGTCTCAATATCTGGTTTTTCAGGGATAAGATCTCGCTTTGCAGCTGGCTGATCTCGGCCTCGAGAATCTCTCTCCGTGACTTGGCTGTCTGAAAACATTCCTCTAGTTCTTTTGTGTACGCCCTTTTCTTCTTGTGGCACCTGTTAGCTGCTTGTCGGTTACGCTCCAACGAGCTTTCACTTTTGCGTTTCTCGCCCCGCGGATGATCGCGCTCGGAAATTGTGAGTGTTTTGCGCCCATTGAATGCGTTATAACTGTTCTCTGGCGGGTGAGGCTTGGTGGTCGCCGTAGGGGAGAGAGGCGGATCGAACCCGAAAAGGTCGTCGTCCGCTACGTAGGGCAGAGTGAAAGGGAAGGCGTTGCCGGGCGGGAATGAGTAATTATAGAAGGGGTTTACTGAGGAGAAGGTATTGAAGCCGGGCGTAGAGAAGCTGATTTCGGTAGACATTGGTATTCGGGATCCGGTAGAATACGGCCGGGGTTTGGCGGACGTGCGTTTGCTAATGTAAAGAAAATCAATTTGAAGGTTGCGACCGACGGGAGATGTGTAGAAGACATGCAATAGCTCGTGGTTTGTTCGACGACGCTAAATCATGGCGGAGAATTCTTTGAGGTCGATATATATCAGACGAGAGAGGCAAAACTACCCTTCGGAATTAAGTGATATCATCACGGAGAGGGATGGGGGTTGAAGGTATGCGATCGGCGACGGTGTCTTATCTATTTTCCTTGTTCGTAGGTTGACTGGCCAGCTGCCGCCGGAAGTATTTTCAGGCAAGATCGATTGGCTCTCGTGTCCTCTAAGGCTGACCCCGTTTAGATTGATCCGCGGGACAAACAGCAGCTCTTGACACCGTCCTGGCAGGGCTTTGCTTCGGAGTATTACGCAATAGCTTATAGATATCTAAAGCCAACTAACCATGTTCCAGCGAGCTAGTATAGGGGGTGAATGAGGTTTTGACCCTCACTGTAACAAATGAATCTATGTTCGAAGCTATCTAAGCAATTAGATGACCACTCCCTAAGGACAGGGCGTGACTGTCATTTAATACTGGAAACTACCACATGGAGCACCCTACAACCACAGGTGGAGCGGCAAGCACTTGACGGAAACGAAGACTCAGAGTGGGCACAGTCGCTGCTCGAAACATCCCAGTGCTAGACCATACCCGATCTATGTTCACTAAGCAGTTTTCACTTATTGTGGACACCCAAACCCCTATCCGCCAATTGCTGGAGGATATTTTTGAGATGGAGGCTTTGGAATGTTAATATCTTAATTACATTAGAGCGAAGTCAATAAAGGGCTCGTTATATGATTTAGTATTCTGTTTAACGGGTATGGATAACGGATGGGCTACAAGACGAGTGGTTATGGCATTTGCTGTTATTCTACTCATCTTTTCTCTGTAATCCAATGATAAGACGGTAGGATCGGGAAGGCTATCATTCAAATGTAAATTAGCCCGGAGTAAGCATCATAAGAGAGGTTTAGGTCCCTAGAGGAGAAAGGCTACACAATTACCTGCCTCCTGGACATTTTAAGATTCTTTCCCAAGCCCTAAGCTAATAACGCTAGTTCATATCCGGTTAGTGTGTAAATAACGCGCTTTGGAAGAAATATGTCATGTTTTGTATTTACCTTCAATATTACGCGTCAATTTACAGTACCTATAAAACTAATACAGGATCCTAGAACTTGGGTAAAGGTGGGGATGGCGGGGTGACCCTCTCGAAATGAAATATGATTCTGTGGAAACACGACCCAGAACGGTCATTTGTTTATGCGTGTCTGAACCTGGACCCTCCAGTCATTATTGTTCCTGGTATAAGTATTGATGCTGTATACCGGGCATGGTACATAGATGGCCTCCCTTGGGTGATGCTGTTGTCGGCCACAAATTACAACTATGACGGCCAAGTAATATGATGATATTGGTGCTATTTCAAGCGTGAGGGGAAAGAGAAGGAAGTTGCGCGGGAAATAGGCAAGCTATGTACAAACAGTGCAAACGCCAACAATGCGCCCAATTCTTCACAACAACTATAGATCAACACAAACCAAAGTCATTATTTCTCTTTCTTAGACCTACAGGGAAGCGCCTCACTGAGTGTCTCACTTTGTTTGCTGATACCAACATACCATAGGCACGTCAGTTGAACAGGTTGAGGAACACGTGGGTAGAAAACGAATAATATGTACATACATTTGGTTTGGTTGCAATTGCATGGGGCAATCCCATCATTTGATTTGACGTAAATCCTGGACTAGTTGAGACAGGGCTGTAGCTGACGGGCTTACTGAAAACACACAGCATATGTAACAAGCAACCTATATCAAGTATGAGCTAGTAACAACTGGGAATAACTAGAAAAATCTACAGTAAACTGCTGTTGTACAGGCAGGGCACCTTACTAATTTTAGTGGCTCATAGTACAGGTGAACAGCCTTGAGGAATCAGGCGAGATTCCGTTATACACAAATATATCTACCCTGTCTAGCCTGTATAATACATTCCCTACTACAACTAGAAAAATTGAATGGCTATACTAGGTTACATTGCATGCCAGTTCGTATATGCAAGGTTAAAGTAGTAGGGATGCCACAGTGTTTCCCCTATCAGGGAAAGGCTGCGCATCCGTGATTAATAGAGTCTAATCAATGTGCTCCATACCTATAGTCTTATCTAGCGACATAGCTTGCTACAGTCCATTTCTTGTTGACAGAGATCTATATATAGACTGCCATGGAGAAATTGTAGGATATTCATATGGATGTTCATGCAAAGTATCTAATTCTAAAACTCCTTATTATTTGGTATTACTCTATATACACCAACTAATAATATCCATCCAGAAGCCTTGAGCACTTTCGGACTCTCCATGAATACCGATTTTGTGTGCTAGGCAGGGGGTTTTTACCCTTCTGAATTTTCGAGTGAAGGAGCCGCCGATTGCAAGCTGAGGCCATAAAGAAATGAATACCCCGCTTCCCCAACACTCGTCCGTGTGTAGGTAGTTCGTGAGGCCACAGACCCCCGACAGAATGCCGTGCCTTCTAATTGGTTCCAGGCTGACTCTGATGGTGTGCGCTGGCTTCTTATGATATCCAACAGCCAAAGGCTGCGCACAGCCTGAGGATTAATAAATAAATAAATGTACTCAATTGCGGGAGAGGTGGGGCGCTGGCGGCCTGTATCCCTGCAACGAATATGATAGGGAGTTTTGCAACAATGCCTCCTATCGGCCTCCGCACCCATATCAATTGCCGTAAGAAAATCTATTGAGATCGCTCCTTTCCTTTAAAAATTACCTGATATTCTAGCAAAACGCTTGCAACACCCTGTATGGCCTAATTCACATCAACCCACTGGAGCATCGACTGGAGACCTACTGCTGAGCCCTGGCTTAGCCTTACATGCCGATATGTTACATGCTCTATTCGCTTATCATTGGTGCTCGGGCGTATATTGCGGCACAGAGCCATCACCAATCGACTTGCAGTTATAACCCATTAGCGTAAGCATACGCTGGGGCTTTCTACGTATCCAGTTACCTCAGCAATACACTCTTTAGTGGCCACGTCTGTCGCTGGCGCCGCCTCGCGAACACATACACTTTGGTCGGTAGCCTGATTTGAAAAGATAGAGAGCCTTCTATGGCACGGAACTAAGATAAGGGACTCCGCGGAACTTGACCGCATTTCTGGCTGCCTTCCATCTTGCCTGATTACTCTAGTATCTGAGGCCTTGGACCCACCCCTGTTCAAAGATTGCACGTCATGGAGCCTCTGAGCATAGCTGCAAGCTTCATCGCGATGGGCCAGGCCATTGCAGCAATCCCCAAAATCATCGCTATTTTGAGATCCGCTACAGAACTGGGGTATGAACTAGCTGGGCTTCTCAACGAAGTAGGCGAACATCCTTTCCCTGGTTCATAGACCCGTGTCATGGCCCCACGAACCATGACACGATGTACTGACTGCGCTCTCATCTGCCTAGCTAGCGACACTACAGGCGATTCAGCTGTCCGTTGAAGACAGCATTACTGCTTTATCAGGCGCGGATCACCTGTACCAAATTGGGCGACCTGAGACCCAGCTCCTTCTGAGGACGAGGAATGATTTGACTGACCTGGTCGATGGGCTCCAAACTCTAGCCGAAAGATGTTCCAGGAAGTTGGGCGAACACGGCTTGCCTCGACCCAACCACTTGAAGCTGCTATGGAAATCCAAGGATATCAACCGGTTAAGAGAACGCGCCCGGACTATTTGCATACACATAAATCTGGCACTGAGTCAGATATCCCTTGTATCCCAAGTGTAAGTTCTTGATCTAGCACCTATATTTCTTCCCGGGGGGTTTCTGATGCGTGAATAGCACACAAACGAAACTCCTGTTAGAGATCCATTCAGTGACAGTCCCCTCCACGTTGCCTTTGCGAGAAGTCCAACAAGCCATTCAGACCCTGTCTTCCATTCAATCATTACCCGATAGCACCTCTTCCTCCGCTGTGCTTGACTGCGATGTACCCTCGAGCATGGTGACGGACAAAAAAGCAGAACGAATACCATTGCCCGCAGGTGCTCCTCGGGGGTTTGACTCTATGCTTCCAAGCACGGCCCTAGGTATTGCACCATCCAAGGAACATTTTATTCATGTGGAGACATCCCTGAAGCACCGAAAGCGATGTTCTCCCTCATGCCAGTGCCAATGTCACAGCAGAAGGGCCAACTACCAAAACCAACGATGGTGCTGGCCTGTTCTGGGGAGGCTCTTTCTAAATTATGATTCTCTCCCGCTACCTCGAAAGAGGAAGTGCGATCAAAAGGGATGCCGAAGTTATACATCCAGGGTACATATGGTCTACCATTTCCCTTCCTGGGCTTGGAACCGAGCTATTGGGGTTTCGTTTTATGGTAGCACCATCTTAGGAGTAGGCGCCTCACTCCACATTAAGGTTCCTCGTGTGATCCCCTTAGAGAACTCTGAGGCTTGGTCCGCGGCTTATGGGGGGAACTCAACTGCGCTGAAGCATTGGCTCTCGACGCTTCGATACTCGCCTTTCGACGTCCAGAGTGACGGGGCGTCACTCGTTCTCGTAAGTCAGGCCCATTGGAAACTCATTGGTTTATAGTAGGAATGACCAGATTTGTAATAGCACGCGATCCGTGGTGGGCGGGGTTCTACCGTTGAGTTCCTCGTCGATTTCTGGGACATCGGCAAAGGTACCAAGTGTGACGAGTAAGTTGACCGGACGTGTCCAGGCGTTGTAATCTTATACTGACCCGCCACAAGCCTGACTGTCTACTATGCCACCCTGGCGTTAGAAGCTGCCGGAACCGATCAAGCTCACAGAAAGGACCAATATACGCGGTCTCTATGTCTCATCGCAGCCTCCCGGGAGGGCTATAACGAAAACATCACTGAGCCGACGCTACATCAACTGGTACGAGATGGGCTCGACATTTCACACCATGCCATGCCGTGGGCTATAAACAGCTATGACACGTGGCAGAGAACTCCACTAGTTATCGCGTGTCAGGTTGGCAATTTGGAAGCGGCTAGAATGCTCATCATGCGAGGCGCCTCGGTAGACTTGCCCGATCTCCTCGGACGAACGCCGTTGATGTGGGCTGTCAAACATCGTGAACATCACACCTCCTCTGCCCTTGCCGAGCTGCTTCTCGACGCTGGCTGCAACGCCGACGTCAAAGACAGATTTGGCCATCCCGCCATTGGTATTGCCATGCAAGGCAGCTTTCCCAATGGATACTCGCCTTGTTTGAGACGCCTTGTCAAGCAGACGGATGTACGCGCACTGAACAAGCCTCCCGATGACCCGTTCCGCCAGAACCCCCTCCACTGGTTCGCTTGCACAGCCAGCCGGTCGGATCCAGGAACCCGGGAGATATTGGGCCTTCTTCTCAGCGCAGGAGCCCGACTCGACATGCCCGATGTCCGGGGCCATATACCTCTGCAGAGGGCCATCATGAGGAATAACACGGTTGGTTTCGACCTGCTAAGGTCTGCCTATGAACAAACCAACGCGGAGTTGTACGACGGCCACGCTATACTGTGCACGGCAGCAACCAATGCAGGGGCCGAGATTCTCAGAGGGCTTATGGACTCGTGCCTCATGGACACGGTCGACATCGACTCGCTAGACGAAAGGGGGGAGGACCCCGTAAGCATATTTCGCCGACGCGCCACCGTGCCCGAGGACATGATGGCCGGACTGTCTCGCCCGACAGCCAAAGAAACCATGGCGTTTGAGTCGCTGGTGCAGAACATACGCTGTCGCATTTTGAAGGAGAGAATTGGTCCATGTTCTAGTTAGCTTTTTACGCTCCTCTCTCTCTACAGGTGGATGAGCTGAGGCACAGCGGGGGAGTCCGCTGGCCTGGTCTACCCTTCAATCGGCCACACCGCCTGTAGCCTCTTTGTCACAGCCCATTTCGTATTAAGCAACAAGTCGAACTGGAGAGTACATATCCGTCGAATATAGACAACAAGGTTTGCTACTAATTGATAAATAGATACTTATAACCAAAAGAGCGGGAGAATATGGCTCAGATAATCAGCGTTATACCGTATATCACTTGTCATATCTTTGCGAAAATTCTCAGAAGTAATGAACATATCGCAATTGTGTACGTTCTTCGAAGGTATCAACCTCGAAAAGTTAAAAGGATACGGCGGCTATACACACCAACCTACTTGCGGCGCGTCGCCAACCAGTCTAAAACATGCGAACTTGGTCATTTAATGGTTTGGATTTTCGAAAGATGCATCTACGAGCAGCGTTTTGCCTTCAGTCCGGTCAGACACATATCAGATGGGGAAGAGTATGGTCCTGTGGCTCTATTTGCGGCTGATCGTAAACTGGACCTGGAATATAGAACTTTTCGGAAGCTTAGCTCAGTTGAAGATAAGATGATATCGTACCGTGTGGCAGAGACGACGGGCTACGTTGTTGGTCCCCTTCGTTATTGGCAGGACTCTCCGACTTTAGAGGCGGTTACTATTACAGATATTACCGCTAGCCTGTGTTGTATTCGTGATATAAACATTTCCTAACTTATCATAGCACCCTTTGTAGTTGCAAAAGCGATTTTCTATTACTGCCGGAGAAGCTAACAATAAAAGTACGCGGTCACGTGGCATTTACATTATGTCGGGATTCCCGACTCGGGAGGTGGTTGTAGATGACGAGGCCTCGACTGTAAGAGAAAGAAGACAGATGTTTGGCAGATTGCCAAAACTGCTGGTCACGTGCCTAAGTTCTTTTGTCGGTTTTCACCGAAGCTTCTACAAGTTCTAGTTTCGACATCAAGTTCTAGAATCCTGTGTTCTCTTTACGCGTACTGTAAGTTGAAGCGTAACATTGATGGAAAATACGAAACATGTCTAGATTCTGCCAAGGGGTGTTATTTACACACTAACTGTATATGTAATAGTGTTCTTGGCTTAGGGCTAGGGAAAGTATTCTGATCCAGGGTAGGCAGGGTAATTGTGCAAGCCACTGTACTTCTTATATTCTCTTTCAGATAGTTCGCGTTCTGTACCATGGAACTGATGAAGATGTCAAGGACCTGAGAGGCAATATACGATATGCCTCCACACTTCAAGCGGCCATGATAAAGTTGCAATCATTGTTTTCTAGGTAAACTTTATTCTCCTCTTTAAAAGCTTTATTGAATTCATTGGCGTGCCAGCAGTCTGCTAAATTGATCCCAAGAGTTGTGGTGGCTAAACTTGTAGGATCATTTTTGTTTTAAAAAGCTTATAAACATATTTAATTATCCTATTTCTTATACAGCTGCGCACGGGGCGTATATGACTGAACTAATACCTTACCCGCATCAATGTCCGCCAAGATGCTAGGTGTGTGTGCGGGCTCGGCAACCAGAACCCCCAACACATCGTGTGATGGAATGTCCTCATTTGGGGGAGCTCCGCACGGACATGTGGCGGGATCTCTGGCGGAGAAAGGTTCGGGGACCCTATCATTCAACCAGCTCCTTCAAGGAGCCGAAGGCAGCTCTGCCGGTAGCTTGTACATGCGAACCATGGGTCCTTGAAGCTGGGGATCTGGAATTGGCGGTGGATAGAGTAGAACTGGGAAAGCGAGTAAGTTGTAGGTTTGCTCAGATGCATAGTCAGATAGGGTATTCAGGAGAAGTGCAAATTTACTTTGTGGGCAAGAGCAAGAGAGAGAGCACTACGTTGAAGTTTGATGTATGATGGAAGATAGGGTCGAGTGTGTATATGTTCCCTGTAGAACGAGGGTGATTTGTCCAACAGTTCTTGTAAATCACTAAACACTATCCGCCTTGAGGACTTCGGTGTATAGCTTTCGTAGACCCTCCTCAACTTCGCTCGGATGCCCTTGTTGACACATTCGATCCTGTGTCTGCCAAAGAAAGACTGATGCTGTTGTTGTGTTCTGTCTCAGACAAGTGTCCTGCTATACCCAACCTACCTACCATGATTCGGGACCATAGTATAGCTTCCTTGTGTATAGGGCTCCTGGTCAAGGTCTTCAATGGTGTTCTCTTTTAGCATAAGAGAGACCTCTTCATTGTAGCTCTTGGGTGAATTGTATATGTAATGTTGAATGGAATTTGGAGCTAATCCTGGCGGACAAGAAACCACCAGACCCGTTTAGAAATATCTCGTTCAATGAGCCGCTATGCAAACGGCTCATCGTCAGACCAATTGCTTTTTTCTTGGAACATTGCAGTTTCCGGCGAGCGTCTCAAACGCACAAGTATGAGGGACGTTGGCGTCGCCTACGATTCATTGCCCGGGCTTTATATTTCGAGGGCTCTAATCTCGTTGATTTCTTCCGGATGAGAAAGCGAAATTGTCCGTGGCCGAGGGTGAGGTGAGTTGAGTCTTGGCGTACATTTAGAACATCCGGCTTACTAGCTCTACATGGAGGATATATTCATGTGTGCCTTCTGCACACTTCCTCAGGTTATGTGACCGATAATATTGCCCATTGTATTGAGACAGATATGTCAGTGGTCATGCGACCGTAATTAATAGGTTTCATGCTATATGGGAAATTCGGAGAGAAAACTCTTTGTTTTTTCAACGTAGACAAATCGCTAGGTCTAAACCACCATCGCCAACGCCAGAACTAACGAAAGGATCGGAATTATATAACTAGGCTGTTCTCTGAAAGCCAGGCTCGTCTTAATCATGACCTGCGGCTCGTAGTTCTCCGGCTCCGTACTATTAGTCGTTCCATCCCAGCAGTAAGTCTTGAAGCACTGAGTGCAGACTTGGGGCAGAGTAGTGCCAGTCCGTTCAGCGGAACGCGAAAGAATCGCACACCCCACACACGACGACCAGTTAGTATCCTCCGTACCATTGCCACGGGTGACGACATTATAACCGTTGGTAATCATGGCATCGCGGTCCTCATAGCTGTAAGATAAGTCGAAGGTGGATGTATTCGAAAGATGTGTATAAGGAGCATTTGGAAGATAGACAATTAAGGGAGCAGGCCCAGTCAGGTTCTTACTGTCGCAGCCGAAGAAGGTCGGGCGTTTGTTTAGCCCTAGGTTGACGAAGGTATTGGGATCGGGAATTGCAGGAAACGCAGTCCCGTTACCTACTCCCGTCGAGTTCAGGTTTCGTTCATAAGTGCGCACTAGGGACTTGCCGGACGGCCAACTGTGGATGTTCGCAGTAGAATCCACGGCGAAGATCACGTCGACGTGGCGCTCGGGTTGAATCAAAGGGTGTAATGGGATGTTCTGCCCGTCTTCGCCCCCGTCCACGACACTTAAATGAGTTCGTTCGGCAATGGCAGGTGTAGCACCATTATATTGGTAGAATGGGTTGGGGTAGTTGGCGATATCCTTGTTGTCTTCGCCTATAGCTTCGAGAATGCTTGCGAGGGCTGACTTCAGAATCTCGGGAATACTTGTATTGTTCAGCCGTAAGAGGCCTTGATTGAACAGAGAAGAGGAAGTGCCCATAATATAGCCAGCATTGTCAAAGCCTCGTACACAGGACCCGTCGCTCGATATGCGACCACCTTTAAAGTCGGACCCAAGGTATTCTAATGGCGCGAAGCTATGGATAGCAGGGTCAAATGTACCGAACTCCCAGGGGTTGAATTCATAGACTGTGGAATTGGAACCAATGATGAGCTCCCCGGGGTTTCGTCCGTCTGCGACCAGGATGGGCAGAGGAACCTGGCCCCGTTGGAAATTCTCCATCAAGGCGATCGATGACCAGGTGTAGTCCGGACCGCCACTGCTAGCATTGATGAACTGGTAGGAGAGCGCACGACCCCAGTAATCTGTAAGAGAAGTGTTGAAACCCGCATGTTTCTTGGTGTGCACTGTCTCCACTAATTTGGTCCAGTGATCGATAGTATTGATAGTCTGGAAGTGTTTCACATTCGGGCCCTCTAAAATGCTGTTGGTTAGGTCCCAGGTTGTCTCACTTGTCTGTAGATCGTTGATGGTGGTAAAGTTGTTTATGAAGACGGACCCTACCAACCATCCACCGCCACTGAGCGCTGAAAGATAAGTGGTGGATTGCAACAACCCTCCCAGTTGATGGGAAGCAGTCGAATTACTAGTTCGACTGTCAAAAGCTTTCAGGGCGCCAGCGCCGTTTAGCATAGCGCGGTATCCACCACCGGACACGGCAATCCCGATGTTGGGTATATTGGAAGTATTTGTAGACACTCGGTCGATGTAGGCCGATGCATCGAAATTAGTCAGATTCAAACGGCCGAGCAAATCCTTAAGGGGCGAGACAATTTCCTTCCGGCGGGACTCGAGCCAGTTCGTCTCATTCTGGGATAGCTTCGATGCGCTGCGAACTGTAGGTTTCACCGCAGGACAGGTAACATTTGCGGGAGCATATTCGTCGGGGGCGTTCGGTAAGGCGCGAATTTGAGGACTAGGGATGGCACTAGCTAAACCAGCCCCGAGAAGGAGGAGGTTTAACTTCATCTCTTAGGAATGTTTGAGCAAGAGGCCGCGGAATGTGAGATAAACGACTCAGTCCTGCATGTACTACAGTCTAAGCAACGGTTAGGTTTTTTTGTACTTTATTAATGCCTATTAGGCGCCTTTATGAGGAATCTATGTAGGCAACCAAATTAGCCCTTCTCAGTTCAGCCCTATGTTATGAAGGGTGGGAATATTCTGTAAAAATCCCAAACTAGCGGCTGCGATGGGTCTCACTATTGAACACTAGGCTACCACATACCTTTTTTTCACTATTACCCTAGAGTTCCACTTCCGTGCACGTTATTGGCCTCTTCCTAAGGGCCTAGTTTGCCTAAAATCTTCGACCTAAAATTCCTTGGGTAGCCGCCTCTGTACTAGTCGTGAGACCGGTGCCCGCGCGACCCGCCATCTCCTAACTAATGGCAACAGTTATCGTTGATGCGGCTTAAAAGAACTTCAACACCCTGAACCTGCGGGACATGACAGTCAGGTTAATATTACAACATCTACAACATTATGTCGAGTTTCGGATTCTGTGTTCAAGTGTTACCTGCAGTACATAAGAATATACGCGAGCGCATGACATGCTACTTCGGGCGAATGAACTTGATGAACTGCTAGATGTTAATTGCAGCTCGGAGAGCCGCAGGTAGTCGGGAAATAGCGTGCTACGGCGCCGCAGATGGCAGGGGCCAGGGGACTAGGTCTCCATTGAACGTTCTACTACCATGTACAGAGGTTGATCACTGGTTTCTGAAGCTATTGGGGTTCGGTAATTATTTTACCGCAGCGGGTAGCACGTGACCTCACGTGCTACTATATCAACCGCAGGTGTTGTAAGGTGCGCCTAACACTAGGCCAAAAGTATTACAACATCCGAAATTCTGCACCCGACCCCCTATTTTCAAACCTCAATATCTCAATGAATTTTGCATACTTTGATTTTGAGCTCAAAGTTAGTTCTATAGAATCTTTATTTCAGTATTTAGTGTACCAGCCCCGTGCTTGGTATACTGCCCGAACCCTGCGTAGCCAGGATAGAACTAAACGATTTATAACCTCCTGATCAAGGTCATTTCACGCAGTCTGAATACTCTACTTAAACCTCTCTGTATTGAGCTCCGCTGTTCCCTCTAGAAAAAGCTCTGGATAAAGCTTTTTTAGCTTCTGCTTAAGTAGATCCCAGAGATTTTCAATAGGGTTAAGATCAGGTGAATGGGGTGGTCATTCAATCACCAGAATTCTATGCCTTTCAAACCAAGATTGCGTCTTTTTAGATATATAAATGCACGCATTATCTTGCTGGAATCTAGTACCTGGCTTATAGATTGATATAAGACATTTTCTAAACATTTAATATAGGATTTGCTTGAATATCCCTAATTTTTGGCCATTTTGTCCCGTTCCAACACTACTAATTCTGACCGGCCACTATCCTATATAGAAGCCCAAATCATTATAGAAATATCCTTACTATGGAGCTCTAGATTGATATCCTATCTATAGATCATATTTACAAAACAGAACACTTATTAACTAGGATTATTGGAATCCTGTTAGACTGAATATTTATCTGAAAACATAATATGGTTAAAATTAATGTATTGAAGTCATGCAGCCATGCACGCGCAAATTGATAGGCTTTTTTTTAGCTATATCAACGGTTAAAGTAATCCTATTTTTAGTTTTCCATTTTTTTATATAATATTTGCGCAAAACGCGCTTTAATATAGACTTTAAGATATCTTCAGAAGTGCTAGCAATAAGTGCCGTGTAGCTTATTCTAGGCCTTCAATAAACTATTGAAAATATATATCATTTGGCTGCAGGACTGAGCTTTTCAGGCCTACCAGAGCAAGCGCCTGATACTAAAGCTTTACGTTGTTGAAAGTGTTCGCGTGTTCAGTATGTAGTAGAGCACGCAACCTTGAATTCCTGAGCAAGTTTAGGGGCATTCTCATCTGTCTCTAGCCCTTCTAGTAGAGTAGAACATCGCTCAGTAGGAATCTTAGATCTAGGCCTTCTATTTCCACTAATTTTAGTTCCAAAAGACCTCATTTTGGCTGAGTGGTAGGCGTTTGAAATTGCTGATGTATTTGACGCGGTACGCGTTGCGGGTAGGTGTTGCAATACTTTTGACCCACTATTGAGTGTCTCCTAACAACGGTTACCCTATGTTTCAACATCTCAAGTCCCCTCATAACCTTATATAAATTCGTCAAAAAAACATTTCCGCAAACAAGCTAACACTTCCCATTATGAAGACCTGCTTTCCCCGAAGGCTTGGCGCCAGAGGCCCCCTTACAGCAGGCTTGCCATGTCACCACAATCAGCCTTGTGACCATCCTTCACAAGCCCAATATGCTCTGTCGCTTGAAACACTCGCTGGGACCAGCCTGTAGCAATATAATTGGCCGTTTGATTCTGCTCATCTTTGGTGAGAGCCGATCCTTGTCGTGTAGTAAAGGATATTTTAAATCGCCCGTGGCTAAATCCGACGCGCTTGCTCAATCTCGAAGGGTCAGCAGCGAGGGTTTCATTAAATATAATAGTGATGACATACCTAAACTGCGGATGACTATAGGGAAAATTCTATAAGATTAAGCTGCTAGATAGGTATATGCTTTTCCTTGGTCATAAGTAGATATCCCCTTACCGTTTTACAGATTCCGACAGATAATTGAGATTTGAATATATATGCTAACTATACATGTTGCGGTGTCGAATAGCAATTTATGGGCGTTGATTATCTGGTTAAGGTACACTAGCTTACCATTAGGGACATACTTAATAACTTCGGATGAGGAGACGCGATAGAGAATCAATTGATATAACCTATATAGTGGCCTAACAGGCGTGATTATATATACATATCAACCCCTTGAATTATGCTCGCCTTATCTTTTTATACTTACAGCATGGCTCATAGAGCACACGGACAGAGAGACTTTTAGCCTGAATACGTTGAGTTATGTATATATTATAATACACAGCAACAAGAGCAAACTTAGAAACATTGGTTTTTTGGTGGATAGTGAATCCTCCTTTAGCAACGCAACTTCAGTTAATGAATGTCTTTCCATTTGTATGGTATACACCTACCAACCTAGAGAATTAACTATCATCGAAGAGCCTTAACCGTATTGCTTGCAGCCGTAGGACTGCCTGACAACAGTATAGGAGACAAATAATGACCGTCTGTCAGTCCTTACGAGCGGCTTAGATCTCTTCAAACGGAACTACCTGCGCAATTGCTCTACATTACTGAAAGTATAGACTAAACAAGTCATAGCTAGCGCGGAGAATCACCGTGGAAACTTAACGACAATATGAGCGTGTGTGATGATATGAATGCAGAAATTGGTCTAGTTGGGCAAATGTCGAAATCAATGATGAGAGTGGAAAGAAAGATTAAATAAAAAGTCCGGGCTGATCCTTTCAAGCTAGTGATATCTCACGATAGATACCGGCCCTAAGCCACCAGGATCAGATTAGATGGTCAGATAAAATTTAGGCCTACTTGGGCACTGATAGTGGACCGCCGAGGATTGTAGGGCAGGCCGGTGGTTGTTTTCTCGCCTACTTGGGTTCCCTAGCTACTCTCGCTATCATCTAGTGCTCTGACGAAAATTATACCCGCTTTCACTAAGTCGCTAACTTAGTCCCCAACTACTATATAAGTCTTTTAGTAAGATTTGTAGAAGGATTCACCCAATGGCTATTACAGTCCTAGTAAAAAAGCCCAAAAATTAGTTTCACTTGGGCGTGACAACCTTTCAGTCTTGAGGGGAGATATTAACCTGCAATTAGAGCGAATAGTGGGTTAGAAAGTGTTACAAATTCTCCTTTAGCCTTGGGGCCCAATTAGTTTAACCATGCAGGCATTGGTCTTAGCCAATGATGGCTGGGACTTCTACATGAACCATTCACTCCTTACCAAGGGTCGATTACCGTTATAGGCTACAATGTCCTATTGTACTGGATTGTCCTGCGTAAATCTTGTTCTAGTGGTATTGCTGGTATGATATATTAAATCACACTTACTATGCTTAGCTTGCATTTGTTCACCAACGGCTATTGCACAGAGCATTTGACAGCCCGAAAGCCTATAGTAAGACGGAAATGATGTATAAGGAGACATCATGAATATGGTATGTGTTTAGAGTTCGAATCACTGGGTACCTGGCATGATGTTTACCCTATGCCCGCACATAGATCGCGTAACTATATATATTAATTAGCCATGTGCGTATTCGCGTAGAGGAGATTTTGGAGAGCAGTCCCGACTCTTTCGGGAGTGGACAATTGGACTAAATAGGGCCAGAACTGCCGAAGTGCTGCTGAGGTTAGCTTTTCTTGAATATTTGATATCTAAGATATTGATCTACCTTTATCGACAAGTAGGACACACCGTGATGTATCACGTAGAGCACGGGCTTATCCAAAAGTGAATCGATAATAATGTAGAGATATTTAAGTCTGTTCTTTGTCCTATCCTACAATACCTAGTAAGATTGATGGCAGGATTGAAAATAGCAACCACTTGTTAGATCACAAACTGCTTATAGTAGCAAAAGGCATGCAACCTGTTGATAAATCATTAGCATGCCGTACCACTGGCCTAAAAGAACTGACTGGAAAGGATTCCGGTACCTCTAACAGTGCCACGCATTGAGAACGTTTATTATCGGGCTGGTCTGTACAAAAGCAGTTAGTTCCCTGCTTGGCCAGCACTATAATTATTGTGGATAATCCAAGTTAATTCGTTCGAGACCTAAGCCAGGATAGTACTATGAAGGTAATGAGAATAAATCTCTAGATAATTCAATTGAATCTGGGTGATAGCAATGACGAACCATAGAAAGTGTCTCAAAAGTCCCAAGGATCGAGCGTGCGGGTGAGGTGCCATGAAAACACCAATACATGGTTTTCCCTCTACTATTATCGTCTGCGTCGAGGTATTCCCTCCTCTATTTGCGCTGCTTGCTCCATTGGAGCTTGTATCGGTACCAGGGCAGTATACACATCGTGGAGAGTAGGTTTGAGCAATATAGCCTTGGAGGATAAGGTTGTTACCCGGCAGAGTCTGCATAGAGGAGTGTCCCGCCCATTTTATCATTACAATGTAGCTCATATCTCAGTAATAAAACCTCTCTCTAGATGGACCTTGCTAGATATTATCGCTGCAGGAAGCAAGGTCACACCCACCCCAACCCGACTCGATAACCACTCTAGATATCCCTGACAGTATCGTATGGTCGAATGATCATGCTGAGGCCAATAATTATTGCTCATTTTTCTATTAGATCAGAAAATCAGACCTCGTCATTTCACCATTGCACCCCTTAGATTTCAGCGATAGATTACTAGGTAATATGGAATCCTGTATTCTCAACACTTTACCACATCTGGTCACTGGGATATATCTAAGTATCATAAAGGGCCGATTTATATGGAATACAGATATGCGAGACTCGATTACCCAATACGTCATAGGGGCCCTTGGGGATACCGTTTGAGCTACAAGCGCCAGCAGTATTGCTAGAAAGCTATGGTTCTATCAGGACCTCAAGCAGGGTCTCAAGCAGGAGCACGCGCAGCAACTGAAACAGGCAGTAGCGTACTGAGAGAAACCGGGGATAATCAAGCCTAAGCCTAGAGTCTAGAGGAGAACTATATGAACAATTCAAATTGCTAGGAGCTACTCTAAGATACTAGGAGCAGCTAAAATGTTAGCTAGAACGAGAGACATTACAGGGCTATACGAATTAACTAATAGTCCACCTAATCAATAGCTTGATCAATTTTGCAATAAATATTTAGATTTACTATTAAAATATTAGAACAATGGAAAAATTGTGGCGGTCATAGAAAGCTAGGTTAGTTTTATGATTCAGGCGGGAAAGGCGGAATATAGGGAGCTTTTGACGTAGACCTGTACTCTGACACCGTCCGCTCGCCTCGTAAATGTTTCCCAGGCTGGTGAGTTAGGAGTGCTTCTTAACCATTTTCGTATCCTTCTCCAACCAGTTTTCGAAATCCTTCAACTCCGGATGGGTCTTCTTCAACGTTGGAATATCGGCCTTGTACCCGTGGTTGTAAAACCAACGGTACATATTGCCGACATCCTTAACGCTCCACATGAGGAGATGAGCAAGGAAGCTATAGGTCATCGGGATATTCTCCCCGGTACGAGCCTTGTATGTGCGTGCCATTTCCTCAAACGTAATCTCGTCACCTGCCAAGGAGATGCATCGATTTTTATATTCTTTGGGATGCATAAACGCCTGTGCACCAAAGAAGCCAATGTCACTGACCGCAACTAGTTGCAAGGGTCGATCTTTGAGAGCAACCTTCCAACAGGTATTCACAAGCTTCCCCGCGAAGCCAGGGGTAAAGTTATCGAAAAAGCAGGTAGGGCGTAGAATCACGTAGTCCATGCTGGATGCCTTTGTCTTGCCCAAGAGGTACTTCTCAATGTTGTGCTTTGTAGTAAAATGGGGCACATCGGTCGGATTGCTGAGAGAGTCGTCACCACCCCTGTCCACAGAGGTGTAAACGAAGTGCTTGACGTTATTTTGTAGAGCCGCATCGATAAAAGACTTAGACTGACGCTCTTCAACATCGTGCTTGGATGTTGTTGGGGACATGACCTTTTACGCGAGAAGTAAGTCAGTCGACAGGCTCGTCAGTGGTGTCAATGCCAGGACTTACGGGCACATAGAATACACCCCAGATACCTTGGGGAGCAACCGCAGTGGCATTCCGAAAGATCATCGAGGCATCGCTTACGTTGCCCTCCACGAGCTTGACAGCAGGATATTTTTCCTGAAGCCACTGGGCCCTGGGAGAGCTCCTCTTGCGGGTAAGAGCGAGGACCTCAAGGCCAGCGTTTGCTTTGAACAAGGCCTCAACCACACCGCCGCCCTGATTTCCGGTCGCGCCTGTAACCAGCACTGCTCGAGACATAGTCGTGATGGTCTTCTAAGTCATCAACATGAAACCTGGCGAAGAACGCAATTTGCGAAGTTGTCAGTCGCAAGTGGCTGTAGGTGTGAATAAAAGGGAAAAAGGTTGGCAGGTGCGGTGAAACAGGGAGACCTGTTCGATTTAGAGCTCAAGGCGTGCCGCAGCTGCATTTGTATGACACGTATTGGAAGGGATGCCGGGGGTACCTTGTGGGGGTTTTGGGTCGTCCTACGATTGGTTTCTTCTACTGCCTGGATGGAAATGTGATGCCTCATTTCGGTCAAGGTAGAGGAGCGCCCCGAAATGTAGTTAGTCAGCTCGGGGTCCATCGGCGAGCCCAGTTCTAGGGCTGGTTTAGCTCAAGTCGACCGATATTCAGTCCCGCCATTTATCTATCAACGAGGAGTGTGTGATCCCTGTGCACTGGGGTTTTGCGCCTTCTCGCTCCAGAAACATCTCGACACTCTTACCAAACATTTCCTCACGCGATCATGGCCAACCTCCGTCTTGTCCGCCAGGCTAATACCGCCGTTCGGGAGCAACGGCCTAACCTCGTGGCAGTGTTTGTTGGAGGAACTAGTGGAATCGGAGAAGCAACTGCAAAAGAGTTGGTCAAGACAGCACGGTCTCCTACAATCTACATCATAGGTCGTAATCAGGAGGCCGGCTCCAGTATTCTGGCTGATTGCAGGGCTCTGAACCCCCATGGTTCATATGAATTCATCATGTCAGACGTGTCCCTTCTCCGTGAAGTCGATGCAGCTTGTCGAGAAATCCAGCGAAAGGAACCTGTCGTGGATTTGCTCTTCATGACTCCAGGCCACCTCGCGACCGGAAAAAGTGGTATGGACGAGAAATCACCTCCCCTCCCCTATCCCGAACTAACCAAAGGCATAGATACGCCCGAAGGACTGGACAATAACCATGTACTCCGATACTATGCCCGCATGCGGTTTATTTATAATCTTTTACCTCAACTACAAGCTGCTGAGCTTCCTGCCCGTGTGCTCACTGTCCTTGCTGCTGGGAAGGAAGGTCAAATCGATGAAGATAATTTTGATCTTCAATCAAACTGGTCCTTTACTACTGCTGCTAGCTACGCAGCAACGATGAATTCTTTGGCAATGGAGTACCTGGCTTTGCGGTATACGTCCATTAGTTTTATCCATGTGTTCCCGGGGCTGGTGCGGACATCGCTGATGAAGTCGAGCTTTGGTAGTCTGGTTGGTTTCGCGATTGGCCTTGTTACCAGACCACTGTCAGTGTCGGCACAGGAAAGCGGAGAGCGCAACGTCTTTCTTGCCACATCAATGGCATATCCGCCGATGGCGTATGCGGGAGATGCTAGGAAAGACGGACTTGATGTTGCCATCGCGTCTACGGGGCGGGCTGGTGGGGGCTCCTATCTAGTTAATTTCGATGGGACCGATGCGACAAATCAGACCCTAATGGCAGATTATCGCCAGAGGGACTATCCTAAGAAGCTATGGGAACATACCCTACACGTTTTTCAAAGGGTTATTGGATCAGAATCTTAGGCTGCTTGTTTTATGACCTAAACTGCGATGGCCGCGGTGGATCTGGAAGCTCTGATGTTGATACTTCATGATTAGTAATGAAATTGGAAAATCATAACTATAAGGAGATGCACTTTTCGTAACTTAATGAACTCAAATGTTTGTCCCAAGCCCCCCCAAAATCCGGCAATTTCGATGAATCACATCTGCAACGCACCACATGTACTTTCCCGGACATGAATATCCAGCGTCAAAGCGTACACTAGCATCGGGAACCGCCGTCCCCGAAGGCCCACCTCTACGAACAAGTGGATCGCCGGGCGACATTCCCCACCCCGGCGCTTGGCTGTTCTCTCGGTCTCTGAAAGGGGCCGAGAGTGGGTCTTGATTTCTAATGCTTGATGTTAAGCCCGGGAATGGTAGTCTCCCACTTGCAGTCCGATTTGGCGAACTGACGGTTCCCTTCGCTTTGGCAAGGAGTTCTCTGCCACAGCGGCAGTGGAAATCGGGTCTATGCACACTGCTCCAGTTATGGTGCGTTGACTGTGACGTGAATTACTCCGTTGACGGAGAAAAGAACTGGAAATGAACAAAAGAGGGAACAGAAGTAGACCAGGGGATAAGACGTGCGTGGAGAGCAGTGCTAGCTAGGAGACGTTTATATGAGTCCATAGTATCCTTCGCTGCGGATCCTTTCTTGTATACCGTCTACACTCTTGTTGTTCTGAGTTCGTACAAAATATAATTTCACAAAATGGGACAATTCACCGATCTTGCCAAAATTGTGGAGAAGGAGACCCAGCATATTTCCAGCTATTGCAAAGTAGAGAATATCCCTGAGCCCTCCTTCGACGCGAGGGTCTCCTCAGACGGTCAAGCCTCTGTTGAAAATGAGGAATTGACGGCTGCGCGGCGAAACCTCTTCCAGGCTGCCACTGATCTTGCGATCTTGGCTCTCGGACCGGCCGAACACCTGCGTTGGCAGTCATGGAATGTATGTATACACCCAGTAGATGGGGCCTCCACAGTGGTACACATTTGAAATAACCGGAAAATGCAGCAATTCAATGATAATATCAGCCTTCAGGCGATTATCCGGTTCCATATCGCTGAATCGGTTCCTCAGGAGGGGATTACCTTCCTTAAGCTCTCAGAGGCAACTGGCGTAGATCTACGCCTTCTCAGCCGCATTCTTCGCCATGCTATGACGTCGCATATATTCTACGAGCCCGAGCCAGGGGTTGTCGCGCATACTGCCTCCTCCATGGCTCTGTCTAACAACCAGCAAGTTCGCAATTGGTTGGATATGACCCTAGAGGAATGGGGGCCGGCTGCTCTTCGCACCGTGGACGCTTTCCAGAAGTATCCCCGTAGCGAGGAACAGAACGAATCTGGATTCGGCTTGGCATTTAATGGTCAGACGATCTTTGAGTTCCTAGCCAAGCAACCTGAGCGCTCGAAGGTTTTCGGAGGTGCAATGGCAAATTTCTCGGCAGGAGAGAGCCACAAGATCGAGCATTTCGTCCATGGATATGACTGGAAGGCACTGGGCAACGGGACGGTGGTCGACGTAAGATTGGAGATGATGCTTCAGTTGTAGGAATAAAGACGTACTAATCATCATGGCTTCTATAGATTGGAGGGTCCCATGGCCACATCAGCACTGCCATCGCGGCCAAGGCTCCCGATCTCAAGTTTGTCGTTCAGGACCTCAGTGGAACGGCGGCTGATGGCGCTAAGATGCTCGACCCGGCCTTCAAGAACCGTGTTACGTTCATGGCCCACGACATGAATGACGTACAGCCTGTCCTGGGTGCACAAGCGTATATATTCCGCTCTGTACTACTGAACTGGCCCAGGAAGTACTGTGTCAAGTTCTTGAAGAACTTGGTTCCTGCCATGACTCCTGGCGCACGAGTAATTATTAATGAAGGATTACTGCCGGAGCAGGAGAAGCTGTCGGCATGGGATGACAGGATTCTTCGGTATGTTGCTTCTCCCCTTTCAACATGGAGCGATTGGTTACTGACAAGTAGTTACAGGAGCTTGGACCTGTGCATGATGGGTATGTTCAACAGCAACGAACGAACAGTAGAAGAATGGAAGGAAATCATTGCGGAGGCAGACTCACGTTTCAGGCTGCTCAATGTCAACCGTCCGAACCCCGCAAGTTTGCTTTGGATTCTGGAGATCATATGGGAGTAGGCACTCGGGATCATACCTCATAGGAAGTTGTATATTTCTTCCGTCATGGAAGCTTGGATGAAACGCGTATTGCATAGCCTCAAATCGTTCCTAATATTTGGTATTTTCCTATCATGTCTAATTTATTCACCGCAGTAGAAAGTCACTAGGCATATGCTGTACGAAGGTGTTCTGGCTGCAATACCAGTTGCATAATTACTCATGGCCCTACTTGTTTTCATCATAGGTTTACATGGAGATGCAATTTCTCAGGTGTTTTGAATGACTTCGAATTTGTAGATGGCCTAGAGATCGGAATGACGTGCAAGTCGCTTACAAGCGCAGCTTCTTTACCGATTATATCAATGTTCTCAAGTAGGGTTGAGAATTGTATTAAAGAAAATCCAGTAAACAGAAAGTTACCCAGAGGGTATTAAAAATGATTGGCATGCCTAAAGGATGAGGAAATGGCTCACGATATCTTTTCCGGTGGATATGTATAAAGATAGTCAGCCCAAATCAACATTCTACGACAGGTCGCCCTCTGCCTCCTTGGGTACAGCAGAGGCAAGGGGAAATCTATTTATTTATTTCTCGCCCTTGGCATCCTCCTCGTCAGACTTTCTGTCTACCTGCAACCCTTGTGCCGAACTCAAAACCTGATCTAGCTCATAGTTCTCCGTCAAAAAGCTCGTTATGAGCGCAACCCCACAAATCCCACAACAGAGGGCATATACAATGCGTAAACTATCCGTATACGCATCTTTCAGATTCGTCTTGTCGCTCCCTTCCTCCATACCTGCAATTGCTATGACAAGACCGGCTGCATCCTGACTATACGCGTCAGCCATTGGGGCCAGACTCGGGTATGTCAAGAGATTCTTTCTCATTCGGTTCTGAAAGATCACTCCCCCCACAGCAACGCCGACACACTGACCCAGTGCACGGAAGAAGCTAAACATAGCTACTGCCATTGCCAGGTTCTTGCTGGGCGTTGCAGCCTGCACGGCAAATGTTAGGGCTGGGAATAGCACACCCAATCCCAGACCGCTGACTAGATTGATGAACAGCCATTGGGGGATGCTGCTATCCGCTTTGATGTAGCACATAAGGCCGACTCCGAGGGTTGACAGAGCCCACCCCGACCAAATTGCCCACCGGTAGGCACCTGTTTTAGTGATCAGGAACCCGACGATAATCGCACTGGGAGCCACGGTAAAGGTCTGAGGGAAGAGGGCTACACCGGCGATAATAGGAGTGTACTGCTTTACCGCCTCGAAATATAATGGAAGGTAGTACAAGATACACCACAGAACGAGACCTTGCACAATACTTCCAATGTATGTCACCGTTGCAGTCCTATTATTGAATATGGTAGGTGGAATCATAGCCTGTTTTGCGAGATAGTATTCGTAAAACGCAAATGCTACCAGGCCACAAGGGCCGATGATAATGGGCACGAGGGTGTGCCATGAATCCCACGCGTATGAAACCCCTCCCCATGTCAAGGGGATGAGGAAAGAGGTCATGCTTCCGATGAACAAAACTGCGCCAAGCCAGTCGATGGAGCGGAGCTTCTCCGTCACTGCGCCGGGGAGCGGGCTCAGCCTCAGGAACAGCGCTACAAATATCACTCCCACCCCAATAAATGGAAAGTTAATGTAGAAAACCCATCTCTAAATGCTGTGAGTATATATCCTGGTGAGTCGTGTCCAGTAGCTTACCCAGGTGACATTCTCCGCGAATCCACCTCCGAGGATAGGGCCAGTCACGGATCCAATACTCCACATTGCACTGAGGATTCCGAGGTACTGACCTCGTTGTCTCAGGGGAACTATGTCGGTCACGATGACTTCGGTGAGCGAGATGATCCCACCGCCACCTACACCCTGGATGGACCGTCCGACGAGCATGTATGTGAAGTTCTTGGCGATAGCGGATAGTAAAGCCCCGACGAAGAACAGTAGAATGGAGCCAAGGATGACCGGGCGGCGGCCGAAAACATTTGAGAGATTGGCAAAGCAGGGCCCGAAAACTAGGGTGCATCAGTTAGGGCATTAGTTATGTAAAGTGATGGTGTATTAAAATGTCAGACATGCCTGTAGATGTCAAAAGGAATGACGTTCCAGTCCAGAAGGTTTCGATGGCCGTTCCATGAAGTTCTCCCGACATGATCTATTGTTGCTGTCAGCGATTGGAAATATTTTATGCCACCTTATCACACTTGTTTTCATGATTCATTGCCCTGTGTTTAAATGGTTCCATACCGGAAGCGCAACAGATACCGATGTTCCATCAAGAGCAGCCATCAGAGAAAGCACTGCCAACGCCAAAAAGACCAGAAGCCCTCGCGTCCCGAGCTCGAAGTCGTCAGCATTAGTATCCTTGGGCTTCGTAGTGCCTGGTCGATCGCCATCACTCAACGTACGCGACGCCAATGGTGGTACGCCTGCCATTTTTGCGGAAACAAATATAGTAGTTCGTATTCGAAACAGGCATCCGGGGGAAGGAGAAGGTTTAAATGCAACTCTTGATAGAATGGGATTTGAAAGCCACCCGCACAAGCAGAGGTTACTTATGGCAATACTGCCTATGCTATAACTTGTCAAACAGTGATCTACAGAGGCCCGTATGCAATACTTCTCGACACTTTCAGCTACGCTCTGCTGGTGGTGGTTCTGACTACCAAAGATTTGCTTCTCTGCCCTTGTCTCTGACTCCACATCTTTCCTGACTTGAAAATCAAACTCCGCACCGCAATACAGACTCTTAGGACTACCTTGCGTCTTAGGTACCCGCGTAGGTCTTACTACCACATCGGACGAACAAAAAGAACGCATGACAGGTCACTTCCTGCACTAGCATGAAGATCGGGCGCGCGCGGACGGCTATTGGTCGTGTTGGCAATAGTGCGCTGATAGTATGCACCTTGGGTTCCGCTCGATATCACTGGCTGGGCGTGATCTGTACACACGGCCGACCATCTCGGCCTTCGGTAATCATGATTATAAATCTGGTTCGCAAACAGACCGCTACTAATCCCGTCCTGGGTCTGGCCCACATTGTGTGTCCAAGCTTTTTGCGAAGACCCTGAATTTCGCCGTCTCCAGTTACTATGCTAAGGGTGTCCGTTGGATCTGCGTTGTTTGACCATCGTTGACCCAATTGGAGAATCCGGTAGCTAAGTACCTACGTGTTCATATAATGAATAACCATGTGCTATTAAATCATTTAATCATTTTGTTCCGCTCAGTCATGGAAAAAGGACGTGGAGAACGGGATATGATTAATTTCATCCTATCGGCTCCACGATACATAGTACGATAAATGGGGGAAACAAGACATTGACAGGATAGAAAACGCTAGATTGCCGTGTTCCTTCCAAAGAAGAGGAAATAACTAGCAACGCAGAACGTTCTGATATGTAACAATGCTAGGATTGGTAAAAGCAACTACGTTATAGGTCATGAAGAGCAGATAGTGGGGGCAAACAGGAGGGGCGAAATTAGTCAAAGGATACGCTATATACGGTCCTAAAAGGCGAGCTGGGTCATTGAAGTGACTGTAAAGGGCAATATCAGTATTATAAGCTAGCTCTATAGGCTCAACGGATATTACCCTATTGGCTAATCATAAGGTTAAAGGAACTTCTTTCAAGAATATAAACAACCCAAATGCGGACATCTATGCATTGTGGTCCATTCCACCTCCCTCTTCCTACATCAAATCGTAAGACCTAGTAGTATAGCCGTTTTTGTAGCGATCGTGAAAATGAAAGCCGAGAAGCAATGTAGGCCTCTAGATGCAATATTACCCCCCCAATAGTTGCTGATATGGCTCCTGTGCCAGTAAATATCAAAGGCGGCCCGGATACGGATATTCTCGACTTCCTGTAATTCCTAGCACAGAAATTCTTTTATACTGGAGGATATTTCGTAAAGCTAGGACATGTTAGATTGATGTTCGTGGAGCACTAATGAAGGGGGGGCATAGTGATTACCTGTTCGCCCTGGTTCAGCATGGTGAAGTGGTTACCATCCACAGTCTTAAATTGCACCGAGTTTGTGCCAAGGAGACTGTCCCATCCGTTAAACCCGAAGTCGGTACGGTTATCTAGCAGCCATGTCATGCTCCGCGGTTCGTCGTCAGTCTTTACTGGCCGCGACTGGGTAGGGTGGCGGCACACTCCGTATCGTGCCCAGATGATGAGAACCTTGGGGATTTTTGTGTGAGGTTGGATAGGTGTGGCTTCGTACTCAGAGAGCGCTTGGATGGTCGCCTCAAAGTGGGGAAGTAGCCAGGACGGTGGATCTTGTCCATTGCTTCCAAGAAGGCCACTTTCGGCCAGGAAGACATGGAAACGTTTTGGCAGTACGGGAAGACCGACTGGACATGGTGAATCGAAGAATACCAGCTGCTCTACGGTTTCGCCTTGAGCGATCAATTGTTGGGTGACTTCGTAAGCCACGATTCCTCCCGCTGACCAACCACCAAGGTAGTAAGGCCCCCTGGGTTGGCGGCGACGAACTTCGTTCAGATATAGGGAAGCAACTCCCCGGACACCCATAGTGAACTCGGAAGGTTTGGTCATGAACGGGCAGTTAAGGCCATATACGGCGATACTGGCATCAATTGGTGGGATTGTTGCATACGATGTGGCCGACCCTGAGCCGTCAGGGAATAAGAATAGCGTCTTCGCTGCTCTGCTCGGCTTGCCCTGAAGCAAGATGGACACGGCTCGGGGTGTTCGGTTTATGGTAGAATTTGGCACACTTTCACTGGCTCTTGTGCTCGCCTTCGTGCTACTGGGCTTTGTGGTGTTTGGGGCTCCGACTGGACGGACGTTATCCGGAGATGTCTTGAGATCAAGGAATGTCTCAATCGCATCGAGAGTACCATAGTCGACAAAGAGCGAAGAGGGGAGCACAAGATCTGTCTGCTCACGGAGAGAGCCCAAAATTGTGATACTCATTAGTGAATCCAAACCCAAGGAGCTGAGATCCGCTGAGGCAGTCACGTCTTCCAATGGAATATCCATTTCCTGCGCAATCGTTGTGCGAATGATATTACGGATGGCCTCTTTCTTCTGATAAGGCAGTCCATCTTTTGGGGGGATGTCGTCAGACTCCAGTGACACCTTAGAAGTTACCTCCCATGAATCATCTTTCGAGGACGTTGATGACGTGGATGCTGTGTCGGCTGCAACAAAATCCTGCAGGTATCTCTTGAATTCGCCAACCGTGGCGTTATCTAAGAAAGCGGACCCCTGAATATCTAGACCTAAATCCTCGCGAATCCTTCCAGAGATTTGTAAGGAAAGTAGTGAATCAATTCCTAGATTGGAAAATTCACAGTCATCCTGTAGTTCTGATAGAGACAAATCTGATTCCTCTGCGATCATTCTAATGGCTTGTTCGATAGGGTTAGGAGTCGAGGAGGCTGGCTGAGAATCACACGTCTTGGGGGTGGGTTCTGGCCTCTCAGTGATTGGTAGGCGCCTAGTAGTATCTACTACTGGAGCTGGAGCTGGAGCCGCACGTTTTGATGCAGCTGGTGGCAACAAGCGATTGAGTATATCGCGAGGAATGCGCTGGAACCTCAATCCTCCGATAACACCGACAATCTCATCTCCGTGGAGAACGTACACGTTTCCTACCATAACATTGTTTGGTGCAGGCTGCATCTTCACGTAAGATGTGTAGACTATCGAGCGCTCCAACGGGCGAGCCAACCGCATAGACTTCCAGCCATGAGAGATATAGACCGCATCTGGGCCAGAAATACCACCGCCATTAAGCAGAAAACCTGAAAGATGCGCGATGCTATCGATCCAGAACGGACTAACCATAAATTTGCCATCTTTCTCCTCCGTTTGGAATGTGACCTTCGCTGTACCCTCAACATTTTTGCCGTCAAAAATTACCTCTTCCATTCCCTGGAAGGGACGTGAATAGGAAACCAGCCCGGCAAAGAGCTTATAGGCAGTACCCCGAGACACTTTGTCCGCTTCGTTGCGCGCGAGTTTTTCTTGTAGCATAGAGATACGATCTCTTATCCAGAATGTGTTCTCTTCCCAGTCTGGAATCCAGCGAGCTCTATCTTCAAAGGTCACTACACATTTGGCATGGACCGCAAGTTCCTTTCCATTATTGTCCACACTGGTATATTGAAGAGATGCTTGTTTGTGGGCCCAGTCAGCAGAGACAGAGAGCTGGAGGAGTTGGGTAGTGTTCGTGTCATCCTTGGCTATCAGTGGATTCGTAACCTCCATCTGCCCAACATTCAAACCGATGTTGTTTTCTCCAGGCTTAAGCTCACGGGCAATGTAGTCACAAACTGTAAATGCCATGTCCGCATAGAGAGACGAAGGGCAGAGCCCACTGTCATTGACCATGTGTCCACGGACAGCCGCGTGCAATGTTGTCTCCGACATATCGGACTGCGTCACTATCCGGGCTTTGTCGCCATTGAACTCCTCGAAGGCAAGTCTCTGCACTGAGGTCGTCGACAATTTGGGTACGTCTGAAGACGGCTCAACAGCCGCAAGGACCTTGCCATTCCGTGGATGAACTTTATGCAGACACCAATCATTCACGTAGTCGATCCAGTAGTTCTTGTTATCGAAGCAATATTGAGGAAGGCGGAGGTATTCATGGTAGACATTGTACTCACAATGGAATTGACGCCAGTCAATGGGAATACCAACCGCGTGTAGCGCCGTAGTGGCAGCCACCAGTGACGTCCAGGAGTCTTCGTCCCTTTTAAGAGATGGGACAGCTACCATACTACTACTGACAGTAGCCTGCACCATCCTTGAGCAGAGTGGATGGGCGCCGATCTCGAGTAGCACAGTCTTAGGATCGATAAGTTTCTCGTACACCGCATTCTGAACACCCGCGACAAAGTTCACGGTCTCCCGAGCATGGCGAGCCAGATATGAAGCATTGAAAATTCCATCACTGGAGACAGCCTCGCCAAGCAGTGAAGATACAACTGGTACGCAGGGACGGTTGAAGATCGTAGGCGATGCAATCCCCTCAAACTCCTCCAAAATGGTATCAAGTTGGGCCGAGTGGAATGAATACGGAACATCTAGAACTTTGAACTTAAATCCAGCATTGGTCAGCCCTCGCTCCAGCTTGTGGATATTCTCTCTTGTTCCAGAGAGAACAGTCTCGTTGGGTGAGTTGACACAGGCTAAGTCAAATGTCGGTAAACCTGAGGTTCGACGAAGTTCTTCAACCGATGCCTTGACGGCAATCATGCCGTGCGTACCAGCAGTTGTGTGCTCCTCAAGTAGTCGGGCACGGCGTCCGACGAGATGAATCGTATCCACACTGCTTAATACACCAGCCGCATTCAGTGCAGCGTATTCGCCCAAGCTGTGGCCGATAACCACAGTCGGCTGGACTCCCCAAGACTGCCAGAGATGCACAAGCGCCATCTGAACGCAAGTAAGCGTCAACTGGGCCACTGTTGGAGATGCGTCCTCAGTAGTGCACTTATCTTCGATAACAGGAAGGATGGAAGGGAAACCGAGACTAGTCGACAAGTGATCCAGGTGCTGAATCTTATCGCGGAAGTCACGACTGAGCTTGTACAAGTGTTGAGCCATCCCTGAATAGAACACACCTTGGCCGGTGAAGACAAACGCAATCCTTGGGGGCTTTGTTGGAACTGGACTCACGTTGGATGTATCTAGGCGAGCCTTCAAAGCTTGAATCAGCCCACGACGGCTAGATGCGCTCACAGCGATACGGTTACTGTAATGCAGCCGCCGAGCTGTTAGACTGTAAGAAAGGCTTCCGAGAGATACATCCAGATTTTCGTCTATCCACTCGATGAGCGCTGATGTATTGTTGCGCAACGCTGATAATGACTTCGCTGACACGACAAAAGGCAGGACAGGGCGAGGATCATTGCCTTCTGCGGGTTGCAATTTTGGCGCCTCCTGGAGTAGGACAGCTGTATTTCCTCCAGCAGCGCTAAAACTGTTGACGAATGCAACGCGAGGCTTTCCGGCCACGGACGGCCATGGATGCTGCTTGAATGCAATTTTAACATTGAGGGAGTCGAAATCAGGGAGCTGAGGGTTGATAGTTGTCTTAATGCCCACATGAGGTGGAATGGCTTCCTTTTCCATCATCATCAGGACCTTGATCAGCGATGATATGCCGGCAGCGGCTTCGCTATGGCCAATATTGGACTTGAGTGCTCCGATGTAGAGCTTCTCACGCTCAGTACGTGCACCTTTAGGAGCAAAGATGCGTGTCACAGATTGCGTTTCTGCGAGATCACCGGTCTATTCGCAAATCTCAGCGACTGAAGTAAGACAAAACATATACGGGAAGGAAATCTTTACCTGTGTACCAGTTCCGTGCATTTCCACATAACTGACCTCCAAAGGGTCGACACCAGCTGTATGCAGTATAGTCTCGTAGAGCTCGGCTTGGTTGCCGGAATGTGGGTTGGTGATAGACACTGCGTCTGCACAGTGGTTTGTACCGGACGTAAGAATCACTCCAAAGATGGGATCTTTCTCTGCCAGAGCATCATCTAGCCGTTTAAGGACAACACTTGCAACAGCATCAGCACGGCAGTATCCATCTGCGCCCTGATCCCACGTCTTGCATGATCCTGTTCTGGACAGAAATTGCCCTCGACTAAGTCCGGCGTAGATATCCGGGGCAGTAAGAATATTCACACCTCCTGTTACAGCTGTATCACAATCACCTGCCTTTAGAGCGGTGCAGGCAATGTGTAGAGCAGCGAAGCTCGAGGAGCAAGCCGTATCTATACTATAGCTGGGTCCACGGAAGCCGAAGTGGTAATTTATCCGACCAGGAGCAAAGGCTCGAACACCGCCTGGGATGAAGTACGTTTCGATGTTCTGGGCAGCATTGACCTCACGCCAGTCATCCGAGGTTTGGCCATAGAATGTACCTACACGGTCTGCCATGGTTGAAGGAGTACTATTAAGAACAAACCCAGACATTTCCATGGCCTCATAGGCCGTCACAATTGCTAGGCGATGCATCGGATCCGTCTGAGTGGCTTCACGAGGGGACATGTTGAAGAATCGCGCATCAAAAAGACCAGGCTCCTCAATGAAGCATCCATAAGGGGTGTGGCTAGTGTTGTTTATCTTTCCTGTCGGATCGTAATGCGTCTCGACTGGGAAGCGGTCTTTGGGAATCGTTCGGTGCATATCTCTCCCATTCTCCAAGGTTTTCCACAAGGCTTCGACATCAGGAGATCCTGGGAAACGACCGGAGAACCCAACGATCGCGACTTTTTCATGGCTTGAAGCATTGGTCAGGTGCCCATTTGGTCGCGATGGTAGGAACTCTGACATTGGGTTTATGATCGTCGGCTCCCCTTTGCCTGCTCGTTCAAGAGCATTAGAGAGATTTGTGGTGGCCTGTTCTCCGCACAAGGCAAAGATCTCGATTGAAGACTCCTCACTCTTCTGGAACATGTCTGCGAGTTCTTGCTGCATCGTATCCCAACGGGCGGTCTCCCTTAAAGTCTCGTTCACGGCCTGTTCGAAGACGGCCAGCCCGTTGTGGCCATGGATTAATTTGCCTGTTAGGGAGGAAATAATTGGGCGACAAGGGGACGAAAGTCCATTTAGATGATCAGCTCGCCGGAGCAGTACCTCAGCCACATCATCGCCCTGGTACAGATGAGGGGCGTGCCAAAGCCCAGGGATAAGACTGGTGGTTCTCTGCACATCTCTCCCACGGAGCCGCGAGGCCAGGAACGCGAGCCGCGATTCATGGCCACTGATGAGGCATGTTCCTTGGTCAGCAAGTGACACGTAAGCCCGAGACGGCATTGGAATATCCTGCAAACATGTTACCCTGAAAAGCCGTAGAATAGTTGTAGGGCGGACTCACTAGCTCATCCTGGATAGCGTGCAGGTCACGATTGACATCTCCTAGGGAGCCTTGTGCAGTGAGATGGAGATTATGCTCGTGACCTGGCTGATCAAGTCCTCCACTGACCTTCGTAACAATGGCACCCATTCGGAACGCCAGGCGCACAGCTTCAACGGCCAGATCGACTAACTCTACCGCGGTCGAGGAGCACGCTACAGCGACGGCTGACAACAAACCTGGTCCATGACCTACGACAATATCATATTTGGACGGGAATCGCTCAGGATTCCTTTCGACCAATCTATATTGTTATGAGCACACCGAGGAATCTTGGCAAGGGCAAGTAGTTAGGACACAAGGGACAAGTCTTACTGGAGAAAAAGTGATATTTGATAGACACAGAGCAGTGCTATTGAAAGTTCTACTCTTTGGGCCCGCTGAGAGCGTGATCGCTCAATCAGGTCGATCATGCTGCTAAATGGTGGGATCTTTGCACGGCATGCTCCCGGTAGGAAGCTGATCTCATCCCGTAAAGCAGCATGTGCCTTGATCAAAAAGGCACTCAGAAGTATGGATGTGTCATTTATCCTTTTAGCAGATGGAAGGTTCTGTTGCCCATCGACAAGCTGATCTGTGAAAATGAATGCTCTCATGTTGAACTGAGTTTTTGCGAGAAAGGTGACTGAGCTACTGGAGAACAGGTCCTTATGTGCGTGAAGGAGCTGAGGCGATGTAGTGACAAGGGTACTTTAGTATCCGTAAATACTTCCTTTCTCCTTGGCCGGAAGTGGATGGGTGTACATCTGTTTCCGCATGAGTATACCGCTATTCAACTCCGTGACGGTCTCAATCAAGGGCTATTCTTCATGAATGGGAATTTTTTCAACAGGTGGGATCTGCAATTGCCTTTCTGCTTTAACGCTGCAGGTTCCACGATGCGCAGTCTAAAGTCCAGTCTCCCCTGTACCTTCGACCGTGCCTCGGGGATCATGGTTGGAGTCCAACCAAGGTCAAAATCAAGGGCCATGTTCCCACACCCTAAACCTATTGAACGCACAACAGCTCGGGTAAGTCAAGTCGCTGTCGGACAAAGATGATCTTCCTTTGACCGTAGCCGTGCAGAGCCCTGTCCGCTGCTGGGCTATCGGGGCAGGATTCGGGGATCAGCTCGGGTACTGTGCGGGCAAGTCATGATCTACGGCGAGACATTGCATCTGACATGTATAACGGCGATCCCCGGTAACAAGTGTCGACCACAAACACTGGCTGGAGAGAAACACGGAAGCCCTTCATCGAATTCCCTACCTGAGAAAGGCAAAGCCACAATCATAAACCCCCCAAATTCGCTCACATTGTCCTGTCTCGACAAACAACCATCAATCCATGGTCCACTTGAATAAGATGACTGCCACCGCCACCATCGCCTTAGAGAGCGTCATGGGGAGCTCTCCCATCGATAAATTGGCATTCGAGCTTCGGAAAACTCTACGGACATCGACTGTCTTGACACAAGATTCAGACGGCTACCTCGAAAGCATCAGACGATGGAGCGATGCGGTGGAAATGAAAGCGGTTTGTTGATATCTCAGCCCTCTGCGGTGGCCCTTGACGCTAATGAGTGTCCTAGGGCATCGTCGTGTATGCTCAATCCGCCGAGGATATCTCTGCGACCATTCTGGCATGCCGCAAATATGCAGTCTCATTTGCTGTATCTGGAGGAAGGCACTCTTCCAGCGGTGCCTGTTCATCTGAAGGTGGATTAGTGATCGATCTGGCCAAGATGCGCCAAGTCCACGTAGATCCCGCCACGCAGCTTGTCCGGGCCCAAGGTGGATGCATCTGGAAGGACGTTGATGACATTGCTTTCGCAAATGGGTTCGCGGCGGTGGGAGGGACTGTAAACCACACTGGCGTTGCTGGGCTTACCCTCGGAGGGGGTTATGGGTGGCTTTCTGGCAGATACGGACTGGTAATCGACAACCTGCGGGCAGTTCAGATGGTACTAGCTGATGGTACCGTCACTACTGTCTCCGAAGATAATCATCCCGATCTGTTCTGGGCTGTCCGTGGCGCTGGTCATGCTTTCGGTGTCGCTGTGGAATTCACTTTTCAGATGCATGAACAAAAGAATCCCGTCTGGGCTGGCCAGATGGGGTTCCCCCTTGACAAGCTGCATTCTATCATTAACTTTGCCAATGAACTGGTTGCTACCACTAACGGAGACTCTGCAATGATGGTTGGCATCACCGCTCCTCCATTTACTAACCGCACGCCGGGCGTTGTGGCGACCGTCTTCCACAATGGTTCTGCCATCGAGGCACAGCCCATTTTCCAGCCTCTCCTGGACTTGCAACCCATTGTCAATAGCACTAAGGAACGACCCTACAATGAGGTAAACGGTATGATGAACCATGCCGTCGACTACGGTGGCCGCAAACTCAGCAAGGGCGCCGTTTTCCATACTCCTCTGCGGCCAGAGTTTGTTAGCGACATCATTGTCCCTGAACTTGAGCGCTTCCATGCTACCGTCCCCGGTGGTAAACGATCCATTCTGCTTTTCGAATTCTTCAAGTCAGACAAGTGGTGCGAATATTCCACCTCTGACATGGCTTTTGCCAACCGCGGCCCACATCAGAACTTGTTGATCGGTCCCTTCTGGGACTTTCCGGAGCATGACAATGTAGCCCGGCAGTGGTCCCAAGCCGTGGCTAAGCTTGCCTGGCTTGAGCTTGAACGTGACCAGATTGAACATGGTCCGAGTGCTAAGCCAGCACCGGCTACGGAGTATGGAAACTACGACCATCTTGCTGCCAGTCCGCGCCAGATCTTCGGTGCCAATGTTGAGCGTCTAATTGAGATCAAGCAAAAGTATGATCGAGACAATGTTTTTGACAAGTCATACAGTTTAATTAAGGGTCGTGAGGAAATTGGGCGCCGGTGATAGACTTAGCCCGGGACCATGTTCACATGTACGGAATCAAGTGCCCACGCACAGGATTTGGTCAATAGGCAGAGTTAAGCATAAATAAACCTGAACCATTGTTGAGTATCGCTAGAATCTTCAAGCCTTTTCAGAATTTCTCATTGTTGTTAAGTGAAAGAGAGCCGGTAGGACCTTGAGGACCTTTATATACCCCCTCAGCTCGTTCTAGGTGAGTATTATAGGACAATGGATTGATTGGTTTCAAATTTCAAACATATTTTCAGGATACTGCCTAGCCTAGGTATTCTGTTGCGGTTTATTGCAGTGATTGTATTAAATAAAAATGAAAGTATGCATGCGCTAAACTATAATATGTTCATTAATATGTTCATTATCTATACAAAGCATGTGACCGACAGCATTATTTTACGCAATATACGTTTCGACACATTTAGAATATTTATTTCCTATTACTCTCCTATACAACTGGCCCTTCAGTTGCATTTGCTAATTGAGTGATCCCACATATACATATATTAGTTCTGTTCACACTCGATAAATTTTAACAGGATGAATAGCGCCTGGGCTGTGTCATCATGCAGAGAGCTCTCCACATGATGAGACTGCGAATATACTACATCTATCTCATGCTATTTTCATTACCTATTGAGAGCCGAGTTGGAACCAATTGCCCCAGTTTGATCCACAGGTCTAGTAGCAGTTACACGAGAAACTGTTTCAGTGATCGAATAGCACTGATGGGAAACATCGGCTCAGGGGGGTTGCGAGAGTAGGAGTAAGCATACGGGCTGACCGTGTACAATACCCAAAATGCTACCCAAATGTAGCCCACAATACGCTGCCATGTTATAGGGGGCTCTACCGTCCTAGCCGTTACACCCTTATGCTTTCCATAACTGCTTGGAATCTTTGGGCTTGTCAGTTGATGGTAAGCCTGCTGGACCAAGCCCTCGACGGTGATACCAAACGCCTGTATCAAGAAGGTGGGGATGGCCCAGTTATCTGCCCCAGGAATGCCGGTAGCCTCATCCACAAAATGGTGAATAGCTCCACTGAGGCCAAACGTCAGCCCTACCGTGAGCATTCGTCCCGCAGTGGAGTGTCGACGCAAACGAAGGACATCATAGACAATGAATCCAATGTTGCTTGCGAGAGGGTTTCGTAAGCCAGAATGCCAAAACACGCTAAAAAGTAATGTTTAAGTCAGTTATATATCCTGTCTTTCATTCTAGAGTTCAGTGTGGTTGAAACACTTACGCCCAATAGCGACGCAAAGTCCATGCTTCCCAGATACTTCCAAAGTACGGGGGCCAGTCTTCGGGCCTGGTGAGGCCCGACGCGACGCCAAAGATACTGGCAGCATCGTAGATGAACCGAACGGTCGTGTACCGATCGACCCAGAACAAGAACGTTCTGACTGTCCGGAGACCCAAAACTGGAAGTGTCCAGAATTGGGGTGACAGAAGGAGTGATGCTCGTTCCTGGGTGAACGCCTCCATCGGAGCTAATCGAACGTTTGCCAGAAGGTCCAGCACTAGGTACTCCACGAGGCAGGCGACTATCTGGTTCCAGATGAAGCGCCAGCGAGAGGGGACCTCCGGATAAAAAGTTGGTATGTTCGGCATTTGGCGGGTCGTCCCAATTGCTCGATAGCTGAACATGACATGTGTCGCCCACGTCACCCTCTTCCAGAGGCTCTGCAGACTCGCTTTCAACATGGAAGTCTTTCCGTCCATCCCTTTCTCCTCCTCCCCAGCTTCATGTCTGCCACTTCTCTCCACTCCACGGTCATTCAAGTACAGCTTTCGCAGTCCAAAGACATCAACAACGGTCAGAAACATGAGCATGAACGGACCGTCTAAGCCACCTGCTTGATTGCGGCCTGGAAAGACCTCCGGAGCCAGTCGATGAAAGCATACGCTAGCGACCGACGCGAGCGGCAGTACGGCCACTCGCAGCAATGACGATGGTCGTGTAAATGCCAGGGTAATAATCGGAACTACATGGCTTAGAAGCATGAGAGGAAGCGCATTGGCGAGGTAGAAGCGCTGTAACGATTCAGGAATACCCCGAACGCTCAGAAGTCCCAAAGGGACATATGCAGCCAGGACGATGAGAACGACGTCTTTCGGAGGGATAGACATAGTGGTTGTGTCTACCATTGACTTGGAATTTCCTTCGCGTGGCTCTTGCACATCCAATCACGGATGAGTTATAACTTGGTTGGTATTGATCCACCTCGGCTCCGGCAGTGGATCTATCGAATTGCGACTCCGCCATCGGGCGTCGGCCTTCGTATCCTGCATCAACAACATTCCCGGTCCCGGACACATCAAAAAGTATTCCCGTACCTTTGCCACACTCATTGGAGAAGCTAGCACCCGCCGACATGATCCTACCATGGCGTGCTACCTTCCGCGTCTTCGCAAAGCCTACAGCCTGGCCTCCTTTTTCTATTTGGTCCCCGCCGTCCCCTCGCTTCCGTTTACGACAACTCCAACGTCAAATATCTTACCCTCGCTATTTCCCAACCATGTCGAAAGATACCATTGTTGTTTTTGGGGCCACCGGCAAGCAGGGTGGTTCTGTTATTAACAGTATCCTGAGTGACCCCACGGCAGCCGGCCGATTCCATGTCAAGGCTGTTACCCGTGATGTTGCGAAGGATAAGGCAAAAGCATTGGCCGCAAAGGGGGTTGAGGTGGTTACGGTATGTACAATCCTTGCACCACTTGTGCCCTTTATTCCGCACTTGGAATCCTGACCGACTAAATCCGCCCTTCCTCGCAGGGGAACCTGAACGACAAAGAGTCCTTGCGGCCACTTATCAAGGGAGCCTATGGTGTTTTTGCAGTCACCAACTTCTGGGAAATTTTCAGTGCGGAAGTAGAAGTTCAGCAGGGAAAGAATATTGCAGATGTTTGCAAGGATGAAGGCGTTCAACACCTTGTCTGGAGTAGTCTTCTCAACATCAACGAACGTGAGTAGCTTCTCACATTCGCCTTTTCTCTCTGCTTACTTTTGGTACTAACGCTGGTCCACTATATTAAAGTTACCAATGGCGTGCTTTCCAAAGTCTACCACTTCGACGGCAAGGCCGAGGTCGAGGAGTATATCCGATCCATTGGCATTCCGGCCACTTTCTTTCTCGCTGGTTTCTACATGTCCAATGTTCCGGGAGTGAGCTTCCGCCAGCTGCCGGATGGTAAACATGCCCTGTCCATGCCTATCCCTGATGACGCTCCTGTTCCTCTCTTCGCTGCTGAGTTTGATACGGGCAAGTTTGTCAAGGCGATTTTCCTCAAGCGGGACACTACTCTGGGCAAGCGTATCTACGGGGCGACCAAGTATTCCACTCCAGCTGAGATGGTCAGCACTTTCCAAAAGGTGTTCCCCGAGGCTGGCAAGGATGCCAGATTCAATCAACTGTCTCATGAGGCGTTCAAGGGTATTATGGCTTCCACTGGAGCCCCTGAAATTATTCAAGAGGAAATGCTGCAGAATATGCGCCTTATGCCGGAATTTGGTTACTATGGCGGGGACGCTTTGGAGCCTAGTATTTCGGTGAGTTGAGGGTTAGAAACTGTCTTTTACACAGCCCAAGAACTAATCTGTGCAATATAGATCCTCAACGAGCCCTTGACTACTTGGGAGGAGTATATCAAGCAAGCTACCGCTTTCACTTCGCTGAAGTAAGCTACTGTTTATATAGACCCAGCGTGAACTTGACAGGTGTAAGAGACTATATAGTCAAATACCCCTTTAATTCAAGCTAGTGTATGTTCATTAGACGGTTCACCGCGCACAATTTACTCCCTATACCGTAGGATGCTCCCGTCTATTTCTTTTTCTTTTTTTTACCCCTCTTTTCAGGCGCCAAGTTCCCAGCGAACCGTCAGCATGAGTAGCTCAATCTCTCAGGTCAAACCCTTTTAATGTTGGAGGTCTTCACTCGAAGCTCAACCCTGGAGAAACCTCTGTTTATTATATTTACTGTCTCTTTTATTTATGGGCTTACGATTATGTAGCGGAACTCCGGATTCCGACTCCATATTACAATTTATGCTTGGTGCCGTTGTCTTTTAGCGTTTCTATGGTAGCCTCGTAGGTTCATCTGTCACCTGTGGAGATTCCAGGCCCAATCCTGATGTCTTCTCAGACAAAGAAGATCTTTTATGTACAAATGTGTACTTGTAAGTGCTCTGTGTCGACATCACTCCTGCTACTTTAACCTTACCATAGACCGTTGCGTTATGCCTTATTATCTTGGGGGACCTTTTATTCTATCTACTATCTTTTCATAAATCTTCGGGGTAACACAATCCTATATAGTTCTAGAAGAATTTTTCTAACCCTCTTCAGAACATAGTACAACTCCTAGGTAGTGTACAGTAGTCCACGGTCGTTGGGCTTACGCAGTACAGTTGGATGCTGATAAAGAATTACACGGCATTCGGTTTTATTGGGAGGTGTTGCCCCAGCGAAATGTATAAATACATTGATAGATTTCAATTCCACAAAGCACCGCGCCCACGCGTGGTGCTGACGGTTATGGTGTCCATTCAGTGTGAATAGATTGGAGCCTGTTCAAAGCACTATGCCAACCATCCCTGAAACTACTTGAATTCTACCTCCCATCTAAGCAAGCACTACACTCATTGAAGAAAGTTATACTCATTCTGATTGGATTATAGTAGTTAGTTTTAGGGCCAGTTAAAAACCCGGGCCGGGCCGGGGGACTACCCGCGATGAAAGCGGTTTAGCGTCCCATTTCGATAGCTCGTTTTAGTGAGGAAGACAGGATGCTACCGCTAAATCTCGGGATGGATATAGATAAAATCTAACTATCAATAAGATTATTATATGAAAAACTTTAATTCTAAGATCATACTCTTTATCAAAATAATATATAATAGTAGCATTCTTGATACTAAGTACCCTATAATACTAGGTTGTATGGTATAGTACTAGCCTAGCCGAATGCCAAGCTTACTAGCGCAGCTCAATACGTCTTAGAAGCATATCCCCGAGATCCACCTTTCGGGGACCCTATGCCGTTGCTCCCCCCGAGATGGTGATATTCTGACCTGTTAAATAGCATTCCCATTAGGTAATGATGTACGATAGAGGGACTAGGGGGTTGGATGACGTACCACTCAGCCACTGGGCATCATCTGAAGCCAGGAAAGCTACCACTTTGGCGATGTCGGTGGGAATCGCCATGCGACCCATCGGGGTACGAGCCGAGACAAATGCGTCAATATCATTGATGTTCCAGGATGCATCAGCCCCGGGGATGTACTTGTATCCAACCTCTGCCGCCATATCGGTTTTCACCCCACCGGGCGCGATACTATTGACCGTGATGCCTCGGGCGCCAAATTCTGGCGCGAGGCACCGCGCGAATGCCTCGACAGCGCACTTGCTCCCGGCGTAAACCGCATGCTCCACGAGCGGCACGTGGGCTGAGATGCTTGACGTCAAGATCAGACGGCCATTGTCAGACAGATGTTCGAAGGCAGCCTGTGCGACAAAGAACTGGCCACGGGTGTTGACGCTGAAGACGCGGTCGAATGCCTCGGGGCTGACTTGGGAGATCTTACCGAAATGTTCGACTCCCGAGTTGGAAACCACGATGTCGATACGCCCCAGTCGAGCTTGGATCTCTTGGAAGAGTGTGTGGATCTCACGGGGATCAGAAATGTCGGCCTGAATGCTGATTGCTACACCACCATTGGTGGTGATGTCACCGACCACCTCTTGCGCGGTGGCGGAGCTACTTCGGTAGTTGATCACAACTGTGGCACCGCGAAGGGCCAGTTCTCGCGCAATTCCCGCGCCAATTCCACGACTGGATCCGGTGACGAGGGCGACCTTGCCTTCTAGTGTGGCTGCAGGTGACATTTCGAGTGCTAAATATATGTATGTCGAAAACACTTAAAGAAATAATAATAAAAAAGCGAGATTCGGTGATCAAGAGAGATGGAGTCCCCTGCCAATATGTACAATCACACCAAAAGTGACTCATTCGTTTCCTTCTCTATTTGTAGGTGAAGGCTCGGGCCTGCAGCTGAAGCTGTCACCCTCGCTGTGACATATCACAGGATACAAGCCGTTCCCTCGGACCACACGTTTCGCGAAATGACCGAAGCCCGAGTATGATTTACGGGGTTCAAACTGACGGTGTGAGACCATGAATGGGGTAATGCTACATTGGTTGATTTTGTAGAACATGCCTGAATATATCATAGGGATTTTTGCTATGTTGACAGGAGCACAGTTTCTTGCTTTGCTCTATCAATACATTTTGCGCCTAAACTCCGTACAATGGTACCAACTTCCAAACCAACGTTTGAAGGTCAATAATTGCTCCCTTTGAGACAATCCACATGGGCGGTATTAACGTAATTTCAATGGCGCAGAATGGCTTGCAGTCAGCGAGATTGCATTCGAGTGGGCAGAGAGCTATGACTCGAAGGTTACTGCGCCACAACCCCGGCCAATGTCGTATCATATTTGTCTAATCCGAATCACAGGACTGGGAACGCCTTCGGTCAATTCTAGCACCTACTCTATCGGTAGGTAACTGATGTTTGAGTCCCATTTCTGTTCATGACATAGTAATCTTGAGCAATGGAACTATACAGATCGATTACGATAAAGTCAACAATTCCAAGTTCCTCGATCTGCCTGCGGACGACTTTGTGCAGATGATGAAGGACCCGCTGTTTCTAGGTGATTCTAATATTGATTCTCAACATATGTTGGGCCTCACCAAATGGGAGAAACTATCAGATGACAAGATTATCAGCCACTCCCAGTCGAGGGCTGCTCATGTGCGGTGGGAGGAAGGACGGACTGCTGTGGCGGCAAAGGGCCACGGGCACGGTGTTGTTACGACTACATATCAGAAGATCAACGGCGTGTGGAAATGGGCTGGGATCAAGACACTGGTGCGCTGGAATGAGCATGAGTTTGAGAGAGTCTTTCGGGGAGCTGCTGGAAAGTTCGGCTGAAGCGAGAGCTAATACGGAAGGGATTCTAACGTACACCATGGATTTTGTTTAATGGAATGCACCATCGATATCCAATCGCATAGGATGACCGAACTAGTTGTTGTAGCGTTATATACGGTGGAGCAGATTCAGGTGTTGTCCGAGTCCCCGCGAAATGGAGAGAATACACAGCTGGATTGCCACCTTGGCTTCAGACACAGGTTCACCCGTAGACGGTGTATTTCGAGAACCGGAGTGCTGGCAAGAGAAAATGCCTAGTTAGTATTATATAATCGTGGATGATATGACTATACTTGTATATCGTGTATAATCTATTCTTATGGTGAAGTCCAATGCAGTTAGCTGCTGCGAAATGACAGCCGCACATTGAAAAACAAATACGATCGATCAACTTTCACCTTCCCGGGTGGAAACCAAAGCACAGCTAAAAAAAAAAAAAAAAAAAAAAAAGGGATATGCTTCATCTCATATCACATTTCATGTCAATCAATGGATTTGCAACCTGTCCGATAATGAGTGGCACTTTTCAGGGTTCGGCGATTAACAGCCCACTACCTCAAGAACATACTGATGACCTGTGTGAGGCTTGACTGCGCTGATAACAAGGCAAATGAATAGAATAAAGCATAATAGAAAAGTAAGCAATGAAAGTGACAGGAATAGAATAAGCAAATTGCCAAAGTTGCTCGAACTCTGTCTTTTACAAATATCTACATCTGTGAATAGGGACGTCTTGTGGAGTTCCACCTATAGTAATAGCTGGATCACCATCGGGAATAATGGTCAACGAGCTCCGAATACGAGTCTCCTGTGTGGCCCCACTGCTCTTTATGGCAACATCGTGCCTAGCTTGGACTGAGCCTCGATAATCGTCTACCAAGCTGCAAGGGGTATACAAATGAGCAGGGATCATGGGGTGGACATTGTATGAAACAAGAACCAATAAGTTTTTCTTTTTCTTAGCAATACGGAAATAGCTAATTGTAAGAGCCGAGAAGAGGAAGGGAAATCAGGGGAATGAAAATGAAAGAAAGGGGTTCGGATCCCAAAGGCAATTAAACCACAAGAGAACAGTATATAACGCTCTTGACAAAACGCTGTAGACTATATCCCCTTGTACTTCAGCCTCGCCTCGGACTTACTGTTAAGTACACTCCTCCTAAGTGGTCACAGCATTACCTACATATATCGTTGCCATGAGGTTCCATTTTTCCGCAGCTGTTTCCCTGCTTTCGGGCATGAACCCTGCGTTCGCGGCTGGCCTTCATTCGCCACAGCCCTCCGACATAGCCGTGGCAAATGATAGCCTTCTACAATGCATACGGGGTGCGTTGAACGAGCACCTAAGAGACTATCGTATTGTGACTCCGGATAAGGAGGAGTACGAGACTGTCTCGACTGGCGTCATTCTGTTAGTTTAGCCTTTCGAAGGAGCCCTGAGCTGAGCTGACTTTGAGAAGAGTTCCTGAATATCCAGCAGTAGTAACGTATGCCACTGATATCAACGAAGTTGTCAGGCTTGTCAAATGTGGCTATGACAATGGATACACTGTTACGCCGCGGTCTGGAGCCCATCAGTATGGAAATCTCTACTAGGATATATTCACACGCAATTGTTGACTTTGGAAACAGCTTCGAGAATTGGTCCGCTCTCAACGGAACATTGGTTGTCGATATCTCGCATATTGACTACGTCGAACCCTCGTCCGACTTGAACACAGCTGCTGTGGGTGCGGGTGCGAGACTAGGCACTGTGTACAGTATCCTCGGCAAGCACGGCCGCACCTGGATTGCAGGAATCTGTCCGTCAGTTGGGCTAGGCGGCTACATCAGTGTCGGAGGATATAATATGCAAATGCGCAAGTATGGCCTTGCCGTTGACTGGGTGGAGTCCGCTACAGTTGTCCTGGCGAATGGAACCATAGTCACTACATCGGAGACAGAGAACTCAGATCTTTGGTGGGCTATGAGAGGGGGAGGCACATTCGGCCTGACGGTGGAGGTCGTATTAAAACTCACAACCATACCTCGGTCGGCCATGCTGTCATTGAATGCTCCCAAGGATGGACGTCTTGAGACTCTGAAGAAATTCGTCAACTGGGCGCCTAACCAAGACCCTCTTTTCAACTCACAGCTAAATTTATATGGCGATCGTGCCAATGTTCTCGGCTGGTATATAGGAGAGTCAAAGGACTCACTGAACGCTCTTATGCATGGATCTGGTCTCCTCACCATTCCAGGAGCACAGTATAACATCAGCGGAAACTGCAGTACCGAAAACTCGCGTAACTTTTGGGTATACACGCAGCAGACTTGCACGGATGACGAGGTAGCCCACCAGATCAGCAATGCTCTCTACAACGTTGTCCCAGATGATATCATGCCTATCAACAACGTCTCGTACGGCTTTGACAATACGCCTGCTCTGCCAAATGAGCCGCAGGCGATGCTCTGGCCTCACCTGGGAATCGTGGAGAAGACTTACATTCAACAGCTTGGCCGTTCCGGGCTCACCGATGAGGATCTGCAGTGGATAGTTGAGAAGACTGGATATTTACCAGCAGAGCTAAATGTCTGGGGAGAAATTACCACATTCAATTTGTCCAGCGCTCCGCCGTCAAACAGCGCATTTCCCTGGTTTGAGGAGGCGGAAATCATGTATCGTTTCGAAGTGACAAGGGTTGAGAATGAGCTTGTAATGCAGGAAGGGCAGCGATTCATAGATGAGCTGGATCAACTGATGCTCGCGAGACTAGGGTATGATTTCTATCGATTTACCTAGCATGTATTCACCTTACTAACAGAACCCTGTGACAGGAGCGCCTCCTACGCAGGCTATATCGATGCTAAGATCAAGACCGACCCCCACTACGCCTATTGGGGCAAGAACGTCGATCGCCTGGCGGAGGTGAAGGCTGCATATGATTCGAAAGACCTGTTCAGCAACCCATTTTCTATTCGCCCGAAAGTTTAGAGATATCGAATGCAGCGGATGAACGTGGCGGGGAAGTGGGTGCCCTATCTAGAACGCTTCGTTGAAGGCTGGAAGCCTCACCATGATAGATATGCCTCTGCAATACGCACATTCTGTTGGAATTTATTCCTGTTTATTACGGCATAAACCCCCAGGATATATTTAATGAACCCTAAATCAGTATCGCTGTCCTTGAACTTAGCGTAGTACCACCCAGCCGAAATGCAGTCACTAGCTTGGAATATGATTGCAAGGCCACGATACGGGTATGAGAAAAGAATAGTCTAAGCTGCTCTTGCAAACAGCTCGTAGTACATGCTGAACCTAACTTCTGATGTTATACCAGCCTCCGCTAGCACCTACCGAGTCACTGGTGAAGGCAGTAAATACATGAACACTAGCATACTACAGATTACGCCATAGATAGATAGATACATACTGAGCGGTCAGAGATGATATGGAGCAGACTCGTTACCAACTAACTCCCCCACCTGATTGACCAAATCGACCAACTCCTCATCCAACGGGCCCGCCTCGACCGCGTCTAGATTGGCCTCGACCTGAGCTAAGCTTGATGCACCAATGAGCACAGCATCTCCGTGCTGGTAGCTCAAGGCCGAATGGTAGATCGTCCAGCGTAACGCCAATGCGTGCCCACTTATCCCAGCTGCTTCAGCCGCCTTTGCCGTTCTCTGGGCTGCTGCAAGGACTGCTGGTTTACAGTATGTGTTTTGGTAGTTTTTACCCATCTTGGTCTAATAGGATTTCAGCATCAGTGTCTTCGACTATTACAACGGTCAGAGACTTACACTTTTGTCCCATCGTGAACCGGGCTGGGCAGTCTCTGGCGAAACCTTTCCCGTGAAGAGACCTGCTGCTGCGGGACTAGTATGCCACAAGGAAAGTTTAGATCAACCATATATTTGTACTGTCGTTTCAAATGATATCTTACCTATACGCATAGAAAGCTATCCCGTGCCGTCGAAGAAGGGGGAACAGATGTTTTTCTGCGGATCGTATAATTGCATTATAGCGGCCCTGGTATACACTAGGCTTCACTAGACCATGCTTCTCACAGATAGTCAGGATCTCATCAACTTCCTCCGCGGTATAGTTACTCAACCCAAATCGAGCAAATTTCCCCGCGCGGTACTCAGCATCTATCGCTCTGCAAGTTTCCTCGAATGGTGTAGCACGGTCTGGCGTATGTAGATACATAATATCTACCTTGTCTATCCTGAGTGATGCTAGGGAATCGGCAATACTTTCTTTAATTTTTTCAGCACGATGGGATCCAGGCTCCCAGGAATAGACTTTGGTAGAGACAGTAGCCCAAGAAGGAACTTCCAGCTCCCCCAAAAGCTTTTCAGCAGTACCTGGGGACCCCACTGGATAGGCCCTAGCAGTGTCTAGCATGTTTATGTTTCTCGCCTGCAAGGTGGTAAGGACAGGAGATGCAGTTGCCTCATCGCAGAATTTGGCTTGGGGGGTCCCTGTACCGAAGGTGGCGGTGCCAAAAACAATGTGTGGATGCTCCGTTGGTGCCATGGTTGATTGAAGATCGTAATGAGGGAAATCTCTATCAGCAGATGTGTAAATAAATCGATTTAAAAGCCGCCTGCTTTGCAGCTATTAGAGAGCGTCTTCTGGCCTTCTCGGGGATCGGGTCACGGGCTCGCTCGATCGTCGGTTTCAGCCAGCAGCTACCTCCACCGACGGTCAAGGTATCCCCGATCGTGTGTAGGATCAGACGCGAATGTGACACATGCCATTGTGACACCGTGCGCAGCGAGGTTGAAAATCTACGGCTGCAGCGGCTTCTGGTGGTCTCCACCTTCGGTTGATCAAGATCGACAGTTCCTCGCATCAAACAAGTCTCCATCTGATCTCATTTCGCTTGTGGATCTCGGGTATTCTGGTTTAATCCACTGAACTACCATCTAGGTTAATCATCGACCACATACTGAACTACTATTATGAATAGCTTGTATTTGGATACATCCTTGCGGTCATATCGAAATGTGATACACAATATCCTAGTAAAAGGGGCAAAAGGAAGCCTTGAACAGTACTAAGAGATATATTATATAATGAAAACTCTGTAGAAGAGCATTGAAAGGGAGGATATTTAATTTTAAAATTATGAGAGTCTTTAAAAAACGATTATCTGTCGAATGTTGCTGAAAGTTGTAAGCTCTTACACCCAGGGCTTTGTCCAAGAAGCTCTGTGACTCGAGACAAACGTGACTATTGTTTGCACTGTTTGTACGTAGCTCGGCCACTCACCGTGTCCTTGGTAAGCAGACCCACCCGCCCTACCATTCAAGCTTCTATATACCACCACCATGCCTGATTCCTATTCTAATATTGAGACACGTATCTTGAAGGCCTGTGAAGTTGCTAAGAGGCAAGAAAACCCAATATCTCTGCGTTGTCGCGTGAATTCGATGCTCCTTATCAACGACTCCGAGTACGTATTCTTAGCCGAGCAACTCGAAGCACACGTCCTATCTCTACCAAGACCCTTGATAATATGCAAGAGAAGGCATTAATCTGTTAGATTGGCCAGCTAGATAATCTATATACTCTACCCCACCGGGAATAATTGAGCAGAGTGCATACCAGATACTGTAGCGGAATATAAACGGCAGACTATCTTGTACAGTTGACAAACACTGGGTTTATCACTTTATTAAACGCTTACCAGAGGAGTTTAAACTGGTCCAGGAGAAGCTACGAGATAGAAATTGTCTTAAAGCCGAATATATAGGCTTTTTTTCAGTATTGGTATGACTGCTTAGAGCAGTTTATTACGCAGATCCCACGCAAGAATATTTATAACTTTGATAAAACTTTCTAAATAGACAAGAAAAGAGCCAAAATGTTATGGCTGTAAAAGATAATCTAACTGGAGAGATAGAATAGTTAGTCTCTATACTTATATTTTGTAGCTGACGGCTTTACTTTTATACTATATTTTATCTTTAAAGATGGCAGGGGTGAGGGCTCGGGGAGGCGGGCTAGCAGAGCTAATACAACAGGATCAGGATCAAGCGGGAAGATAAGCCGTCAGAATCACATGACGAAACGGTGAGGTCAGGCAGAACAAGCAGGCGGTTCGGGCTGGCACCGTGACAAAAGAAGTATATTATCTTAAGCAATAGTATAGTTTAAATATTCTAGAGAAATACTATATAGCTTTATCTTCTAAAGTCTATACTGGTCTTGGCTGATTTAATACTTCTATTATTATACAAAATACTGTGTCTCTAGAAAAGATAAAGCTTAACTACTACATTTTGGTAGCCACAAGTCATATATATATATCTTAAATTTGCGGGCAATATTATATTATGTCTTACTGCTTTCCTTACAATATATCTTATTCAGTCTCCTAACGGACAATCTTTTTAGATCTATAAATACTTTATCGCAAAAGAAATATCTATCTCACTCAGATGAAGATATTATGCCTGGGTATTTGGGCTAGAGTTCTGCTGACCAGTTAGCTGCGCTTCCGTAGCGAGGGTTAAATATGAGTGTCAGAATCCACTAAGACTTGATAACAAAGCACCGTGAGGGTGGTCTAATCCAAGGTCCCATCGAAGATGCGAATATTAATCTGTGAATAGGTCAGGTCCAACAGACCAGGCCTATCAAGTACATATACTCAATAGTTAAAAGAGTACAAGCGAGTTGGTGTTGGTCTATTGGTACTAAAGGTAACTCTGTAGAGACCCTTTTAAATTTTAGAGTCAAGAATATCTTTTATAACTAGTTGTAGACTAGATCACCTTTATAAAGATATAGTCTCTAGAAGGTCAACTATGCAATAACTCGGCCTGTGGGCGAGGAGCACGTGTGCTGAGAAAAACCCTCCCAGAAACCCGCTAAAACTGAAGCATCCCGCAAAGCTAGGCCGCTTAACGCCGGTTAGATCTTAATTACATTAGATGGCTGGACCAGCAATGAAACTAGAGTACATGAATTTCGTAAAGAACAGGTAAAAGGAAAGAAGCAGAAAAGCAAAACAAGACCGATGTCAAAGGCACGGTGCCCACTCACGAGTGGCGTCAAACTTGGCCCGAGCTTTCTTCTTCAAATCCGCGAGCAAGGGAGAAACCAGGCATATATCCCCCGCCCGACTTCCATTCGCCGTGTTACTATATTGTTGATTAAGGTTTTGTATTATCGCTCCAAATTTGGTGAGCTCAATTCGAAGAAGATTTGCCTGCAAAACTTTCTCTTCAGCATGGTCAAGCTGATATGACCCAAGGGACAACCGAACAGATGTGCGAGACTGTCTCCCTTCAGTATCAAATCCACTCATTACCTGTTCAAAGGCCTCAAGAATGTGAATCAGAAGGGTAGTTAATTCCACCAGTAGAAGGATTCCTCGTTTATGATGGGGGCTGGTACACTCAAGTACCGAGATACAGACAGCCATGCTAGCCTTGTGAGTTATGAGGAACTCGTCAAACGGCACAGTATCTAACTGTGTTCGAGTACCAAGGTCAGCAAGCTTCTCAGCTATGGTTTTTTGACAGCAGCAGGTGGCGCCAAAGATTGAGGTACTAGATGTCGGGGTCGATAAACTAGGGGGCGTAGCTAAAGCAGTAGGGAGAGGGGCGAAACCGAGTAGGCTGCTCGAGTCTGCCAGCAGGGGGTTGGTTAGGGTAAAGTGGGTATCAATGTCGATATTCTTGTTCGGGAAGGAAGACGTGGGGAACGTATAGTCCCAGTCTTGGAGTAACTCTCCAGGAATGCTTGAAATAGTCGAGGGTGAAAATGGCTCTTGCAAAGAAGGACTGCGGTGAAAATTGTTGTCATTCGGCTTATGTCGTGCACGTTTGATACCCCGTAAGGACACTCCATACACGCAGCACAGTTTGCGGCTCTGGCAGCGATGACATGATGGCCTGTCCCGGGAGCACTTGACTTTCGCGGCATTACAACTGTCACACGAATTTCGAAGAGGGGGGTCGTCTGTGCTTGCCATGGTCGAGGTATTCATGCTAGCCGTGGATCCCGCTATTACTGGGAGCGACGCCAATGTATCATCCAGGATAGGCCTCGTTGTGGCAGGGGAAGGAAGTGAGCCGGGCACAGGTTTGATCCAGGTGCGTGAGCTCATCATTGAAATGCACTCTTCTTCGGAAAGGGAGTACAAGTCTCTTTGCAAGAGGGTGTCGTGAAATTTTCTCAGTCCTTGTTTTTCTTTTTCTCTTGGTGATTAAGTTCAAGCGGCATGAAATATTGATTCCCTTTTTCAGTGATACAATGTACCGTAGTGATTGTATGTAGGTAGCTTTCTTAACAGGTCATCTAGGGGAATTCGATTTGGGCGGGTGACGCATGCGCTGTACTCCACTGTTTTCCACAGCTGCGCGTGATATGTAGGGCATAGATCCCATTGTCTTGAGACTTGTTCCTCGGCTCTTCCTTATTCCCTGTGCAATACATTATATGTCTTGTGCAGTGGATGGATCAGGAGCGTGGGTCTAGGCTCAAGAAGACAATGTGTGGCTGGCTGAGCCCGGTGGAAGATCTACACCGTGCCAGAGGACTGGGCACTTGGAGTCCCAAGGCATTTATCTTCAACCAATCAGGCAGTGTCCATAAATAAACTGGTCTTGCAGCTGCCGAAGATAGCAATTAACTAGAGATCAACTTACAGTGCTTCTCATTCGAGTAGGCGTACAAGGCGTATCGCGCAACTACACTGCACGGGGTCGCCTCGCTCTTGCACTATTGGCTGGGCATACAGCTCTTCTATTACAAAAGGAAAAGTTGTAGAGACTGCGCTCACAAGGAAGCATTTAGCGGTGTAGATATCCTTTATTCATCTAGGCAGCTGCAAGAGATCGAATGTATTTTTGATGGGCCCCATTACCGTGACACCTCAAAGCTGCTTCATGCCGAGCAATGGACAGCCATGAAAACAGAGCGAGCTATTACACTTCCCATCACTCTAATTCTGTGATAGTGGACTCACCAAATGAAGCACAGGAAAATGGCGACCAGGGTCACAAGAAAAAGCAGGACTATGTCTATTGATAAAGGAGCTGAGAGCTCCTTCCATCACAGAGTGTCCCCTAACATCTCTCGCAGGACGGGACTCCCTGTGATATCAAATACCTTCTTGATATAATCTGTCTCTAAGGAAAAGGGCTGACCGATAACATTCGGCACATATCGCTTGGCTAACTTCGCCATCTCGCCTTTCCAGCCAACGAGGCCAGAGCTAAGTAAAAACGAACGGTACACGTCCACACTACCTTTTAAATGACTGGAATGGAATGGTAAATCGATTCCTTGGAGAGGAATAGTTGCTGCACCACGTTGAAGCTTGATTGGACCAGGAAGCGTCCTACTCTCATGTAGGAGCCCAGTTATTACACCGTGAATACCGTGAGGAGACTCTGGAGGTTCTTGTTCCGTCACACACTGGAGTAGATAATCACCGTGCGCGATAAGGTCCAGAACTTTCCCAAGAACGTAAAGGTTTGGAATCTATAGAAGGATGAGCTCTTTATATCGCTTTTCAGCTGTAGGACAGGCTTGTTTCCTGCACTTACGCTACCTGTGCAGACGTACTGCTCTCCTTCAATGTTGAAGTTGGCAACTTCCAGCAACTGCCCGCTCTCAGCAGAGATTGCGCGGACAATACGGAAAAGATCATCAGGTGTAAAATCTGCACAAATTAGACCGTGCGCATTGAAGGTAAGCGATCGCACACTTACCTTTTCCAACACGTGTTGGGTTTATGGCAACCATCCCGAAACTGGGACCATCCTTGGGCCCCGCTGTCGCAGAAGTATCCATTATAAGCCCACGGTAAAAGGCAATCTGGGCAATGGACCAATTTGAAGCACCCTCTAATAGAGCACTCAACGCCCCTAGCTCACCCAGGGAGTGACCACCGTACATGGATCCCTCTTGAACATAACCTTTAGCCTTGAGCACGGCAAACGTGGCCGCTTCCAGTACGAGAATTGCAGGCTGGGTGAACATGGTTGCGAACAGCAGGCCACGGGGATCTGAGAAAGTGTAGGACGTAGACTTGGAAGTCAGCGGAAGAATAGGTCTCTGCGTGGTACTCCCGTCCGGCAGGGTCATGGTTGTCACCATGGACAGGTAGTTCTCTCTGATGGCTCGCCCCTTCTTCCCTCCGAAATGCACCGTGAGGCTTTTCGGGTTATTTTTAACAATTTCAAGTAAAGACCACCCTGTGAACGATTGCCCACATATTAGCGATTGTGACCAGCAATCCTATGCCATGTATACCTTGTTAAGCCCCACTTACCGTAAGTATTCTTGAAAGATTCATCAACACTATCCCAAATGGCTCTTGCCACCGAGCTACGGTTGTACAGATCCATTCCCATGCCCATGGATGCGCTGCCCTGGCCTGTGAACAAATAGGCTGTTCCAGGTTGTTCGACTTCCGCAGAAGCTTCCACGACCCTTCGACCATCGTCTTTTCGATTCACTTCAATCTTGAAGCGCATCCTTCCTTGGACCATCGCAACGTGTTGCAGCCTGACCTCTAGGGACTCCAAAGGCAAGACCATATCCACAAACGATGCCTCAAACCCCTTGATCCTTTGCCGGTCCCCGTCTAAAACCAGGTAATCAAGAGCAGTAGCAGCAATGGCAGATGTATACATGCCATGGCAGATTGTCCCTGGCAGATTTGCGAGCCTTGCAAAAATCCATGATACATGAATCGGGTTGTAGTCCCGTGAAACCTGGCTATACCACTGGTTCTCTGCTGGCATTTGTACGTTGATGGAAGACCTTCCAGACCAGCCTGGCCTTTCCAAATCCGTATGAGCTCGTGTCACCAGTGTCCCTTTGCGCTCAAGAAAGTCGAGGACAGGGTTTCCTCGACATGCACCATATTGGAATTCCACGGAACCAATCTTCCGCTCTGCTCCCGTTCCAGAGACGACGCAGACGGCACCTTGGACTTGCAAGCTTGCATACTTGGCCGGGCTTTGGTAGGTAACCAGGGATTCCAAGTTGAACGCAACTCGATGTCCGATGAGCGGACCAGAGTCATTATCAAGATGAAGCCACTCCCTATCACGAAGGACAGCCTCATCCTCATCTGACGATACTTGGACAACCCATTTAGGATGCCTGGTACGTCTAAACGCCGTCTCATAGTCATTAAACTCGCCTCGAAAGAGGAATTCAGATGTCACTTTCATTACTTCCTCGCCCGCTCTGTAAATGAGAGCTTCCACCTGAACAGACTTGCCAGCATTTTCGATTGTGACGGCGTTAACACGTGCGCTCGATGTGACCGTATCACCCAAAGTTAACGGCGTGGCACCTTCAACGTACTCAAATCTATTCGAGCGATGAACAAGAGCTAGAATATCACCGTCTATATCCTTGAGCACAAGTGGTTGGGCCAAGGATTCCCAGGCAGCCAGGATACCTATAGTAATGGGAAGTGCAGCAGAGCTCGAGAACGCGAGGTCTTTATTCTCAAAGGCACGCCCAGTCACTAAGGATAGATCGCTCAGCAGGCGTCGGGTCAAGGTCATCTCCCGGCCTTGGAACGTTGAATTGACCCTCAACTGCGGATCGATCTCTCTCCCAAACCATATATGACTGTAGAACGACTTGATACGTTCATTTCGACCTCCCATAACTTCGCTTATGCCCCGACTATTTTTGTTGACAATGTATCTAAGTGGCAAAACGGCCGATTCAAGACCATGTGCCCTGGGGTGATGTATATCCACTGCAAGGCTTTCACCGTCATAGCACCGAATTTTAATGCATTGCCCTGATTCGGGGTCAGATGATGTTGGTACGACTACCTCCGAAGTTTCATAATTGTAATGCTTGGCTATTTCCCTGCTGGAGTCAAGCAGTGAGCGGAAAGGATTTTCCTTGCGTTTATAGTCTTGCATAATGTATTCGACAGACAGCAGTGTTCGGACGGTGTTCAGAGTGGTATCAAGAGATTGTTCTAGGCTGTTGGATCCCACGGAGGTCTCGCTCTCAATTTCAGAAACATCAGACGCTACCCCACTAGACGTAGCAGAACAGGAATCAGGAGTCCGAGAGCGGCTGGTCTGTGTATGGAGGACATCCGTTCGTCGACCGGCTTTCTGAATTAGATCCAGTACACCACCCATGATCCCGTCCAAGATATCCCGAGCAGACTCATCCGATCGCGTGGAGTGTTGAGCTGCAACTGGGCCATGGAGCACACAAACCCGACCGGCATCCTGGTTGATGACGGCGTCAAGATCCTCGGACTGCCAGAGCGAGTCTTTCTTGAAGTAAAACTCGAAATTTTCGTCTAGGGCTGGGATGAAATTGACGGGCTTCTGTCCAGACTCCTGACACCTAGCTAAGAAAAAAGATGCATCCTCTGGACTGAGACGGTAGGAGGATGCAGAAGGGCAGACCTTCAAAAAGTATTCCAGGAAGCCTTCCGGATCGTCCTCTAACGACGATGTGGGTGCCGCTTTTCCTTGGTGATCCACCAGTCGTTCCCATGTCCTGGAGGCGATGTCTCGGACAAAACGGACGTACGACTTGTCAATCCACCGTTTTTGATGATGAATATACATCAGCTCAACCAGCCGGTGTAGAACCTCAGCGTATGTCATCTGGTAAATGTCAACCACGTTACCCTTCGAGTCGCGGCAGAACCAAGGTTTTGCGTAATCGGCGTCGAGCCGTTCAATTATGTACTTTCTGTTCCTTTGCAGATAGGCAGCACGTTCCTTTCTTGGAAGCTTGAAGACATCTTTATCCATCTCTGACCATAGCATGACCCCGCGGTTTGCAATCTTGTGGATGGGCTCACCCATCTCTGATAGTACAGTGACAATGCCCCCCGCGGAGCCAGTGTAGGTTCTCTCCCATTCGTTATCCGGTATCCCTGGTGTGCTACATATGAGCTCCTTCACTCCGCGGGATGTGTGTGCTTCCCGGGCGACCATCATGCGACTGCCCACTAAGACCCCATCGAAAGGCATCTGGGGGTACCCGAGTGCGACTGACCATGCGCCCGTTAGGTAAGGGTAGATATCTTCTGCATTGCCAAATCCACTTCCCGCTACCAGATATACATTTGAACACCTGCGTATTGCGGCATACATGCGGAGGATAGGCTCGTGGAAGTCCTCAAAGGAATGGTGGCCACCAGCGCGCCCGCCCGTCCATTGCATGATAATTGGAAACTCCGGGCGTGTTCTTGCAATATCAAGCACCTGCCTTATAGCCGTAAGAGAACCAGGCTTTAGGGAAATATGCTGAATCCTTAAAGAGTCTATATACTCAGTGACTATTTCAGGAGACGGCACCCCCGCGCCGATTGTCAGGCCATGGATGGGATACTGGTTCCGGGAGAGATGCTGTAATAGAGGAATCTGCCAGCTAATTGCCTTCGGGTTTGCGTATATTAAGTTCACTGTGACGCCCTGCCCCTTGGGAATGCTTTGAATGACTTTTATGATCGCGGCCGAGAGATTCTCTGCCTTATGATAGCCTCCGCCAGCCAGCTCCACATGATACCCAGCGTTAAGGATTGCGGAAACGACATCCCAGTGGACTGTAGTCGGTGTCATGCCAGCAACCATAACGGGGGGTTTACCCAGCAGCTCCGTCAGCCGTGTCCTTATTTGAACAGGACCGGAATCCGTTGGAGATAGACGAGGTTGGAATCTCTGGCCCCACGGTTGGACTTTCGTGGACGTCTCCAGCAGGGATGGTGAAAGCAGATCTAATATGGTCCCCATCTCATCATCCCGTGTATCTATGTGAAGGGCGTTTATTATTCGCACCCCACGTCCATCTGTATTCGCCTTGGCTAATGTAGCCATGGCAGGATCAAAGGCAACAATGTGGGTTATTGCGTCCGTGGGGGCCAGGGTGGCGGGCCAGTCGCATATCTCGAGCAGGATAGCATCTATCAACATCGGAATTAGGTTCGCAGTCGGCGCCTGTCGGATATCGTGTCCAGTCATTGTATGACGAACACACACCCGGAGCTGCGCTCCGACTATCACTTTGTCCTTGAATCGCATTTTCAACTCCGTTGCAATTTCCTCCAGGTGTGATGTATGGAACGGGACGCTGATAGGAAGAAATTGGTGACTGAATACCGGCTTTCGACTGCTAAAGGGAACCCGGCTCTGATCCTCGCTGGTGGCAGCTATCGAAGTCAAGTAACTGTCTAAGTGTGCTAACGAGGCCACAGGCCCACCGATTACGAAGCGATCTCGCATATTCACAACGCTGATCTGTGCGTGTCCGACGGGATCGAGGCCCTGGTTGACCTGAGCTATAATGGACTCTACCTTAGCTCGTTGTATTCCACTGATATCGAGCATGCAGGACGGAGTCTCTTGGGCGTTTGCAGGGACGGAGGTACGCATTGTAGATCTCTGACATCCCAATCCGATCCAAAACAAAAGTTCCATGGCCATTTCAGCGTAATGATAGAATGACGCCCATGTGTCCGACAATGCCACAGCCACAGCAGTCAATAGACCCTGCGAATGGCCAGTGATGCTGCTGAAATGGGACCCGAACTGCCCCGGGGTAAGGCTCAAGAGTTGGCATGAAACCGCGTACCGGGCTAATCCAAGCAGGCCTACGATAGGCATACTCACGGGCGCCTCGGCCATATCTGTCGGGTTTGGGATAGTTTCAGGATCTCGCATCCAAGCTTCTACATCCAAAGAACGACCATTAAGTTGCATCCTAGACTCAGGGCACTGGGAGAGCTCATAAAGCCGGGAACCAGTGATTCGCAAAAGTTCGACTAGGAAGGGCTGGTAGGTGTTGTAAAGTTCTCTCAGCTCCTGGATGCATGATGTATTGCTGGCACCCTGGCCTCCAAAAATGCCTGCCAGCTGGAACTCGCCTCGCATTGTTTCCTGTAAAAGTGCGCTTCCAGGAGCTTCGTAAGTTCCGGGCGTTGCGCAAGCCGCGTGATAGTACGTCCGAAGCCATCTTCGGCGTTCAGCTGGACTCGCCGTAATCTGGGATACAACAGCATGTATCTCCGAGTCCTGCAGGAACTTGTGGTCGATTGCCTGGGCAAGTGAGCGGAGTGCTGATGAAGGGGTTTCTTCCTGGCCGAGTAAAAACTGTAGAAAACATAACGATAGCTCAGCTCCACTGCTGGGAGTTTGTTCGGCTTTATCGTCTGCGGAGAGGTGAACGAGGGACCAAAGAAAGTTGTCACGTTGGATTTTGAGAATGTGCAAATCCACAGGATCACTAATAGACAAAACGACGTGTACATCCTTAAACAATAGGGAAAGCCCGTCCTTGATCTCGGCCAGTGAGATGCGAGCCCGCTCAGAACCAACGTCAAAAGGCAATGATGGAACTGTGCTCCAGGAAGGGATCATTTTAGTTGTTGAGATGGCTCCGATGTGCGAGCCCTTGGATACAGAGATTGGGAGTAACGCGCAGGGCTAATCATAAGCCACGGGTATGTTGCTTATTAGTTCTATGGGTCATGCCCCTACTCAGCATACTTGCCTCGACCCAAGAAGAGCCAGACAGTCCTGATGAACGGTGAATATGATATCGATTGGGACAGCTATTCCGGGTTGAGTTTGCTCAAACTTCGGATAGTGCATCGCATCACCGACGGTATTTGGCCATATGGGGACAATGTGCACCGGCTCCTCTTTTGGGTACTGTCTGATTTTGCATGATTCGATTCGCCATGGCGGCCTCATGTGGGATGCCCGGCGTTCGGTCTCTACGGACTTCGGTATTGTGCCGAAGTCGCCGATCATGAGGCCAGTGACAGATCACATCTGAAATATATTCAATCTTTCCGCTCACGGTGACCGGATGCCCACTGCATATACCATGCAGATCCCCGACCGGTGGGTCTGAAATCAGAGAACCCTCAGTAATTTGATTCAAAAGAAAGAAAACTTGAGCTCATACTTAAGAGAAACATATCAATACGCTCAGAGTGGCTCGCCTGCGAAGTGGTAATCACTTTATTCTGCCCTAAACCTTTGTTAGCGGTTTGTGTACGTACCCGCTAAAGGTGGATCTACAGATGGTTTCATACTCCCAACAGCCGGATGACCAAGAGTCACTGGCATTCAAGCTCCTGGTTGAGCTTTTGTCGTAAGTGGCAAATATAGTGACGCTGCCCAGAATCTAAGAGCTAATCTGTTGGGATAATGTGCCTCATACAGATACCATTTGGCATCTCCCGTACAATGGTGAGACTTCTTCCTGTGAAGGCAAGCTTGGAAGCATAGAATGATTGACAGCGACCAGGATCGAGACCCAAAATCAGCTATTGAACCGCGATCCACCTATCCATCGCATTGTGGAAGTCGGCCCTCGCACAACCTTAGCCACCATGGCGAAAAAGACTGCTGAACAACGACATGCCACACTTAACCCGTTGCAAAAATCAAAATACTCATTCCTTTCAGTTTCTGATAATTCTGAAGACATTTATTACGAGTACGAACAACAGGAGGCTCCTGATAAGGCTACAGAACCTTCCATCAAGAAGGAGAATGTAGTTGCCAAACTGGAGAAGCCTCCAGCACCGCGTCAAGCTAGCCAAGAAAGCATTTCCCTTTCTGATAATATACGTCGAGACCCTAGTCGCCAATTGGATCTCTCTGCGAATCACATTCTTCTTAGCATAGTTGCGGGAAGGCTTAAGAAGGCGTTTGACCAAGTTTCAACAGATTGCGCCATTCAGGACTGCTGTGGAGGTAAGACAAGGAAATGCTACTAATCTCTGTTAAGCCCAGACTGACGATCACGTTAAACAGGCAGGTCAACGCTGCAGAACGAGATAGTCGGTATGTTAGTGGCAGAGTTTGGGAGGCTGCCTGATGGAGCGGAGTATATGCCACTAAAAGGCTTGGGTGATGCTTTGCAAGCCGGATTTGCCGGTCAACCTGGCAAGCAAATGTCTGCGCTTCTCTCTAAATTCATAAATAGTGCAATGCCCGCTGGGTTTAACAAGAACGCAATTCATGATTATCTGGAATCTTCTTGGGGCCTGAGTCAGAGCCATTCTATTATCCCCATGTGTCTGGCAACAACAATGCAGCCTACAGCTCGACTCTCGTCTCGAAAGGATGCGGAAGAATATTTTGATACCATCATCTCACGCTATGCCTTATATGCCGGAATCTCATTTACCACCTCGCAAGTAACTGACAGGCGTGAGCCGTCGACTAACCACAACACGAATGTCAAGGCATCACAGGACCATTTGTTGAACCCAAAGCAGTTGAGCCAGTTAGCGGCGTTTGCCACTTACAACCCGACCCATGACCATGGCCGACTAGAGGAACTCACAGTATCCGCCGGGGAGATGACAGAGCGGCTTGCTGAGCTGCAGGCGGAGCTTGGTGAGCAGTTTCTCGATGGGATCAAGCCAGCGTTCGATTTGCGCAAGGCCCGCCACTATGATTCCTGGTGGAATTGGGTAAGGGTGGATTTAATCGAACGGCTCGGACGAGTTGAGAGTTCTACTGTAGAGTCCTTGCCGCACGAAGATGACGATTTCCGCCATATATTGAACCGGTGGGAGCCTAGCTGCACCGATATATTGAAGAGTTGTTTATCCAACCCTCGTATATCTTCAACGCACCTGGCGCTTTGCCGCCAGGTATTGCAACTCTCTGAGAAGGCAGAGCTTGCTGATCCAGTCTTCATATATAAAAAGCTAGCTCTCGCTCCCAAGACAGTTATCACCCCAGACGGTGCGGTGCACACGGTAGAAATACCACGCGAGACCTCCAATTATCCAGAGCTTTCTCGCAAGATGCGGCCATCCTCCTCTGGTACATGCATGCCATTCGTTAACGTTCAAACGCGCACAGAACTATCCGACTTTACATACGATGTTGAGGCAACTAGGATTCTGGCTGAAACGATGAACGATGGTGCAATAAGGGGATTTACATACGCTGGGAAGTCTGCTCTGGTGACCGGAGCTGGAACGGGTTCCATCGGCGCCGAAGTTGTGAAGGGATTACTTAGTGGCGGTGCTCATGTCGTTGTCACCACTAGTCGGCCAATCTCCACCAGTGGACAGGCCTTCCAGGACATGTACAAGGCATACGCTGGACGGGGCGCAAAACTCAGTGTCGTACCGATGAACCAGGGAAGCCAGCAAGACTGCGAGGCCCTTGTTGAATATATCTATGGGCCAGAGTCTCCCACGGGCGGAGATCTTGATTTCGTTCTTCCTTTCGCTGCCCTCAACCAGGTTGGTGAAATACACATGCTAGATGACCGTGCCGAGCTGGCCCTTCGCACAATGCTCGTGAACCTCCTTCGCATCCTGGGCTGCATACGAAGGGAAAAGGAGCAGCGGAAAATACTCAACAAGCCTACCCTGGCGATCCTTCCTATGACATGTAACGAGGGCACTATTGGTGCTGATGGGCTATATCCGGAGTCGAAAATTGCGTTACGTTCTCTGTTCAACCGCTTTTACTCGGAAAGCTGGGCCGACTATTTGAACGTATGCGGTGCGGCTATTGGATGGACCCGGGGTACAGGCATTATGCAGCCTCTGAACAACATCTCCGAAGAAATCGAGAAGCTTGGAGTCATCACCTTCACACCTGCAGAAACCGCATTCAACATTCTCTCCTTGATGACACCAGATATGATCGCTATGTCGGAAGAACGGCCGCTACTCGTAGATATGGCAGCTGGTTTGCGTGAGATGTGGCATGTAAAGGAACATATCTCCAATGCCTTCCGCACCGTCGAGAAAAAGCAAAAACTGCAGAGAGCATTGCAGGCAGAGAAAATACGCCATGAAGAGATTCTGTGCGGCCAGGCCGAACACGCTTCACCCGCAACAGCCCACTCCCTCCGACGAGCCCACATACAGTTGCCTTTCCCAGATCTTCCTCACTATGACGCGGTAACTGCCAACTTGCCGGAACTGGAGGGCATGGTAGATCTTTCCAGCACCGTGGTCGTGGTTGGTTACTCCGAGCTAGGTCCTTGGGGGAACTCCCATACACGCTGGGAGATAGAACACCAAGGGAAGTTCTCTTTAGAAGGCTACGTGCAAATTGCCTGGACTATGGGCTTAATCAAGCACTTTTCGGGTGAGATCAAAGGGCAGGCCTATGCGGGCTGGGTCGACGGACGCACCAACGAACCGGTTCATGAAGAAGAGATACCCCAGAAGTACAATGATTACATCATGAGCCATGTTGGCCTACGAATGGTCGAGCCAGAAGGAGCTTTCGGATATGACCCAGCGAGGAAGGAAACACTACATGAAGTTGTAGTGGAAGGAGACCTGCCGCCATTCGAATGCTCAAAGGCTGCTGCAGAGTCATTCAAGCGCCGTCACGGCGACAACGTCTCCATCTATCCTCTGTCAGAGGAAGAGTATCGGGTCATAGTAAAAAGTGGAACCACCTTCCTCATACCCAAAGCAACTGCTTTTGACACAGTGGTGGCTGGTCAGGTTCCAAAGGGCTGGGACCCTCTGCGATACGGTATACCTGAAGATATTGCACAGCAAGTCGACCGCCTCACACTTTATATGCTGTGCTGTATGTCAGAAGCGTTACTGTCAGCTGGTATCACAGATCCATATGAGCTATACAAATACATTCACGTTTCTGAGCTCATCAGCTGCCTTGGATCCGGAGGTGGACCACTTATCTCTACTCAACGCATGTTCCGAGACCGTTATATCGAAAAGCCTGTACAGAATGACGTTCTAGCAGAGACCTTCTATAACACGATCGGCGCCTGGATAAATATGTTGCTGTTCTCCTCAACTGGCCCACTGCGAACTCCTGTAGGAGCGTGTGCAACGGCGCTGGAGTCCCTGGACAGTGCATGCGAAGCAATACAGTCTGGAAAGTATAAAGTTGCCTTGGTTGGTGCGTCTGACGATTTTACGGAGGAGCCCTCGTTTGAGTTTGCACATATGAAGGCGACTGTGAATAGCAAGGAAGATCTGGACGCTGGCCGACTGCCGAGCGAGATGTCACGCCCTACTTCCACCTCTCGGAAAGGGTTCGTTGAGTCCGCCGGTAGTGGGGTTCAAATCCTTATGTCTGCACAACTTGCGATGGATATGGGGCTGCCTATCTACGGTATTGTCGCCCACACCCAGTTAGCCGGTGACCAGATAGGACGTTCAGTTCCTGCCCCAGGGAAAGGCCTCCTAAGCGCTGCGAGGGAAGCCATGGATTCTGAGAGTTCGAGGTTTGTTAACCTGAGCTATCGCCGTACGATGTTTCAACAGGAGATGACGGAGATCGAAAACTGGCATCGTACACAGGTTCTAGCTGGCAGGTCATCCTGTCACCTGGACGCTGTCCGCGCCTCCAGGGTGCAAGGAGCACAGCACCGATGGGCCAACAAACTCTGGCTTCAAGATCGTTCAATTTCTCCCATCAAAGCAGCACTCGCTACGTGGGGTCTGACTGTCGATGACATTAGGGTGGCCTCGCTGCACGGAACGTCAACCAAGGCTAATGATCTTAATGAAAGTGATGTGATCGATACCCAGATGACCCATTTGGGCCGGACATCGGGGAAGCCCTTACTGGCGGTCTGCCAGAAGAACCTAACGGGACATCCCAAAGGGCCAGCAGGAGCATGGCAACTTAATGGATGTTTCCAAATGCTCCAGACTGGTATTGTTCCAGGTAACCGAAATGCAGATAACGTCGATGAGCAGCTCCGGAAGTTTCACCACCTTGTCTATCCCTCGCGGACTATTCATCTGGACGAAATTAGAGCGACAATGGTGACCTCGTTCGGGTTCGGCCAAAAGGGTGCGATTGCCTTGGTTGTGTCTCCAAAGTACGTCTTTGCCGCGGTCTCACCAGCGGCGTACGACAACTACCGATCTCGTGCTACACGGCGTCAACAGTCAGCCAATCCAGCATTTGTGTCTGCACTCATCAATAACTCTGTAGTCAAGGTAAAGGCGGACTCACCATGGAAGAATCAAGAGGATCTTCGCCGGATGCTCCTAGACCCATATTGTCGCCTTTCGGAAGATGGATCACTTATTGCAAAGAAGCCCACTGTTGAGAGTGCCCAACAGGAACTACATCATCTAAAGAGCGAGGAATCGTCCGCAACCTGGGGCATGCAACGGAGCTCAAACTCTCTTTCCGGATCCGTCCAAGAAATGCTTGATTCCATATCCGCATCTTCACACGGTACATCTCCCGTCAGTGTGGGTATCGATATAGAGGACATCGCTGGTGTCAATATTGACGATCCCGTATTTTTGGAGCGGAATTACACCGCCCTTGAGAGAGAGCTCTGCTCCAGTTCGCCGAATCCTCGCGCTTCATACGCTGGGCGTTGGAGTGCGAAGGAAGCTGTCTTCAAGAGCTTACATATTCAATCGCGTGGCCCTGGAGCTGCGATGAAATCCATCGAGATCATCAGCGACTCGGGAATTCCAAAGGTCAAGGTAAGCATCTCCTGGTGTACTAATTCTTCTCCTTAGTCAACATGTCTACATATATAACTAATCAATCCTCACAACAGCTTCATGGCCCTGCTCTAGAAGCAGCGACCCAGAAAGGTATTAATCGGGTGGAGGTCAGCATCAGCCATGCTGCTGAAACGGTCGTTGCGATTGCTTTGGCACAGACCATTTGAGTGATGAAAGAGGCCCGATGAGGTGACTGATATTTACCCTCCATGCTAATCAAGCCGTGTGGACCGCTCGACCGTGAAGGGTTACGTTATGCGGCCCATGTAGATTATTTTATCCTACCAATGTCTTCTCTGAAGAAAGGAATTGTTACGGGACGAATAAGTTGTTCCAACCTAAGCGTGACTATTGAACAAGAAGTAGCTAATTGACAAGAATAACACGTCATACGAAATATTTGTGTGGTAAAGCTTTGGCAGCGATGCCTTAGGCAGAGTCTCCCATGATATAGGGCTGCCTGTAAGTCAGTCCCATAACACCACTATATTGACACTTCCTAATATAGTTATCTAAGTAAGAAATACAGGTAAAAATACCAAGTAGAAATTCGCGGACGGAGCTATAGCCAAGAATATAATTTGACAAGCTCTTAAAAATCACTAAGGTATAGAAGAAGTTAAAAGTTGAAGGAGTTAAGATCACCGCAGGGTTAAATATTGGAGTATTTCTAACTAGTCAGGAGACGCTGGTAAGTTACGGGAGTACCAGCAATGGCTGGAAGTCCTAGAAGGAATAAAACTAAATAGGGAACTATAGTTCTCTATTTAAATTAACAGCATACGATTTAACAGCATACGAAAGAGAGATATAATTAATAAAGCGAGATAAAGGAAGACTTCTATAATATATTTAAGGAGAAAAATAATACAGAAACAAAAAGAATCCACTAGCTTAGTAGAACGTAAGGTATATAGATTAATAGTAACTTTCCTCTCCCAGGAAAGTGATATGACCCGGCTACTCTATCAAAAGTTTGTACAGATCGCCGGAGAGGTCCTATTTATAACCGACTCTTGCTATATACCGTGGTATACGCAGTGTGCGGGATTGTTGATTAGATGATTGAATTGGTTGACTATCTAGTGGTGGAGGTTGCCTAGTAGGAGGCGGGAACTACAGTAATACGGTCTACTAGCGCAAGAACGGTGTAGGGGAACGGTGTACGGGGTAGATCAAGGAATCATAAGTGTGGATACAGAAAGGTGCTGAGATAGAAGCATCATAGTTTCCTCCTCCCCACTCCCCGCGATAAGACGTACCAGCCAAAGGCAGACAAGGTCATCAACCATTCGATCAACAGCATTCGTTGGCCTACTTGCGGTGTCACACCCTCTTCGGCGCTTCGGACGGCTTGGGCGACGCTAGTCTCCCAGTAGGTGGATTCTCCGGATGTAACATTTGGAGCTATTGTGCCGGGCCGTCAGGCTCCTGTCCCAGGAATCGAGGACGTAGCAGGGCCCACCATCGCCACTGTTCCACTACGGATCCTGATCCGCGGAACCGTCGACGAACTACTGCATCAGGTGCAGCGACAGGCAATAGACATGGTTCCGTTGCAGCAATACGGTTAGCAGCGTATTCGTCAAATTAGCCAGGATGCCAAATATGCGTGTGACTCTCAGACGGATTTCTTGATACATCCATCAATCGAGGACAGGACAGTCGAAAGCCCGGTCTTTGATAACGGGCTAAACGAGCAAGAGACGGGTTCTGGCTCAGAAAAACATATATGCTATGATGCCGCTGTGCGGCAGAACATTGAATCCACTATTCCCGAATAACCCATGGATCAGCCAATTCGAATTCCCGGTGATCAGTGAGTTAACTAACTAGTTACATAAATTAGTAAACAGCAGTAAATAACTAACTAGGTAGAATCAAACCATTGCGCACACCCGAACAGACCCTATACCAATAAGCACTTAGTACAATAAGCCTGAATCGTAAAGTGGGACGCATTATTTACCCCATTCCTACGTAGTAAGCGCTACTTACTAATTATATTACTACATGTGGTTAGTTATACTCTAATCGGAGGCTTTCCGCTGACGTTCCTCTAGAAGAGGAAATCTTCGCGCAATGATGCCTTGATATCACGCCACAAACTCTGCACGAAATTACGCATATGGAGACGCTGACTGGCTTAGATACATGCGGCTATGCAAGTGCTGGCTCAAAGTTTGCGACTGACTGCCTGGTTAAAAAAAAAAAAAAAAAAAAAAAAACAGCACTCTCCTTATCTCCTGTTGCGCAATGGGCATCCGCCAAAGCCCAGACTCTTGCTAAAACGTGCTCTGGCCAGTACGACGAGATTTCAAGGGTACGTACGTGCTACGCACATGACATACTACTATGTGCGAAGGGCCAGGCGGCAACGCTAAGTATCCTTGCCGTCGCACCCAGTAAAGCGCCAACTGTAAAGTGCTCAACCCTACCTCTAGGCTGGCTCTCTGCCTCTCCCCCATTACTCTACCACTTCGCCATACCGCCACCCCACACCACACCCGTTGCAACTGGTTTGACTGGTGCAGGGCCTCGTTTCCATCCGACATACATATCACGAACCACCTCATTGGAACTCTACAAGTTTTAGGAATTCATACCAAAATTATTACCCCACAATGTCGTCCTCAACCCTCCCTTCGAACGCCAGCCTCGTCAACATTGGCACTCACTCCCTCGCCCTCTACTCCCACGGCCCAGAACGTAGCAGCTCCAAAGATCCCGTCGTCCTATTTGTCTCGGGCGTGGCAAGCTCCAGCCTCAACTGGGCAGCCGTGGTGCGGCTGCTCCCTCCCTCGCTGCGAAGCTACACTTACGACCGTTCCGGCTATCGCAACTCCGAGCTCTCACCGCGCGAGCCCACGGCCGAGAACGTTGCTCTGGAGTTATCCCTTCTGATCGAAAAAGCTCCCATTCCGAACCCTCTGATCATTGTGGGGCACTCCTGGGCCGGTGTGCTCATACACGAGTTCATCGCCCTTACGGGAAATGGCCCGCATATCGCTGGCCTGGTGCTCGTCGACGCCAACCACGAGACCGCGCCACAGGTGCTGAACGTAAATGATCCCGTTCTCCAGGCCATTGCCGAGGGTGTCGAACCATACTCAGGCAAGGGCATTGAGGCGGAGCATAAGTTGACGCAGGAAGAGTGGGATATGTTTAGGAGCGACGAATCGACGGACAAATTCCAGCTGATTGCGCAGAAGGAGGCTGTTGAGCAGTACGCACCAAGTTTTGAGACGCTGCGGAAGAAGGAGCTGGGTAAAAAGCAGCCCCTGGTTGGAGACAAACCAGTTTATGTTATTGGGGGCATGCGGAGTAGAGATTGGGGTAGGTTGTACAAGGCGGGCGTTGAGAAAGGGAATGGAACCGAGGAGCAGAGGAGCCATGTTAGAGAGTTGATCAGGACCGCTGATGAGAAGAGTGAGGGTCTCATGAGGGAATTTCTGAAACTCTCTACGAAGAGCAAACTTATATTTGCCCGCGAGAGTGGGCACTTTGTCCAGTTAACTCAGCCGGATATTGTTGTTAATGGAGTGAAATGGGTCCTAGATAACTTACAAACATCTTCTTAGGTGCGGAAACTAAATAGCGGACGCTTTATATTAACACCTATCATCCAAATCCAGGGAATAACTGTGTGGCCACATGTATGTGCATAACGCTGGGCGCGAAGCTGTGTCAGATACTGGCCTGTGAAATCAAAAACGGCTTGGAGATCTAACTATATGACGTGTGGTTCTTGAACAATTCAGAATGCCTAGCAACTCCTGTAACTCCAAGTTGCACAAGGCAAGAGGAACAGCCTATTTGTTGCTGCCTCATAATTTATTCCCGCCGTTCGCAAGTGCTGAACCTGTGACAACGCAGCTGCAGCTCTGCTGGGTCTTCCTTCCACTTCTCTCGCGCTTCTTTTCGAGCCGCTTTGTGCTTCTCTACGGCTTCCTTTATGGCAGGTGTTGGCCTGGCTCCATTTCTCCTCGCCCCTCTCGCGGCATGTATCTACCTATCCTCCTTGTCTCGTCGCTGGCTTCGATGTCCCTCACCACGCGTTTTTGCACCGTCTGGCAGTACTCATTCCTCTCTTGACAATTGGCTTCCGGTACACGCTTCCCGCAACGAGGGCGCAAATTGGTGAAGCCCTGGGCATAGACACGGGCTCGGAACGATTTATTTTGTGCGCTTACGCCTGAAAGACGGGGAGGATCACTTCGCCAGCCGCACAGCAAGCCGAAAATCGGGGATCTGATGCAGGAGACGGCCCTGTTGCGCTCCACTATCTAATGGTAGGCACCACAAAACAGGTGCAAAGACTGTATACTGCCAATGTCATGGTACTGATTGTCAACCGGCTGTTGGAGAAGCGGGACCGGCGGTTGTGCAGCGGCAAGAAGGTCCCCGTCTGCTAAACCATTCTTTAGCCCCCTAACTACCACCTTTTTTTTCCGGGCGTGGTCTCAGGCTAAGTGCCCCCCCCCCCTGCTTTCGGGCTTCCAGCACCGGCTTGATCAAGCCCGTTGATGTACTTGCTTTGGGCCTCGATAATTAGAATGAAGCTGTTATGAAGCAAGCCAGTGTTGGGTCCAAGCACGATCCCAAGATTCGGCATGTCATCGGCGCAGGTGCCTAGGCATGCTCGACCGCCATCCTTCTACATCTCGTGCAAGGCGCGATCGTTCCGGCCGTAGATCTTCATCGGATACAGGAACAACTTGGTTCGAAAGCCGGTTGAATGGACGACGAGATCGTAGTGAGAGTCCGCGTCCTCTGGCTGTCCACCTGTGCCGACAACACGCACAGTATGGTTGCTGATATTATGAATAGGTCTCGCCTCAAGCTCAACATTGGGAAGGTTCAATGCTGGGTAAAAAAAAAAATCCGAGACAACCACCCGCTTACAGCCAAGCGGATACTTAGGTGTCAGCTTCTCCCACGATTCAGGCTTATCGGGCAGCTGTTCGTGCGTCGTGTCTAGAGCTGTTTGTGTCAATTTTTTATTTCCCTCATGGTTAGGGAAGTTATTGGAGGCGTATTCTGTATCGTTGAGGTTCATATAACGTCTGCGCCAGTGCCACTACCCAAAAGGGAAATATCGGTAAAGGGCTTTTCTCAACCCTGAGATCCCGTAGTCCCCGCGAGGTTGGATCCAGTGGGGCGTTTTTTGGAAAACCGATATTACCTTTACCACCTTTGCGACCTCAGGTACGATCTGGACAGCACTACACCCTGAACGGAGAGAAATGGTCAGTTCGATGACTGAAGCTTTGCTTGCGCCACACGGCACAGAGAAGATAGTATTTCTTTCTGGCCTGGGAAATCCCAGCTCCAGTCGCTGTTGGGGGGGCAAAGCTGTAGCTGTAGACAATGGACTGCAAGTCGACAGCACAGCCGGGATATGTGTTATCGTGCCTATCGAACATTGGTTATTAACTTCTATTACATGGGGACGGCTGGTATTTCCTCATCATGTGCCACCGATCCCGGCAGTCGGCTCCAAAATGACAAAGTCTCGATAATTATTGCGTTTGATCAGATCAATGGCAACGCACATGACTCTAATGCCTGCTCCGACGATGACCACGGAGGAATTTGTATATTGTTGTCCACTGCTCAACGATACCCCTGGCCATGGTTTTTCGTGTGCCATATTTGCTTTAAAGTTAATAGATAAACTCACCTGCCAGGTGTCAGTCTTTTTTGTTCCGCCGTTTGCTCCCTTATGCATGGCAGTATTCGGGGCACTATAATCTATAATTCTGTTAGCACTAGCGCCGATAAAGGCACTAGAACCTCGACCTATCCCAGACGGGATTCTATTACATGGGAGATGTTATGATAAGTAGCGCGTGAGCGGGTACTTGTCGTAAGGGCTTGGGCGGCAGAGCTGAAGTACCCCCTTGCATCGATGCATCGCATTTTCGATCGGGTACGCCGTACACGTATCAATATGCCCAGTCGCTGGGCCGCACTACTCACCGACATCTGCTTGCTCTCGGCACTCAAGAGTTACTGCTGCCTTCACCACCTCTTCAGTGACCTTGACAGTATCTCCATATCTCTCAAGTATAATGGTCATCACTTTTTCTCCAACTCCATGATTCTGTGCAGCAGCCTGGGGCACCTTATCGGGTATATCAATCGCATCTCCGAACCTTTCGATAAGGAGAGCCATCACTTTACTCCCACTCCGTCCGTTGCCTGCAGCTGCAATGACCACAGCCTCACTTCTCTTAATTCCACCCTGATTGTCACCTAGACTAAAAGTGTGTTAAGTGCTGCATACGCTAGTTATTCGTAGCAGGAATGTTACCTTAGTCACCTAGCCAAATTCCCCGCTTCGTCGGGGCAGTTGTTGATTGGTGTAGTATCTTCAGCTGCACAGAGACCAATGTTGGCACTTCTAGGGCCCATTCACATTATATATCGTTCCTGCTCAGCTCATCCCGTCATCTCCCTAACATAGTGATCGCTGACGAGGGATTTGGTTGTTTACAGCGGAACTCTGGGGAAGTCTCTACCTGACAGGGCAGCGGTATCTGTCCAAAATTCGCGCGCTCGCTCTTGCTTTTGCCCGGTCTACGCGGCCGAATCACCAATGCTATCGGTTCGTAGGGCCTGAAGCCGATCCCCGACGGTCGTTTGTGCATTCTTGAGTTGAAAATTATGGTTGAGTGGATTAGTGGGCGTAGCGGAGCTAAGCTCCATCGGCTTCATGACAGCTTCGGGATGAACGGCTCGGAAAGACTATCCAACACATCGACAGAATATTTGCTGATTTGTTTCTCGAACCGAGGTTTGATATCATGGTAACTTGCCACACGTATCGCATAGGGCTATTGAACGATAGTCCCTGGGTGGTGCCCACGGGCGACCACTGTATTGAGCAATGAGCCGATAATCATAGTAAATAAGCTGCGGTCTCTGGCTGACAACAGAAACAGTAATGTGCAGTCCGAATCATCCAACTTTGTTAAAGAAGTCACTCAGCTTGTTTGTTGTCTGATGAACTAGGCGGCGAAGTTAACGGCGGCTCACTAGAAGGGAGGCTTTGCACTAATAGCATTGCAGGAATGGCAGGATGGCCCACGACTGGGCGTGATCCCCGGTCAGTTAGCAGCAGGACAGTGCGGGTCAGCACAGGGGATGCGGTATATGCCAGTCAGCAACCCCGTGACCGTAATCTGTGAAGAGAGGTCTAAAGATCCTAATATCAAGTAACTGCAGGAAGTGTGTGATGTGAAAAATTATTAAATAGATCTTATTATCTTTACAGAACTTTATAAAATTTATAGTAATATATGAACTATACCTAGCTGTTGTGATCTCAGGGGAAAGATGGGCAGAATGATGCTGTATCAACTACATGTACGTAGCCTACTGAGGACCGGATGCCATTTCGATAGATACTCAATCCTATGGACGACTCTATCGACTATCTTGACTGCTTCTCATTAGCTACTAATGAGTAAAGCCTTCAGGGGCTGGAGTTGGTGATCCGACCAAGCCACTAGGATCACGTGGTCTCTATAGATTCATAGCTATCTAGAATTAGAGATCTCCAGTGTCTCTAAGCCTTCTTCTTTGTCTCTCTATCAAAGATATCCCGAAGCCATGTAAACCCTAGCTTATCATTAGTCCATCCAGAAGGTAAAGAGGTAAGAAAGTATCTGTATTCCTTTACTTTGAAGTCCTGCAGCCAGATATCCTATATATTCCTAGAGACTACCTGGTAGATAAGAACAGGAGATGAAGCAGTTATATCTATCTATATATATATAATTATAGTTATTCACTGTTGATTCCTATCTTAAAGTCATTGCTTAAATCTATTCTGCTTATATTTTTGTTTAGAGAAAATTCTCTTACTCTTGCATACTACTGTCACGGGTAAGCCTTAGGCTTAAGGCCCCGATGGCAAGTTGCAATACTATATATACCGTGCCTGGGAAAGGAGTTGACCATAGTGGATCTTTTTACCTAGTGGAAAGATCCTACGTATCGAATTGCTAATCCCAGGAGTAATCCTTTACAACTACTCCAATCAGGAAGCCTTTCTTATCTATATTATAGATATATTTAGCTGCTGAACCAGCTCTCTTTTGTGAAGAGTCAATACCAGTTGTATAGAGAAAGAGAAACTCAGATTCATATCTCTTTATAAGGTGGCCTGGCCAATGGATTCCCGGCTGGATTCTAGTAATTTCCTGAACAAAATTTTGAAGCATCTCATTAGAGAGGTAGAGCCTATATCTAGTTTATTAATCTATTTTATAAGCTTCTTCTCCTGCTGGTGGTTGAGCAATTGCTGTTCTTTGTACTGGCTCTTCTTCATACCCTGAATGCCCTGGTGATGTCTTGATAAGGTAACTCGGCCCACACCATGAATTTTCGCAATTTGAGTATAATTAGGCTTATCTCCAGGCTCCAAGGATTTTAGATCTGCTAGAGCCGCTTCGATAGACCCTGAATTGTGGTGGTTTACAAACTATGAGTTCTAAAAGTCGGTGTACAAAAAACGATCCTCGGGTGATAACGATCGGCAGGCGGTAAAACACAGTAGACTACGCGTTACACGTCGGCCGGTTAGTAGTTGGGTGAGTGACCACCAGCGAGTCCCAGCTGTTGTATTTTCTTTTCTCTATTTCTCTCTTTTTACATTTTCAAAATTTTTTAGAAATACATAGTAGTCAGATGTGTTAGCTATATTATCTGTACCCTTTTGCATGTACCTCTGTATAATTGTGTTTTACATAGCTAACTATAACTTCCTGCTTGCAATACCAGCCACCCCACTTTATTGCAAGGAAGTGGTTGCGTTGAGACTGCTATTTTTTCCCAATTCTGTCGGGGTAAACGTTTAAAGATGTTTTCTATAACTCAATTAGATCTTCTTTCCAAAGTTTGTGTGAACTTGACCGGTGTTACTTTTCTATATCTACTGTGGTTGAGCCTGGTAATTTTGTTAGTACGGCCCACCTTAGGGTGGGCCACAGCAAAGCGGTGAGACCAAAAACCGCCTGCCTATTCTGAAAATTGAGAGAGCCCCTGAGAGCTCAGTTTAGAGCTTCAATAATATGAAACTATTCAGAACTCTACTATGGCTGAACCTACTACCCCCCCTACTACCCCACACACAAATTCTACACGGCTTGAACGGGATGATCGAATATATATATTGACCCTTCAAAGTGCTGGTTTTATCTATAAAGAGATTATTAATCATTTGCCTGGTATTACCTACCGGCAGGTCCAATATACATGCCAGTCTGAGACCTATACACCATATAAGGCACATGGTTAACCACCTAAACTCTTAGATACTGAGATAGATAATATTATTAATTTTATAATATTATCTAAGTACACGCGGTATCTGCCATATAACAAAGTTATTCAAGAACTTGATCTTAGTATATCTCGAAATACTTTATCTCAAGCACTCAAGAAACATGGCTATTCTTGCTGTATAGCTCTTTGAAAACCTTCTCTTTCTGAGCATACTAAGTGCATATATTTAGCCTGGGTATTGGACTATATAAGTTAGACACTGGAACAATGAAAGAAAGTCTTTTAGACTGATGAGACTTAGGTTACTGGTGGATATTATAGACAAATCTATATAACCTGTATATCAGCTAATGTTGGAAATCTAGGGTATTGATAACCTAGATATCCTTAGGCATGTGATCAGGGGAATTGATCAAGAGATAAGATAGATAATAGATAGATAGATATCGGGTAAAACTTATA